ATCGAATTATCGAAGTGATAAGTGGTGAACGAGGCAACATGAGGAAGGTAACGCATAAATGCGTTCGAAACCGCTACCTAGCGTTTCCCAGGATTTAACAAAAACAAAAATGAATATTCGTCGGAGTCATGATGTATCAGAACCGATGTAACGCAATATCGATGTTTAACGCTTGTTTAATTTTCTTTGCTCAATTCAAATATAACCATGTTAAGTTGTGACACGTACGCACGCGTTGTAAGGAATAGCAGCAAAACTTGAGGACAATCGATGGTTCATGATGGAAGAAGGGTATACATTTTTTTTAAAAATAACCCGTGGCCATTTGACCACTGGTCATTTTTAAAAGGGCGGTATGTTGTATCCTAACCCTTCTTCCATAATTGAGATTAATAATATTTGATGATTTTTATATATTATCTTTTTACTTGTTTTTTTAATGATTGAAACACACCAAGCGCAGCAAACTGCAAAACACCAGGTGTTGTTAAGTAATGAACTGGAGGAGGGCTAGGATGGCAGAATTTGCAACCTTGCTTCAAGGAAAGATAAGGCCTGATGAACGGGCACATGTCACCCGTGCAGGCGGCAGAGACAGTGGGAGTGTCAGCCAGACATAGTTAAGGCAAAAAGCCCAACCATCCTGCATGGTTTTAAAGTAACGTCAAAATTCGAAATTCAACAACAGAGTAGGCTAAATTATCGATCCTCGCGCTCGCTCAAATTGGAGACCAGGCTGCGAGCTACATAAATGAACCATTGCCCATTTGCTAATCCAATACTGAATGTTAATATTACTGAAGTCAAAACGAATTCTATGACCTCAGCACATGGGCAAATAATAGGGCAGTGTCGACTCAAAGGCAATGAAAGAAAACAGAGGCGCCTTTGTCTAAATCACAACCACAGAAAGCCAGGAATCATCACTGATTGTGTGTTCAGGGATTCCGAGCTAGTTAGAACACGTGCACAGGGGGGGGGGAGCTGATGTAAACAACCCTGCGCGTCTGAATGTGAGGGGGCCTTGGACCTGGAATCAAGAATAACACTTCCAGGGCAGAAGGTTGGACAGGGGGAGAGGTGATTTAAAAGAGTGTTGTATATCTCTCAAGGCGGGCAAGACCCAGCTGAGTAACAAGGCTGCGGGGGTCACCAGAAGTTCGCATTCGCCTAGTTAAGACAAAAAGCTCAATTATTCTGTATTGCTATTAAAGTAACGTTAAAGTCGGAATTTAACAACAGGGTAGGCTAAAGTTATTGATATTCACACCCACTCCAATTAAACCAGGCCACAAGTTACGCCTACTGAACCATCACCATTATTAAGTCAATATGAAATGTTATTTCCATACTTCAATACTTTCTATACAACTCGACCCGAAGCATATGACAATCAGAACCTTCCTAAGTCAAAATTGAATCGCACCCAGATAGGAGCGAATAGTCGATATAAAGTTGACGAGGGAAGGAAATTAAGAGCACGGCGAACTGCAAACGTAAGCAAAAAGCCGGGAACAACACCAGCCCAGCAACAGCGAGTGGGGCTTCGACAGGCCATAAAGTAGAATAATAACTCCCGGGGTCAGGGGACACAAGAAGAAGCAGGCAGACAAAAACCAGAACTGACTCCAAGGTTCAACCGCCCTCACCTACTCAGGAGTGACGGAAATTAATGAGGCCTTGAATTAACGGCAGCTGGACGGCAACAACAACGGCGAGCAGAGATAGGGTGGGGCAAAGACTGCGGGGCTATGGAATGCAACTTCGTGTCAGTAAAGCCCTGACAAACAAGTTAAGTTAAAGACATCACAATACATAATATCGCACATAACATCAATGTTAAAGCTATTCACCGTAAACTATATTCCGCTTATATAACCATCCAGGCACCAAGGAATACGAATTCCTAGGATCAAGAAACTTACCCCTTAACCTAAGATATCGGAAATAAATTAATAGTAATAAGTATATGCATGAAAAGACAAAGTAAAACTTATGGAAAAGCCAGGATAACGGGATGAATCACAACCAGGTCGAATATAATACATAATAAAAAAAAAACGATGTTAAACCCAGGGTCGGAGAGAAAGGGAGATCCCGGCCGTCTTTGTATCCCCGCAGCGCGGGATAGGAGTGTGTATACGCTCGGGGAAACACCTACACTTGAGTCAAGCACCACGATGGGAAACGACAGACCTTAGGTTACATACAGAATCATAACTGTGAAATAGTAAGGGACAAATGTTAACTTAAAACTTTTAACCATTTCTTTGTGCGCCGGGTCGGAGAGAGTGTTGCCCCTCCCTCCAGGTTGTGCAACACGAACAAAGACGCCTATGAGACATTTGTAACGTCTGTGTTTTGGGTTCATGAAGAAGGCCAGACAAGAGATAAATATTGCACCCAGACAGAGAGACGACCTCGAGGCAATTTGTAACATCTGATTGTTTGCTCGTGGGTTTATGGAGGGAGTGTGACAACGAATATACCGTCAGTGATGCACACAAGGACACACGGACATACGGACAGACACATGGACACACCTGCCTACGGACAGATCCTGACACAGCAAAAATCGGAAGAAGCCCCGCCTTGTGGGCGGGATCCAGGGGGATTTTTCGGCATAAAGTAAAGGATCCTGAGCATTGGAAACCAGTGCGACGGGAGGGTCCACTCAGAAGCTCGACCGGGAGGGTCGACTCAGGAACGAGTGCGACGAGAGGGTCCACTCAGGAGCGCGACCGGGAGAGTCGGCTCAGGAGGAGTGCGACCAGTGGGTCCACTCAGGAGTGCGACCAGCGGGTCCACTCAGGAGTGCGACCAGAGAGTCGACTCAGGAGCGAGGGCGACCAGCGGGTCGACCCAGGAGCGAGCTCGACCGGGAGGGTCGACTCAGGAGCGAGCTGCGACCAGCGGGTCGGCTCGACTCATCTTCAGCTCGTCAACCTCTGCCGAATCGGGGGTCTCTGCTGCCACCGGAGTGGTGAGCATCGCGCTTCGGCGACAACCCAGAGCTGCACGCTGCGAGCGAGTTGTGGGCGCCACCTACCGACCGGGTTCCGAACTGCGACAGCGTATCAACAGCCATCCGAACCAGTTCGCCACGGTGACAGGGGATCGACTGATACGTATGACGCGCACCGCCCCCTCACCACACGACCACCAGGCGTCTGTTTGACCTAAAGAATCGACTCCGAACACTGACTATTCAAGACAACTCTTACCACTCAAAAACACTCGAACCCATAAGCCATCCGTGGCTGGAAAGCATCGCAACGAGACCGAGTGATGGCCCTCCGTCTCTTATAAGAGTATTCTTAATTTTTATCTTTAATATTTAGTGGGCTGTACTCTTAATCGCATAAATTCCCAACAGATCCATCAATACGAACTGATTCTTGGCACCTCCTTCCGCCGAGCCACGCTCACGTGGGGAGTGGTGGCCCACCGGACCCTTATCAGGTGATCTGGTCCCCAATTAGTAAACTTGGTATAAGATAACGAGCTTCGGAAAAGGAGCACCGTCGCAGGCCCTTACTCCGAGCCGTTCTGTTGTCAGATAACCTGCCGATGTATCTGTTGAGATTGGTGCCTTTAAGAATAATAACTGTTTTTGATTGTATTTTTTTTTTATCGCCGTATAATCTTTCAAGTATCTTTCAGTCATAATCGCCGCACGTACTCGCATCCTCTACAGAATATTCAACTGTCCCGTGACCCAAGGTGTTAACAACGTGATAAGGGTTGCGTATGGTCAATAAGGAGTGTGGTACTGCGTGAACAATATTGAGTATAATCATTCATTAGCGTTAAGGTTTTCTTAGCATAGTATTTGCATATTTCAACGACTCCCTCTCTCACTAACAACCATCGCGTTATGAACAATATTGAGTATAATCATTCATTAACATTAAGGTTTTCTTAGCATAGTATTTGCATATTTCAACGACTCTCTCTCTCACTAACAACCATCGCGTTATGAACAATATTGAGTATAATCATTCATTAACATTAAGGTTTTCTTAGCATAGTATTTGCGTGTTTTAACGACTCTCTCTCTCACTAACAACCATCGCGTTATGCGGGATCCATGTGCAGTTGTCAAAGTGAAATCAGACAATCGTTGATGATACTGTATTGATGCCGTGTTGACGTTCCGGGATTGAGAGTTCGCATATTATATCATAGTTAAGGTTGAATTAGTAATAAATTGATCAATACAGAAGTGGTTGTGTGATTCTTTCCTGAAATCTATGCATAAGATCTGCTTCTGCGTTGAGATTTGAACTTGGTGACCTTAATAAACACACTAATACATACTCAGTAAATGTTAAAGCGATAACGGGGTGAACCGGGGACCTAAAAATATAACCACGAATAAAACTCTGGGAATGTTAAAGCGAGAATGAGACGAACCTAGACAACGATGCCGAGTTAATCTAAGTTAATCTTGCATACTTACACCACACCTGCATAACTGCATACGATTAATTGCCTTCTTCCGATCGATAACCCACCCTCGTCACCGAGGCGGGGTCTGGTTATCATAACGACTTGTATTATCATAATTACACCCACTCGCATAATTAATCCGATTACCTCTCGAATTGGCATAATTAAAATGTGCGTAATTACATAAATTAACATATTTCCGGATAATTACACATTTGGCCAGATTTCATTTAATAATTATTATTTTCACTGAATATTCATAACACACAGGTACAACATAATAATTTCACCCACGCACGCATACAACATAACAAATTTTCTTAACCCAACATATACAACAATGGGCCTTGCCATTTGCAACTTGAACATGTACAATGTTTTTGGATTTTTCTGTTCGTGTTGTTCGCTGTAACCGGGTTTCTATGCGAGATTTCCCAATGGATTCTTTGCCTCACAACACAACTCCGAAAGCACAATCGGGAGAAAACTGGCGATTGAAATCGGAAACGATATGGGGGGTATACAGATGACACCGACACACGAAGGAGTACAATCGTACGTGTATTTTAAAACACCATCCTCATGCACGGTCACTTTTTACAAGCAGTCTTTGGCAAGGTGTGCGGCGATGCCGACCCGTCGAATTTAATGCCGGCGGCGGAGGGTCCGCGTGGGGGGGGCAGCGGGGGTGGAGGCGGGGGCGAGCCAATCCGCGAGTACTGCTCCATGATGGCGTCGTAGGCGTCGTCGCGGTGCACCATGGCTCCAAAGATCAGGGGCTGCACGCGCACGGGGCGATCACGACACACACAGCGTGTAAACTAGGGTCGTACGTACGTATGTATAACTTTTTTTCGCACCATACGTAGCCAACCGTGCTAATCAGAGGTGCGGGGGAAGGCCAATTCTAAATATGGAGTGGAAAACCAGAGGACCCGGAGAAAAATACACGTGACCATGGGGAGAGAGAGACATGCAAACTCCAAATATAATGGTGTTGTCAGGGTCGGGATCGAACCCACGATCTCCTGTATACCAGGCAAGGTAGTTCACATCTCGCCGTGATATTCATTTTTTCACGAGACGATGTCACTTTTTTACAACATAAAATTATAAAAAAGTAATTTTCATGACCTGGCGGTTAATGCCATATCACTTTCCTGTTGATATACGATTTTGTTTCGTGTTCATTACTGTGTTGTTTTTGTGCTTTGCCAAACTTCCAGTGGCAATAAAATATTACTCCCCTTCTTACCTTCACCGTATCCGGGGTCTTGATGGAGATGCCCATGCCAGCCCCAGGCAGCATAGACAGCACCTTGTACTGCACAAAGACAAAGATCTCCCTGTGTAGCCAACACAGACTGTTGGGGCAAGTGCTGATATGCACAATAACAGTGCACAAGAAGGTGATGTGACCAGCAACATGTGCAGCTGCCTTTGTATCCACAGTACTGATGTTTGCTGGGGCACAACGCAAGTTCAGATGCTACTAATGTTAGCCATGGCTGGGAATTTAATTCTGGTGGTTGGGTTTTAACCGTAGCGTTCTTCCCACCACACCACCACCCCACCAAAAGAGAAAAATCCCCCATATAGTCTTAATAGACTGTTGGGGCAAGTGCTGTTAGTGATCTCCTATGAAGAGCAGCACGGCACACGAGGGCGTGGGTGGCTAGCACCACTTCCGGCCGCCTTTGCCTCCCCAGTTGCGATGTTTACACACCGCACCAGGTAATCATTTGAGGCTGAGCCGACCTATGGGAGGACCAGGACCAGTTCGGAAATTCGTTATCGATGTTGGCCGTGAGCGGGAATCACACTCGGGTCGCCGGGTTCGTAGTGCAGCGCGTTAACCGCGACACCACCGCACCGTACCTTCTGTACTTCGGTGATGGACTTGAGGCTGATAACTTTGTTCTTTTTGGAAGATACCGACCTGGTGTTTTCAAAGCATAGGTAGCTGCAGAAGATGACACACGCAACACTGAGCTCAGATCTTGGCACACGGAACACCGTAAGCAATGGATACACAGCGACTCGTCCAGTATCACACTCGTTTATGAGAACTCCAATTAATAAAAATGAAAGCTATGCGTTTGGTTCATCCGAAATAGATGGAGAGCCACGTAGTTATAGCAGGACTCGAAGACAACTGTAACTGAGAGTTCATCTCATATAGGTAGTTCAAGGTGGGCGAAGTTGGACGAAGGTGGGTGTAGGGGGGCGTAGGGGGGCGTAGGTGGGTGCATGCGCTGCCTTACTTCGGTGTGACATAGAGGAAGCCACTGCGGATGTAGTCGGAGGAAATCCTGCGGTCTCGCTGGATCAGGCAGCACCTCCACCCGCCCTCACACACTGGGCAGTGGTGGTGGGACGGGGGGGGGGGGGCAAGGAGGAGGAAGAGAGAGGAGACACAGACACCGTCACCATCTCCACGCACCTTAACTGCTGGTGCCCGGGGAAACCGCACTTCCTGCCCAGCGGTGCACGTCGCGCCAAACCGCTCGCGCGCTCCTGTCACTCCCCGAACCCAAGCCGCGCTTTATTTGATCCACAACCCCCTGCGTCAATCTACCGCCGGACGAAGGTCTCCACCCGCGGATCCCAGCCCGGAATCCAAGACCGGCACGACTCCCACCGTGCCGAGTTCCCCCCGGCGCACGCCGAAGTCGCGTACCGGGCAGCGGGCGCTCCGAATCGGGGAGGCTGAAGACGGCGTGGAAGGAGCGACGGCGGGGGTCCGACGCCTCCTCGGCACTGCCTGAACCCAGTAGGCCCTGGGCGCTGCTGCTGCGGCCCAGGTGGCCGCCACCACCCTGCGAGTGAGGGACAAAGGGTGACGATGAGTGGGGGGGGGGACAGCTCTCGCCAAAGTGCGGCCGATTAAGAAAACGTACGCCCCACCCCCACCTCCCCCCCCCCCCGTATAGAACGACAACCACCACAATGACGACTTTAATCTGTAAGCCGCTAAATCACGTAACCCGACGTTTGGAAAGCGCCGCGTAGTTGGAAGAATACGTGTTGGACTCCGAGCAGGGGGAAAGCGAGAACTAGGGAGGGTGGATCGCACGGTCGGTCAAATCAATGCTTACTGGACATTTGTTTACCTGTCCTACACTTTGCACTCCTATCATGTTTCATATTGTTGTTGTTGTAACGTTCTGACCCCGTGCCCCTACTGGATATCTAAAAAAAGAGCTTCATAGCTCTTTGGATTCCTCCAATATGAATGAATATTCTGATTGCGAGATGAGTTTTAAGTTGAGGCTTGAAGGTGGGTTAGTGAGGAGGAGTTGGAAGAGAGCCGACGATGAGTGGGGAGTGAGTTCCGGAGGGTTGGAGGGCACGGCGACTGACCCAAGCGACCAGCAATAGTCGACCGCAGCGGACGTGGGGTGTGGAAGATGCCAAGGAGTCGGCCGAGCGAAGATAGTGATTGGGTTTGTGCGATGCACCCGCACCTCCGATTATCACGGTTGACTACGTACGGCACATACGTACAAACTATGCACCTGCTCCACATGGAAACCGTACAGTCCTACCATCGTCTCTCTCTCTTCCCAAGTTCTCATAACCATGCTCAATTCCAAAACCGTATTAACTATTATCTGTTATACCCTCAATATTGCTGTTTCTTTGCGGCTTATGGGCCTGTCCTCAGCAACTGTGATATATAAAATAACAATATTGCACATCCATATATTCACACCACATAGAAATCTTACAACAACCATCCAATATTTTTGGAAATTATACATGCGCACCATACATAGAGTCGACCTAAGGGTTGTCCAGGCCTGGTTTATAAAGTTTTCACGAATGTTGGCTGTAAGCGGGAATAGAACTCCAGCTGCCAGGTTCAAAGCGCAGTGCGCCCAACCACTACACGACAGCGACCCACACAACCGTGATCCAGAGGCAGATCCAGAAACTTCTCGAGGAGGGGGGGGGGGGCAAAATGTCAATCTTCTCAATTAGGGCCCCCTATATTAATAATTATTAAAAAAGACATGCAATGTGTTTTCTCCCCCTTGGATCTGCCACTGAATTAATCGCAACTGTGGGGGCGTCAGTTTGTGCGTGTGTGCGTGCATGCATGTGTACGTGCGTGCGCACCCTGTGCGTGCTGAGAGCGGGGCGTTCGTTGCGCTGGGCGTCCGTGGGGAGCTGCTGCCACAGGCGCCGCGCCGTGTCGTACTTGAGCCGGATGCTGGGGAAGCGGTGGAACACGGGTGCCACGAGGAATGCGCGCACGCCCAGGCCAAGCCCTGCCACGTACGGGTGCAGGCATGGAAATGAAAGCAGGTACGATGCACGCTGGCACGACGGATAGAAACACGTGGATACGACACACGGGAGCACGAGGGCAAAACGCACGTGAACTAGTGGGCACGACCAGAGGGGAACACGTGGACACGACGAGTGGGAATATATACGCGGGAAAGATGCACGGGAACACGTGGGCACAACACATGTGAAAATGAGGGCACACAGAGCACGGTCAGCTCACCACTGTGCCATCGTTCGATGTAACGTGTGGGGTTCTCGCTCATCGCACTTGCCCCAACAGGGTTGAAACAGGGGGGCCCCTACCCATCCGTGTGCGTATGTTGCGGCGTGAATTACCGAATAGGGTCCAGAGAAGGGGTGCGGGCAGGATGCTGGAGGCCACGAACGCGATCCACAGGACCCGGTAGAGTTGCCGGGTGGCCTCGAGGTCGGCCCACATGAGCAGACTAATGGAACAGACAGTGCCACGGGGTGATGGACACCGGTCACAAAATCATGGACATGACGGTCAGAGGTAACGCAGCGAGAGACACACAGAGGACAAGCGTGAGAGCGTGAAACAGGTGCTCGCGGTTTGTGCACATTGGGATATGAAGTCCGGATGCGCCGTTCATATTCACACAAACTCACTATGTGTTGTTACTGTTGTTGCTGTTGAGAATTATGGGTAAATAACATGAATAACCAGGCCTCTATCGCTTTGACAGAGTCCTCTTGCTAATGACAGCCCATTTGTCAATCCACTGCTGGATGGAGGACCTCCCCGTGCTCCAGGATAAATAAAGATTCTGAGTCTGGATCACGGCGAGAGGGAGGGGGGTTATATGACTATACTTCACCAGACTGGTCAGTGGGGGCTGGTGAAGGCGGGGGGGAAATGGACGTGGGACCATACAAGTGGAGTACAGCAATGGGTGTTTCTGAGCCGCCCTCTGCTGCCCATAACGTAGCCCCCCCCCCCCCCCCCCCGCAGCAGCCTCCAGCGACCGGGACACGGTAAGCGGTGGTGGCCCATCCCACCGCTGTACAGGCCCAACCCTGCCGAGCAGGCGCCGAGGATCCGACGAGACTAGGCCACACCATCGATCAGCACAGTGGCTACGCTCAGGTCAGCTGATTCTGGTTTACTCATCATTCCAAAGACAAGACTGTGATGATGATCGACATGAGACACGGAGCCTTCTGCGGCCGGGCTCCCCACAGTTGTGGAACCCATCAGGGATTTCGAGTCTGTCTGTCACTTTTTTAAATCACAGTCTTAAAAATCACCTATTTGTACTGCAGGATATCCCTGTAACTTAATATTTAAAAAACAATTCTGTTATCTTATTTTACTACTCTGCAATGATTATTATTATTTGCTTTCATCATAGTTCATTTTATTGGAATTTCGAGAGTCGTCACTGATATTGTTATCAGCTTTCTATCTCGCTTAGATGTATTTGTGAGTGTAGTTTTATTTTCACGTAAAGCGCTACAATATGAAAGGCGCTTCATAAAATAGAGGTTATTATTATTACTACGTATGGTTGCGAAATAATTTCAACATATACACGTACATATGGGCCTTGTCACGGCGACGTCATGCATCTAATCCGTCGACGTGATCCGAACTTACAATGGAGAGCAGCGCTAGAGTAAGACGACGCGGGGTGGGGAGGTGAGGTCACGAGTTCATGGGGGGCAGGGGGGGGGAGAGCCACTTACTTTTTAATCTTCTCTAGAATGTCAGCCACTTTGCCGAAGAGGTTCTGCACACGCACAGACGGCGTCGTGCTCAATTGCGGTGGTTGAAGCATCACCGAGAGCTGGGTCTGTTATGATGATGATCAATCGACGAAAAACTGAGCGACTGCTTGTGTGGTCCAATAATCAGGCCACTTCATAGAAGGTGGATGCCGGCCAGGGCTGGATATGGGAATAAATTACTGAGGGCGCTCATCAATGCCCCCCCAACCCTTCGCTAGATCTGGACTGCTGTACCGACTGAGACTGAACACAAGGGGTGGGAGGGTGGACATGAGCATTGACTTGTAAATTTAAATAGTTTTGCCTGTGTCAGCACATTCATTGAAAATAACAAAGCAATGTTACCTATTTGTTAAGTATATTTCTAGACCTTTTACACAATTGTATTACATATATTTTCCTCCCACGTAGCTTTCGTGAGATCCAGAGCGTGACGGATGGATACTTGAAAGTTATATAACTTATACACCTAGATTACTTGCCGATACACATTTGTCCCTGGTTTCTTCTGGGTCCAAATCATCACTGCCACCAAGTGTTCAAGATCACTCCTGCCCATTTCCACCCCTGCCGTGGACACTACCTATCTCCCGAAAGAGGGAAACTCCCTACTACAAGCCATGCCCAGCGCGACGAGATTGGTTATGATGTCGATGATGCCAACAAGCCCACCCCCACCGCCCGGCCATCAGCTCCTGTCTGGGGGCACGCGTAGGCGCAGAGTCGGTCAATTAGTATTTTAAACGATTTCGTGCTATCGGTTGTTTAGCCGAGCGATTGACTGTCGGATTGTGCTGCCATCTCTCCCACGTGTTGTCGGGTCGGACCGCGTGTTGTTCGGTGCGACGTCCGACGTTTCGCCCCGCGTGCTGGGCGCTTACAGCTTGACGACGACGACAGAAGAGATTGGTGCCAGACTGATGTGGCACTGCGTGAGCGTATTAATGCAAGACAGAGGGTAGCGGCAACAAATTACGAAATGTGTGACGGACACCTACTATAGGCTATCTGCCCATGGATCGTGGTGATGACGATGATGCTGGGGAGCTTCTTCTGAACAGAGTACAGAAGTCCCTCGGTTAACGATTTTCATCTGTTCCACGAAAACTACTGCAAACCGAAATAACTGTTAATTGAATAGAGGAATTCCATTTTTAAATAAGTACAAATCACCGAGTCTGCAAGAGAGCCGTTTCCACTGCCAAAACAGAAAACCTAATAATGTAAGCAAGTCCAGTCGAGGTCTAAACGCTCATAAATGGGCATCGCTGATTGGCTGAGGGCATGGCTCATCCCCACTTACGGGCGCTCGGATTGGCCGAAATTGGCACCCACGTGCATAATGTAATCACATTACCGTTAATCAAAATAATGTCAGTTGAAACCATGGGGATCCTATGGGAGGCATTAAACGTTAACCGCAAAAACCGTTAACCGATGGCACTATTAATCGAAGGACTGCTGCAGTGGATTTCTGAACTAATCGGATCGGCCAACTGTAAGGTGTGGGACCGTTAGGTCGTGGGCGGCGCGGGGTGCCGATGTTGCCGAGGCGACGTTCGGTCCGACGCCGGAGGTGTTACCTGCGCTCTCTGAGCGACGTCCAGGACCAGCTGGAACTTCTCCGTGACCGAGAGATCGTCCCGCGGCACCTCGGGCTGAAACACATGAGCGCAACAGACAATAATATCCCCCGTGTAAACCTTCACCAGACTCTTTGGTTCATACTCAAAGAGTATGGATTCCTGCAGTCACGAAAGCTTCAAATCAACGTTAACAGACTGTTAGGGCAAGTGCTGTTAGCGAGCACCTATTAAGGGCGGCACGGCACATCTATATTAGAATCTGTATGTAGACGTGAGGGCGTGATGTGGCCTTTGTCTCCCCAATGCTGATGTTTATACATTGCACCGGGTATGCATTGAAGGCTGAGTCGACCTACGGGTGACCCAGGACTTGTTCAGGTACCACTTGCCAACAGTGCGTGTGTCTGTCTCAGTGTCCCCATCTCCCCATCATCTCTGTGAGAAGCTGCTGGGGCTCACTTCAGGTGTCACCAGAGCGGGGACGATGCTCCAATGGATTTTCCAGCCCCTGCTTACACACACGCACAGACATGCAGACACACGCACGCACATGCACACCAGCACACAGAAGAACACGCGCACACACGAACATATGCACACCCGCACACACATGCGCACACACAGAGAAAAAATCCATTAACAAGAACAGGACACATGCGAAGGCATGGAAGCACGTTCGTGAATATGGAAATGCACGTGTGGGGAAGCGGTAGTATAGTGGTTAGTGTTCTGCGCTACTAACCGGGCCCTGGACCGCCCCAAGGTCAACTCAGCCTTAAATGGCTACCTGGTATAGTGTATCTAACACAATGTAGCGAGGCATGGTGCTGGCCACCCAAATCGCTTGTGACCCTTGAGGCCTGCATAGGTGCTCGCTAACAGCTCTTGTCCCAACATGCTGTTATGGGTAGACGTGGGTTTTTTGGCATCAGTAGCGTCGTGGTTATCGCGCTACAGTACGAACGCCGGCAATCACAGCTCAATTCCTGGCCACAGCTCACATCGGTGGTGAGTGAAATCTGACGCGATTCTGGGCCTGCCCTAGGTCGGCTCGTCATGGTGGCAAGATGGTAACTCCCTCGCCTGGTGATTCAGAAGGTCATGGGTTCGATCCCGACCCCGACGACTGTATATTTGGAGTTTGCATGTCTCTCTCCCCGTGGTGGCGTAGATTTTTCTCCAGGTCCTCCAGGTTTTTCTTCCATTTAGAAACACGCGTTTAAGGGTATTTGGCTGCTATAAATGTCCACGTGATAAGCCACTTCGTTGAGCAATCATTTGTGGCCAGGTCGTTTCCGAAAAAGAGCTATATAGCTCAGTGGGCATGACCTGGCAAAATAAAAATAGTTCATAGTCTATAGCCTCAGCCGTTAACGAGTACCTGGTGGGTTGTGTAAAACCATTACCGCCAAGAGGGGAAATGCGACCGGGCGGGAACCTGACCACACCACCCGCACCAGCCTCGCGAGGTGCTCGCTGATAGTCCTTGCCCCAACAGTCTACGTAGGTCACAAGGGGGGGATCGTTGTCTTTTGGGTTCTCACTTGGCTATGAGGTAGTTGAGTGAGAGTCGAATAATGGCGAAGAGCAGGAACATTGGCACAGCCCAGCCTTGCCACACAGCATACATGTATACCTGCAGACGTCACACACACACACACACCACGTGATCACCACATGGCACGTACTACACACACCACACATGTATACCTGTAGACGTCACACACACACACACACCACGTGATCACCACATGGCACGTACTACACACACCACACATGTATACCTGTAGACGTCACACACACACACACACCACGTGATCACCACATGGCACGTACTACACACACCACACATGTATACCTGCAGACGTCACACACACACACACCACGTGATCACCACATGGCACGTACCACACACACACACAAACCACGTGATCACCACATGGCACGTACCACACACCACACAGCATACATGTATACCTGCAGACGTCACGCACACACACACCACGTGATCACCACATGGCACGTACCACACACACCACGTGATCACCACACAGCATACATGTATACCTGCAGACGTCACACACACACCACGTGATCACCACACAGCATACATGTATACCTGCAGACGTCACACACACACCACGATCACCGCATGGCACGTACCACACACACACACCACGATCACCGCATGGCACGTACCACACACCACACAGCATACATGTATACCTGCAGATGGCACACACACACCACGTGATCACCACATGGCACGCACCACACGCACCACACACCATTCACATTGCGCGGCACATACCACACGTAAGAAAACACATTCATGATTTAGTTTTTACATACTACATATACAAAAAAACAAAGATCCCCCTGTATAGCCTTAATAGGCTGTTGGTGCAAGTGCTGTTAGCGAGCATCTGTGAAGGCCAACACAGCACACGAGCGGGTGGGTGGCCAGCACCACGCTCGGCCGCCTTTGTCTCCCCAGTGGCGATGTTTACACACTGCCCCAGGTACTCATTTGAGGCTGAGTCGACCTAGGGGAGGCCCAGGACAGATTCAGATAATCGTCACTGGTGTTGGCCGTGAGCAGGAACTAAACTCTGGTCACCAGGTTCGTAGCACAGCGCGCTAACCGCTACACCACCGCCCTCACTAAATATACACCACACACACATCATATGGCACGCACATATTACCTAGCACATACCACACACACACACGGACCACACAAGCCACATGGCACGCACACCAAACTCCAGACACTGACAGGGATAACTGTTCACCTGTAGTTAGGGTGTTGTTGTTCTCATTTTCCCGATATTGCTTTTGCTTTTATTCAGAGCACGAATGTCAGGAAGAAGTCAAAGAGAAAGGCGAAGGAATGGAGAAACGAGGGAAGGAACAGGGGCCACCGGTGCTGCTGCTGCTGTTAAAGCGAAAGAGATCGAACGGACATGGGCAGCATGCGTCAAGAGAACAGCTGACGGGACACGAAATCTACCGAGGAGCGGAGACCGAGAGTAGGGAAGAGAAGCAGTGGGAGGAGACAGCGGAAGAGACGGCAGCAGTAAGACGGCATCGCAAGAGGTCGGAGGTCGCTACTGGACAGAGCAGCTGGGGGAAGAGGAAGGAATGGGAGAGATCGGAGGACAATTTTGCAGAAAAGTGGGAAGTTACAGCTGACAACAACAACCCTTGGGTTTAGACCGAGAATGTCGAAGTGGTTACCTAGGAACACTGCACTTTACTTATCATGGGAAACGATATCAGATGGCAGTAATAACCTAAATATAGGCGTGTTAACCGAGTTTGCCGTGTGTGTACGTGCGTGTGTGTGCTCGTGTCCGGGTGTGTATTTATGGGCCAAGGAAGATAAAGAGCTCCCACATAACCACCAGCCCCTCGCCAGCCTGACTGGTGAGACAGCGGTTAGCACAGTGGGCGACAAACCACAAACCTGGCCACCCGAGTTTGATTCCCAGCCACATGGCGAACATCAGTGCCGAGTGACATCACAATGAGTCCTGGGCCTGAAATGAGTATCGGTCACCGTGCGAGTAAACATCTGCCCTGGGTGGCGTCGTTGGTGTGGTTCTATCCACACCCCCCACCCCACTTGTGCGCCGTGCCGACCTCAATGGGTGCTTATTATAGCATCGCGTGCCCCAGGAGCCTATCGAGGCTATATGGGGGATATGTATTTGTGCAAATACATGTGTGTGGGGGGGTGCACGCCCATGTTTGTGTAGGAGGCTCGTGAAGGATGCTGCTGCTTCTGGGCAGTTGGAGGCAGTCTTCCTCGAGCGACAACGGAGGGCGGCTAAAACGCGACGAGGTGGAATTGTGGGGAGCACAGGTGGTGCATCTGCCAGTCATCTCAGTCAGTCAACCCATGGCACATGGGCCTGTAGCGTGACCACCTATCAGCGAGCCCTTAACGCTTCAAGTGGCCTCCAAGTGCACATAGCCTGGTACAAGAGCTGTAGTGGGATCAGCAGCGCTTGGTGGCGAATGGCAGCTGTTGTTGTTGTGCATGTGTGCATGAGTGCACGGGAATGCATTTGTGTGTTTCTGCTTATGTGTGCGAGTGCGCGTATGTGTGCAGAAACGGTTAGCGCTCTGTGCTTCAAACCCGGCAACCCGAGTTGGATTCCTACTCATGGCCAACACCAGTGACGATTTTATTTTATCGGTCCTGGGCATCCCCTAGACTTGCTCAGCTTCAAATGAGTACCTGGTGCAGTGTGTAAAAGTAATCGCCACTAGGGATACAAAGGGCGTGGTGCTGGCCACCCACCCCCTCGTGTACCGTGCCGGTCTGCATAGGTTTTCGCTAACAGCACTTGCCCCAACAGTATGGTAAGGCTATATGGGGGATCTTTCTCTTTGTGTGCAGGAAGTGGTCATGTAGCGGTTAGTGAACCTGATAACCCGAGTTTGAATCCTGCTCACGGCCAACATCTGTGACAAATATCTGAACCCGGCCTAGCCTCTCCTAGGTCAACTCAGCCTTAATTGAGTACTTGGTGCAAAGTATAAAACTTGAGCACTGGGGAGACAAAGGCAGTCAGTCAGGCGTGGTGATGGCCACCCACGCCCTTGTGTGCCGTGACGGCCTTGTGCTCGCAAACAGCACTTGCTCAAACAGTCTGTTAAAGGCAATACGGGGGATCTTTGTCTGTGTGCTTGCACATCTGTGCGTGCGTGTACATACAACAAACGCGATGGCGGACGTGTAAATGGACTGCCACACGGAGAGTGCCTTGAGGTTGCGCATGAAGAGAGACACCGGCTTAAAACCTCGGCCTGGCACACACAAGCACACGCACGGGCACAACGAGTGAGCCGCGCTCATCTAGGCAAACACCAGCGTCTGTGAAACATAAAGCAGTGAAGATGCGTGTGTGTGTGTGCGCGAGTGGCGCTGGGGGGGAGCGGTAGTGTAGTGGTTAGCGCGCTGCGCTATGAACCCGGTGACCCGAATTCCCGCTCACGGCCAACAGCATTGCCGATTATCTTAATCGGTGCTGGACTTCCCCGAGGTCGACTCAACCTCAAATGAATACCTCGAGCGGTGTGTAAACATCGCCATTGAGGAGACAAAGGCAGCCGGGCGTGGTGCTGGCCACCCGCCCCCTCGTGTGCTGTGCTGGCCTTCCGAAGTGCTCGCTAACAGCATTTGCCCTAATAGTCTATGTCAGGTTACACGGGGGGTCTTTGTCTTTGGTGTATGCGTCTTGTGCCGAGAGGCAAAGCTACTTACGCACTCTCCGCATGTTTTCAGTGAGCCTGTGGGCGTCAAACACAACGGAGTCACCATCGAGCAATGCCACACCTCAACCACACCACCACACATGCACATGTACACGTTTGTCAATCCACTACAGGATGAGGACCTATCCACACCGCTAGGCCATACGTCACCGCGCTGGTCAGTGCAGGTACGTGAAAGTCGATAGAGTACAGCAGAACATTCCATTTTGCCCCCTCTGCCCTCTGCTGCTCACAATGCCGACTGCACCGGTTTTCTCCATGGTGGTCGCCCCTCCAAGCACTATCCAGGCTCAACTTTGCTTAGCTTCTGAAGTTCAAAAGGACTGTGGCGCGTCACGGGTGATTTGGTCAGAGGGCGCACTCTGCAACTACATCACCCTATCATCACATTGTCCCAACATTCCATTTGCACGCTGTGATGCTGACGGTGTGTTTCATTCAGAGCTCATTCATTAAGCACCCCGTGTTAGAGAACAGCCTCTGGAAAAATGCTTCATAGAACTACTTCTGAGCCCCCTTCACCCGCTCGAGGGGCCACATCTTCCCACATGCCCTCCTATGGCGATGCTCGTTGCACGGCAATGAAACTTAAGGGTTTGGTCCTCCAGAGCTGGGAATGCCGCTGCTGGTTAAAATGAAAAGCAAACTTAAAGTGAATATTCTATTTCTGCGCACGATGGCAGCAACATGTTCAGGCGCTGAATGCCAATGGAAAGCTTTACTGGGCACGAGGAGAGGCCTTCAGGAGAGAGAGAGAGAGTGTGGGTTTGCTGTTCCTCCTCTGTTGAAGTGGGGCAGACCACAGTGGGCTTACTGTGCGGGCCACAAATTGGGTTGAATGGCCACAATCACATTGCTGTGGCTTGTATTTAATTTTCCCATTCATGGAAGTGATGTGCGCATAAGGCCTGTGGTTGATTTTCTGCTGCGGTTGATGGTCACACCACCGGTGTCATCGAGGAAGAAGAATGTGAAAGCCAGGAGATGCAATGTTTGGGTCTCGAATGTGGTATCCATTCCGGACGTCCACGTCGTTCCACTCTGTTCAGTGATTATTAATGTGCTATTTCTGGTGACATGGCAGGGATCAACCAGTTAATTTTCAATCATTATTTGAATGGTAACTTTTATTTTGTAATAATGGACTGTGATAATATTTTAATTACATTTTTATAATAAAAAAATTTAAAATAAATAATAACATAATTTGCATTTATTGACGACGAGGCTGGGACAACCAATTCACTGCACTTGAAAACCCAATTAAATAATTGCATCATAAAACATACGTGTCCAATACAGGAAGTGACTAACAGTTGCTCTTCATTGGTCATAGAAAGTCAACCCTTGTTCAATCAAATAATTAATACACTCATCGATGACAGCTCCAGGTGCTGGGTGTAATATGACGTGGCAGGTTGGTGAGAGGTGGCAGCGGTGGCTTGGGGAGGCCTTCATCCAGCAGTGGATTGACCACAGCTTTTAGCACGTTTGGCTACGTATGGTGCAAAGAAGTTCAACATACATACACATGGCTGCCGATGATGATGACAAGACTTAGACAATAACTATTATCGTATTGGTCACACAGCTGAGACAATCGTTTCACTCACTACACTGGAATAAAAAAAATAAACCTGCTTCAATGACTGGTGACTGCCGAGGCTTCGGTGGCAGGATGTCAGCAGGGCTGGTGACCCGATGTGACACGGCACCGCCGAGTCACGCGGCCGCCTCGTCACGCTATCATCATCGTGACACGGCTGTCACAGTGCGCATCCTCAGCACGTCTACACTGCCACCACCGGTGACCTTCCCTACGTGATCAGATCCCCCCCCCACCCGACCCCACACACGAGAAGGAAGACACTGTCCCCTACCAATAAAATTAACCGCGCCCATCTTGTAGCTGCACGCCCGGAGCTGTGCGTCCAGAGGTTATATTTAATGCAAAATACGATGCCAAAAGACTTTTATGTCAGTCAGTGGCAGCAAAATGATGCTGCTGCTGCCGCTGCCACAGCGGTGGCCCGGTGAGCACAATGGACTTGCAATGCAGAGGTCGCCTCTTCGGATATCCCCAAGCGGGAGTGGAAACAATGGAGCAAGTTTCTGAAATTCCCCACCCCACCTCTACCCCTCGCCCCGCCATTCCCACCACTGTTCACTCAGCAGTATAAATGTGTTCAGAACGTTGAGTTACTTGGCATGTCCAGCACTTGCGATTAGCACAGTTGGCTACGTACGATGCGAAAGAACATACACACGTGGTGGGGTATCTCTACCAAGATACATCTGGCCATTGTGAAAGGGTAGGCCGCAAATACCCTCTCGAGGGCCTTCTCGAGCTCCCTCTGGTTTAGACGCCTTCCACCAGCAGCGGCGTGAGCCAGGCAATTGCAGGGCCGCACCTCTATCGTCACCGAGTGTGCGGTGACATCGCTCGAGCGCGTCTGACTAACGCAGCACCCTGTGGCGCGCGACTACGACGACGGATTTGTCGGTGCCTCACTTCACCGCGCCGTGTTCCCGCGCTGCTCGGCGAATGCACCCGATTCTCGTCAAGACGTCCGAAGCCAAGCAGGTACCACGGGCCTGGCAAGTACGAGGAAGCGGGGGGGGGGGGGGTGGAGAACACGGTTGACCTGCGTCCGCTGAGTGGCTCGTCGGGCTCCGGGGCCGGGGGGTCCGGGTTGGCGCCCAGCTCCGACGAGAGGGCCGTCAGCGCACGGCGCCAGCGCAGCCGGGCCGGGCCCAGGAACCCCCGCGGTGGAGACGCCGAATTTGCTGCTCGTACGCACGGGGTGGGGGGAGGGGGCAGAGAGGGAGGCAGCCGGAACACCAGGCCACATTTACCTCAACCACACCATGGGAAAATGAAACCTTGCAGACCAAGCCACACCGCAGGAAGCCACGGAGGACCGCAACACAGCGGGGTGGCCAGGAGTGGCGTGGTGTTGAGCAGTGTTGGGAGGGGTGGTGTGGTGAGGCATGGTGTGGCTGTTGAGCAGTGTGGCGCGGAGTGGCGTGGAGAGCAGCGGGGAGGTGGTGAGCAGCGGTCTGGTGGTGCATAGCGGCGAGGCGGTGAGGAGTGGTGACGTGGCGAGGAGCAGTCGGTCTGGTACCGAGCAGCAGTGAGGTGGTGAGCAGCGACTGAGGCTTCACCTGAGTCTCTGGAGTCCTCTGCCAGTGGAGGCGCCGGTATTGCGCTGCCTGCGTCTGAAGCCCTGAAGCGTGGACACAGAGACACATGGAGTCAAACGGAGACACGCGGAGTCACACGGAGACACACGCAGTCACACAGAGCTAGGCGGAAACACACGGAGTCACACGGAGACACACGCAGTCACACAGAGCTAGACGGAGACACACGGAAACACACGCAGTCACACAGAGCTAGACGGAAACACATGGAGACACACGCGGTATGCCCTGATGGGCTTTCGTACAGGGGTCCCCAGCAGGGGTCTCATGTAGGGCCCCCCTTAAAAGGGGCTCTCTGGAAGAGTCCCTGGTGCGAGTGGGGTCTCTCACCCCCCCGACCCCCGTGTAGGGGTGCCTGGTGTGAGTGGGGTCTCTCACCCCCCCTACCCCCGTGTAGGGGTCCCTGGTGTGAGTGGGGTCTCTCACCCCCCCTACCCCCGTGTAGGGGTCCCTGGTGTGAGTGGGGTCTCTCATCCCCCCGACCCCCGTGTAGGGGTCCCTGGTGTGAGTGAGGTCTCTCACCCCACCGTGGCGGTGGTGGCGGTGGTGGCGGTAGTGGCGGTGGTGGGGGTGGCGGCCGCGTTCTCGTCGCGCAGCCTCTGGAGCTCGCGCTCGGCCTCGCGGCGCCGCTCCTTCTCCTTCTCCAGCTTCGCCTCCAGCCCCGAGTCGCCACGTAGACGCTGCAGCTCCTCCTCTGCGCGGGAGACACGAGCGGGCGCTGCCAACCGTCGCCCGAGCTCTGCGGCCGGATATGTTTGAGATGTTTTGCCGACTCCATTTCTATGTATGTGTGATGAACTTCTTTCGCACCGTACGTAGCCAACCGCACTGAACGAAAGTGAGAATTAATGAGTGTTGAACGTTGCCACAAATTCTTCTTCTTCTTGCTTCTCTTACACATATTATTAAGTGGATCCGTGCGGAACAATCGTGCCGGTTTTCGGCAAACTAGCCGTGTACATTTACAGTGCCGCAATTATACAACTGCATCAAACGCACGTACGCATGCATGCACGTACGCATGCTTGCACGTACGCAGTGGTGATGGTTACACACCGCACCAGGTGCTCATATAAAGCCGAATCGACCTAGGGGAGGCCTAGGACCTGTTCCAATATTCGTCACCGACGATGGCCGTGAACGACAATCGGAAACTCGGGTCGCCAGGTTCGTAGCGCAGCACACCAACCGCTGCGCCACCACTCCCCGGTCTCGTGAGCGCACACGACCGAGCGGCAGCAGCTCACGAGTCCACGCGCACGTCCGCTGGCACGTCGATCCGAGTCGTCGTCACGCATCAGCGAACGCGTGGCACATGCCACGCAGCCGCCCCACGCCGCACCCACGCGCCCGCGTGCATCGCGTGGGCGGTGCCGGGACTCACGCAGGTAGTATTTCTCCAGAAGAGCAATCTCGAGGTGACCTTTGACTTCGGACAGCTTGTCGTTGTCCAGCTGCTCGCCCTGTGAAGTGCCGAGTGTCTCCTGCACCATCAGCAACCACACGTAGCCGCGCGTGCGTTAAACCCTCAAAGAGATAAAGGTCTCCCCTTATAGCCTTAAGGCTCACTGGGGCGAGTGCTGTTAGCGAGCGCTTTATGAAGGCTGGAATGGCTCGTGAATTGGCCACTGTCGCGAGAGTTGTGTCCGGCCAGCTTCGTCTCTCTCCCCGGCACTGATGTTTACACATCACACTAGGTACTCATTTAAGGCTGAGTCGACCTTGGGAAAGGCCAGGACCGGTTCAGTTATCACTATCCAGACACTGAGCTAAGCATTGCACCACCACTCCACCACATTAAACCCTGCCACACCTGGCTATTACATCCTGACAGTCGCATGTAAGAATAATAATACTGTTTAAATTTACATATACTGTAACATCGTCATTCACGCAAATCGCCTATAAAAACGCACAATTAGAATTTGTAATGCAGCAGACTTTCGCACAGAGACGCAGGGGAAACCAACAGACAAGAAAGCGCTCGAGAAGGCATCCGGAACCGGCGTATATATTGGCATGTTTAGCAAAATTATTCAGTGGACTCGTGTGAACAATCACATGTGCTCGGCAAGTGATTTTTTTTAGTTTACAGTGCCACAAATTTATAGCTCCATCGTTGCAAGCTAACGTCGTCAAGGCTTTTCAACGATTGTAGAACAAATACACCGAGTGCATGTTTTATTGAGGGGGAGAAATGATGCAGCTTCGCCTCTCGGTATTGATCACCGTTACAAATCACTCCATCGGGATCACACGCAGCATCAATCATCGCACACCCTACTGGCAGACGAACGCCAGCTCGCAGGCCAGGTGCCGAGTCACCTTGTGCCACACACGGACAGCTGCCACTGGGGGTCCCCTTGGCTATACTACGCAGAAGCAATCATCGCCCCCTTCCGGCAGACGGATCCCTGCTGGCAGACCAGGTGCCCAGTCATCTTATGCCGCACAGGGACAGCTGCCACTGTGGGGGGGGGGGGGGGGGGATGGCCTCTGAAATGTGTTTGAGATGGGATACGACGAGGTGAGGCGAAGCGCTCTGTGACATCCCGGAGGGTGATGAGGGCGGCCCTATCGAACGCGAATCACCGTCACCGTCGCCACCACCGTCCGCCCCCGCCGCTACTCTATCGATCGGCGCGCGTACCGTTCGCCCCGGCTCTTCGTCCTGCTCCATGTGCAGGAGGTCGGGCGTGCTGCGCGACACCCTGGAGAGCTGCGCAGGAAGGGCGCCGGCCAGGGCGGCGGCACCGGCGGCGGCGCCGGCCACGGCAGCGGAGTTGGCCGACTTTGCGAGGAGCAGCGGGGGGGACGGAGGAGGCTGGGGAGGGGGTCCGTCCTCGCCAGGGCCCAGCTCGTTGTCGGACGCGTACGGGGAGTCGAACAGAACCCCCTGGGGCGCCGACTGCCCCGAGCGGAAGCCCATTTTCTCCCGGAGTCGGCGGCGCATGGTGCTCAGTCGGCTCCTGTGGCCCGGGGGATGAGGATCAGTTGGGGGGTCGAAGGTGAACGGGCGAACGAGTACAGATTCTGTGTTGATATAAATACAGTGAGGAGATGGCAACTGGCCCAAATCTATAAAGCATCACGCACCCGGAGACGCGCACGGCCCTGCCAACACTCGGCGCCACAATCAACACCACTCACACGTCACACACAGCACGGCACCACTAAGTGCTCACACGCACACACTGACACAAGACACAGATCTCCTGTATAGCCTTTCACACACTGTGGGGGCAAGTGCTGTTAGCGAGCACGGCACTCGAGGGAGTGGGTAGCTAGTACCACGCCCTGTCGCCTTTGTCTCCCCAGTGCCAATCGTTTACACACAACACCAGCTACTCATTTAAGGCTGAGTCGACCTAGTGGAGGCCCAGGACCAGTTCAGATATTCGTCACCGATGTTGCAAACTCAGATCGCCGTGTTCGTAGCGCAGCGCTCTAAACACTGTGCCACCGCTCCCCAAACATCTGTCGACACTACCGCACACCTACCACACACACTCACTCACACTTAGACCGCATGCCTTACCACACACCTATCGCACTCGGACCAACAGCCCTACCTGCTCACACACACGCACTTACCTACCACAGCACACATTCACACCGTGATCCGCGCACCCACCTATTCATAGCCACGCTGCAACACACCTACCCACCGACCTGCGAGAGCCCGTGCTTGTATCCCGGGGGTGGCTGGAATCCGGTCGGGCCGGCCACACCCGGCGCGCCTCGTCCAGGCGCGCGTCTGCATCCAGTGCGCGCTGCGGGGAGGGGAGGCGGGTGATGCGGAGGCGGCACGGTTAACCCGGTTATATTTATCCCAGCCCCAAATATCCAGCAACATCACGGCCACGATGTCGGTTCTCGCAGCCTCTGCAGACATCCCCGAGACGCCGACGCTGGGACACCGATTCTGGGGCCGCTGGCATTGGGGGTACCAACGCTGGGGCACCGACTCCCTTTGTACGGCTTTTTTGGAACAGCAGCAAATTTTATAAATGCATGTCTGGGTTCTTCAGCGAATCGATTGGGTGCGTCGTAAGTTGATGGTCGAATCGTATTAGTGCTGACACTGAGACAATTACATTCACAACAGGGCTGTGAGGTGGCCAGCAGATGGCTGTGTGGCGGTGGACTACTGAATCCATCTGTATGGAACATTCAGTGTTCCCTTTGTAGACGTGGTGGCTATTCTCCGGCTTATTCCAGTTTCCTGCCACGTGAAGCCAAACTCTCATCGATGAATTTCATGGCTAAACATCGCAATGTCGCAGCACCCTCCCTGAGAAATAGTCTTGACACTCAAACACTTTGCAGCTTTAATAACGCACATTCTTCATCTATCCCATCAGCTTATTGGCAACGATTGGGTGTCGAATTATTTCCACATTGGGTCTCTTTTTTCTTCAACCGGCATTCCCGATTCACTGAATCTCACATCTTTCTCTTATAGTTTTCTTTTGCCCGCTGCACCTACCCCCTCCAGCTTTTCTATCTTTTTGTGGATCACACAAATGTTGAAAAACCTCCTTCCCGTGGCCATCGAGGTCGCAATGCCCTGGCTTGTCAGGAAAAGGAGGACAGCAAGTGGATTAATCTGTGTTGCCTCCCCCAGGCACGCATGGGTTTGAACTCCGGTTTCCTCCCACAGATATCAACACTCGTTATCGGAGTTGGCCAAATATCTCAGATGAGGGCCACAGAGCTTGGTCAATTATTTTCGCCAACAGATTCTGGCTGCCTTCCAACTCCTGGGTGGTTTCCTGCGCCTGTGAATCTCACGAAAAACTGAACACTTTAAAAAAAGCTTCGTGCGTTTATTTATTTCTGGACAAAATTCCCTCTGGAGTGGAGACCGAGAGACGATCAAAGAGATGCAGAGATGGGGCAAGAAACGGAGGCAGCGAAACGGCATCACAGATTTCTGTGGCCACTACAGGGGCAACTGGGGTCAGTCAGGAAGGGAGTTGCTGGCTGATAGCCACAACAACAACAGCGACTTTTAACAGTTCCTAGAATCTGCCTTGCCCACTACGATCTCTCCCTCTCGCTCTCTCTGGGACTGGGGGCACTGCAAGACACCGACGTGAGCCTTGCTGTGAATTGAGAAATCACTAAGATGCCCTCAAAACTCCCGTATAGCCTTGAGCGGACCGTCTGGGCAAGTGCTGTTTGCGAGCACCTATGAAGAGTGGTACGGCACACGAAGGAGGTGGGTGACAAGCACCACGCCCGACCGCCTTTGTCTACCTAGTGGCAATTTTATATATTGAACCAGGTCCTAATTTGAGGCTGAGCCGACCTAGGCGAGGCCCAGGACCGGGTTCAGATATTCGCCACTGTTCTTGGCCATGAGCGGGAATCGAACTTGGGTCACCAGGTTCGTAGCGCAGTGCGCTGACCACTGCACCACCGCTCCCTACAAACTCCCTCCCAACAACAACAACAATCGCCGTTCACCATGGCACTTGTGCCATTCTAGGTGCACTTTGAGGCATCATTACAACCGTCTGGTCTACAGGACGGGTCCCGTTGGAAACTCCCTCCCACACACTCACCCAGAGACCTTTTTCTAACCTGGGCGTGATCTGTTTTGCAGTGTGTGGGTGTTTATGGAATCTGTGAGTGCATGTGTGTGCGTATCCATAACCGTGTGAGTCAGTCCCTGTGCTTTTGTAATCTGCATGTGTCCGGTTGTGTACTGGATATCTGCGATTTGTTTTGTACGTGTGTGATTGTCTTTGTGTGTATCAGTCCTTCTGGTCTAACTCTATGTAAATATATGATTGCGTGTAGAGGTCTACTTTTATGTGTGTTAATGTATAACCTGCGTGTGTGTTAGTGTCTTGTTTTATATCGGTGTGTGCGGTAATGTCTAATTATTAGTAAATGTCCTCGCCGATCTTAGCCCTTCCCTAGTGTCAGCTGAGACTTAAATAAGTACCAAGTCGCTGTCTCTAAAAAAAAATCATCACTGGGGGAGACAAAGACGACCGAGCCTGGGGCTCGCCACAATACCGATAACCCCACTTGCCCAAATGATCCGCTGAAGGGCAAGTCCCCTCTGTGTTTGTGGACGTACATGCTGCTTGCCCAGGGTGCATTGGGAGACTGCTGGATGCGAGGTGGTCGCCATCCAAGAACTATCCAGGCTCGGACCTGTTGAGCTTCCGGGAACTGGGCACATTCCGGATGTGCTGGTCATGCCTGGCCAACTCGGTAGGCATTCGGCGCAAACCTGCGGTTTTTGAAGTTGACATTGTCCCAACAATGTCAACTTGTACAGCACGTGTTCATCACGACCAACACAGGGGATCAGCACAAACACACGTTCATTTCCCACGCGGTGACTTTGGGTTTAACCAAAAAAACAAAGATTCCCCCGTGTAGCCTTAATAGACTGTTGAGGCAAGTGCTGGTAGCGGCACCTATGAAGGCTGGCACGGCAAACGAGGGGGTGGGTGGTCAGCACCATGCCCGCGCCGCCTTTTTCTCCGCACCAAGTACTCATTTGAGGCCGAATCGACCTAGGGGAGGCCCAAAACCGGCTCAGATAATTGTCACTGATGTTGGCAGCTGTGAGCGGGAATCGAACTCGGGTCGCCGGGTTTGGAGCGCAGCACACAGAGAGGCACAGAAATTAAGAAGAGCCATTGTCCAACACGTCGCCTTTTATAACACTTGTACAGTGTTACTAGTTCCTGTTGCTATGTGTATAGGACGTGTACATTCTGAAAAAACACAGGGGGGGGTCACCACAAACACACGTTAAATGTCCCACACAGACACGCGCACTCTTTAGACAAACCACGAACGCTTGAATAGAGCGGCAAGTGGGTTAGCCCGAAAATCCATAACACAGGTTTTTTTTGGTTAGATCGCGTAAATATATGTGTCATTTTCACCCGCCACCATCTGACACAGCCGACTAGTAAGGGTTGACGTTTCGGCAGTAATTACAACTAGCTTCATCAGGCAACAGCCAGATTTGTGGAAAAAACCTCCTGTTTTCTCCTGACTGGCGAAACGTCGTACTCAGATTGTAAATGTTGTGGCTTGGCTCTCCACCACACCGGTGTGCTGTACTAGTAACGAATTGTCATGTTTTCTTTACGTGACAAATTATACTAATTGGCTGTGTCAGGTGGTGGCGGGTGAAAATTACACATTTATATATTTACACGATCTAACCCTCCAAAAAAAAACCTCTTATCATGGATGATATTGGTCGAGAAAGCCTCCTAGTCGGTGTGAAGCTAGCCCGGCAATGTTTACAGGAACTGGTCCCTCTTTATCCACCAACGTGGAGGTCCCTCGGATCTCCGGACCGCCTTCCTCGAATGATTCTTGAGGTCCAGGCTCTGTTCTTCGGCTGGTCGGGCTTTCGCCAGCACCTTGCAGCTCACAAGCTCAGAAAACATCGCTTTGCCTGTGCTAATAAGACAATCGGAGTCGTGAGCTACATTTGAATTTTGTTCTGGAAACTCTTTAAACTGGACTTTACCCCCCTTAGTTCCGTTTCGCCCTGCAGGCCCTGTGTATTTACTGCATTACATGCACGGTGGCGCATCGACGAATCTACCGAAGAAATTGCGCCTTGCAAGCGTTGATGGTTATTCCTCTTGATACGACAACGCCACGGGCGCTGTGCGAGGCTGAGGAGTGAATGAGGAGGTTTCGTGGCCATGCGCGCTCAGATGGGCCCTCTGGTCAAAGTCACAAAAAGTCAAAACTACAGAAAACTGGCGACTGGTTTGCTGACCGCCCCACTCATTCACAGCAGACGCTCGGGGCAATGGTATGCAGGCAAACACACAGTCACTGTGCTCAACCATCAGCGTGTCTGTCTGCGTGTGTGCGTGTCTGGGTGTGTGTCTGTCTGTGTGCGTGTCTGGGTGTCTGTCTGTGTGCGTGTGTGTCTGTGTGCGTGTCTGTCTGTGTGCGTGTGTGTCTGTGTGCGTGTCTGGGTGTGTGTCTGTGTGCGTGTGTGTCTGTGTGCGTGTCTGTCTGTGTGCGTGTCTGTCTGTGTGTCTGTGTGCGTGTCTGTCTGTGTGCGTGTCTGTCTGTGTGCGTGTGTGTGTGCGTGTGTGTCTGTGTGCGTGTGTGTCTGTGTGCGTGTCTGTCTGTGTGCGTGTCTGGGTGTGTGTCTGTGTGCGTGTCTGTCTGTGTGCGTGTCTGGGTGTGTGTCTGTGTGCGTGTGTGTGTGCGTGTGTGTCTGTGTGCGTGTGTGTCTGTGTGCGTGTCTGTCTGTGTGCGTGTCTGGGTGTGTGCGTGTCTGGGTGTGTGCGTGTCTGGGTGTGTGCGTGTCTGGGTGAGTGCGTGTCTGTCTGTGTGCGTGTCTGGGTGTGTGCGTGTCTGGGTGTGTGCGTGTCTGTGTGCGTGTCTTTCTGTGTGCGTGTCTGTCTGTGTGCGTGTCTGTCTGTGTGCGTGTCTGGGTGTGTGCGTGTCTGGGTGTGTGCGTGTCTGTCTGTGTGCGTGTCTTTCTGTGTGCGTGTCTGTCTGTGTGCGTGTCTGTCTGTGTGCGTGTCTGTCTGCGTGCGTGTCTGTGTGCGTGTCTGTCTGTGTGCGTGTCTTTCTGCGTGCGTGTCTGTCTGCGTGCGTGTCTGTCTGCGTGCGTGTCTGTCTGCGTGCGTGTCTGTCTGCGTGTGTGTCTGTCTGTGTGCGTGTCTGTGTGCGTGTCTGGGTGTGCGTGTCTGGGTGTGTGTGTGTCTGGGTGTGTGTCTGTGTGCGTGTCTGGGTGTGTGTGTCTGGGTGTGTGTCTGTGTGCGTGTCTGTGTGCGTGCGTGTGTGTCTGTCTGTGTGTCTGTGTGTGTCTGTGTGCGTGTGTGTAGCGGTTAGCGCGCTGCGCTATGAACCCGGCGACCCGAGTTCGATTCCCGCTCACGGCCAACACCAGTGACGATTATCTGAACCGGTCCCGGGCCTCCCCTAGGTCGACTCAGCCTAAAATGAGTACCTAGTGCGATGTGTAAACATCGCCACTAGGGAGACAAAGGCGGTCGGGCGTGGTGCTGGCCACCCACCCCCTCGCATGCCGTTCCGGCCTTCATAGGTGCTCTCTAACAGCACTTGCCCCTACAGTCTGTTAAGGCTACACGGGGATCTTTATCTTTGTGTCTGGGTGTGTGTGTGTCTGTCTGGGTGTGTGTGTCTGGGTGTGTGTGTGTCTGTCTGGGTGTGTCTCTCCGTCTCCGTGTTCACCTGATCCTGTGTCGCTGTTCACCGTCTCTCTGTCTCTGTGTCTCACTGTCTTGGCCCCCGTGTCCCTCTGTTCCTGGTGTTTGTGTGTGTGTCTGTGTTTCATGTCCGTCTGTCCCTGGTGTCTCTCTGGTCCTGGTGTCTTTCTGTCCTCGTGTCCCTCTGTTCTTGGTGTTTGTGTGTCTGTATCCCCGTGTCCCTCTGTCCCCGTGTCTCTGTGTGTGTCTGTGTCCCCGTGTCTCTGTGTGCGTCTGTGTCCCCGTGTCTCTGTGTGTGTCTGTGTCCCCGTGTCTCTGTGTGTGTCTGTGTCCCCGTGTCTCTGTGTGTGTCTGTGTCCCCGTGTCTCTGTGTGTGTCTATATCCCCGTGTCCCTCTGTTCCTGGTGTTTGTGTGTGTGTCTGTGTCCCTGTGTGTCTGTATTTCATGTCCGTCTGTCCCTGGTGTATCTCTGGTCCTGGTGTCTTTCTGTCCTCGTGTCCCTCTGTTCTTGGTGTTTGTGTGTCTATATCCCCGTGTCCCTCTGTCCCCGTGTCTCTGTGTGTGTCTGTGTCCCCGTGTCTATGTGTGTGTCTGTGTTCCCGTGTCTCTGTGTGTGTCTGTGTCCCCGTGTCTATGTGTGTGTCTGTGTTCCCGTGTCTCTGTGTGTGTCTGTGTCCCCGTGTCCCCGTGTGTGTCTGTGTCCCCGTGTCTCTGTGTGTGTCTGTCTCCCCGTGTCCCTCTGTCCCCGTGTCTCTGTGTGTGTCTGTGTCCCCGTGTCTATGTGTGTGTCTGTGTTCCCGTGTCTCTGTGTGTGTCTGTGTCCCCGTGTGTGTCTGTGTCCCCGTGTCTCTGTGTGTGTCTGTGTCCCCGTGTCCCTCTGTCCCCGTGTCTCTGTCTCCCCGTGTCTCTGTGTGTGTCTGTGTGTGTCTGTGTCCCCGTGTCTCTGTGTGTGTCTGTGTCCCCGTGTCTCTGTGTGTGTCTGTGTCCCCGTGTCTCTGTGTGTGTCTGTCTCCCCGTGTCTCTGTGTGTGTCTGTGTCCCCGTGTCTCTGTGTGTGTCTGTGTCCCCGTGTCCCTCTGTCCCCGTGTCTCTGTCTCCCCGTGTCTCTGTGTGTGTCTGTGTCCCCGTGTCCCTCTGTCCCCGTGTGTGTCTGTGTCCCCGTGTCTCTCTCTGTCCCTGGCCTCCCTCTCTCCTTCTGTCCCCGGACCCGTCTCTCTGCTGTCCGTCCCTTCGTGTCCCTTCGTCTCCTATCCACCCCACAAGCCTGTCCCACTCCCCCCACTCCGTGTCCCTCCGTCTTCTATCCACCCCACAACCCTGTCCCCCCCCCCCCCCCTGCGTGTCCCTGCGATGTCTCGGTTTGAAGGTCCCGCCACGACGAGGGTGTCCCGCACCCACCTTGCAATCTCTCCTCGCTCTCTCGTCGCCTTCCTCCTCCTCCTCTTCTCGCTCTGATACAATCGCTGCTCTCAACTCTTCTCTCAAGCGTCGTGTGACACCACCCCGGGCCGCTGTGTCGCTGTCACTGCTTCCTCCTCCTTGATGGCTGCTGCTGCTTCGCTGATGTGTGGTGGTGTTGTTGTTGTTAATCCGTCGAGTCGATGTCGCGCTGCTGCTCGGGGTGGGAGGAGGCAGCGGAGGAGGGAGGGAGGAGGGACGGGGCGTGGGGACGGGCACATTGGGGATCGATAACTCGTGCAGGGGAGCGGTGGGGCGGTCTAAATCAGGGAGCAGGGAGGGACAGAGCGGAGTTGAGGGGCCGTCCATAAATGACGTCACGCACCTGGGGGGGGGGGGGGTGGTGGTCAGACATTTGTGACGATGTGTGACAGGTTTGAGAAATGTGACGTCACATGAACATCAAAATGCGCAACTTTAAATAAATATAGAATTCATCTTCTTGGTTCTTTCGGTAAAGTCACGTAGAAGGGAAGTAATAAAATAATAAAAATAAAACATAATAAAATAATTCTCACGACGTTTCGGCCACAACACAAGCAGCCGTCCTCAGGTGAAGGCCAGGTCTACGTGACTTTACCCAAAGAAGCAAGAAGATGAATCCCTGCAGTCACGAAAGCTTTAAATCGAAATATAGAATTGTTATAACACCACTCCTACAACGTCAGAGTGCATTAAATACGCACTACAATGACAATAGTTTAAAGCGATTTGAAGCATGCTTTATTTTCAAAATGGAAATATGGTTTTGGGGGGGGGGGGGGCAGAGCTTTGTGACGTCATATTTGAGGGGGGGTCTGACTTTTTGTGACGCCGTGTGACGAGGGGGGGGGGGGGGGGTCAAAAATCGTCCAAAATCGCGTGACGTCATTTATGGGCGGCGGGGGGGGGGTCAAGCAGAACAGGTGTAGCAGAGAGGTGCAACTGGGAATTGAGGACACTGGGAGTAGAAGTGTGGGGGGGGGGGGTAACTCTCTAGATTCTGGGGGGGGGGGGGGGGGAGTAGAGAACAAAGGGGATCACCGAATGTCAGTGGGGGGGGGCAGAGGGAGCGGGTCAAGAACAATGGGGGGAGCAGAGGGGGGCATCAGGTCGTGCGGGAGCGTGGAAGGGATCAGAGAGAGTAGGGAGGGGTGCGGGGGGGGGAACAGGAGTCTCGTGGTGGGAGAGGACCTGTGGGGGCGGGGAGTTTGAGAGCTGGGAGCTGCCCTTGCCCGGCTCCTGCTTCCTGTAAGAGCGCCCCCTCGTGGAGGACCCCCGCACCTGGCCCCCGTGCCCCCCCCCACTCCGTGCCTGCCCCCCCCATGCCTGCCCCCCCCCCATGCCTGCCCCCCCGTGCCTGCCCCCCCATGCCTGCCCTCCCCCATGCCTTCCCCCCCGTGCCTGCCCCCCCATGCCTGCCCCCCCCATGCCTGCCCCCCCGTGCCTGCCCCCCCCGTGCCTGCCCCCCCATGCCTGCCCCCCCCATGCCTGCCCCCCCCGTGCCTGCCCCCCCCATGCCTGCCCCCCCCGTGCCTGCCCCCCCGTGCCTGCCCCCCCCATGCCTGCCCCCCCCGTGCCTGCCCCCCCGTGCCTGCCCCCCCATGCCTTCCCCCCCGTGCCTGCCCCCCCCATGCCTGCCCCCCCCCATGCCTGCCCCCCCCATGCCTGCCCCCCCGTGCCTGCCCCCCCCGTGCCTGCCCCCCCATGCCTGCCCCCCCCATGCCTGCCCCCCCATGCCTGCCCCCCCCGTGCCTGCCCCCCCCATGCCTTCCCCCCCGTGCCTGCCCCCCCATGCCTGCCCCCCCCATGCCTGTCCCCCCCATGCCTGCCCCCCCATGCCTGCCCCCCCGTGCCTGCCCCCCCGTGCCTGCCCCCCCATGCCTGCCCCCCCATGCCTGCCCCCCCGTGCCTGCCCCCCCCGTGCCTGCCCCCCCATGCCTGCCCCCCCCATGCCTGCCCCCCCCGTGCCTGCCCCCCCCATGCCTGCCCCCCCCGTGCCTGCCCCCCCGTGCCTGCCCCCCCCCCATGCCTGCCCCCCCATGCCTGCCCCGCCCGTGCCTGCCCCCCCCCTGTGCCTGCCCCCCCCATGCCTGCCCCCCCCATGCCTGCCCCCCCATGCCTGCCTCCCCCGTGCCTGCCCCCCCCCGTGCCTGCCCCCCCCCGTGCCTGCCCCCCCGTGCCTGCCCCCCCATGCCTGCCCCCCCCGTGCCTGCCCCCCCCGTGCCTGCCCCCCCTTGCCTGCCCCCCCCGTGCCTGCCCCCCCCCTCCGTGCCTGCCCCCCCCATGCCTGCCCCCCATGCCTGCCCCCCCCCCGTGCCTGCCCCCCCCCCTCCGTGCCTGCCCCCCCCAGGCCTGCCCCCCCCCGTGCCTGCCCCCCCATGCCTGCCCCCCCCCGTGCCTGCCCCCCCCCATGCCTGCCCCCCCCCGTGCCTGCCCCCCCGTGCCTGCCCCCCCCGTGCCTGCCCCCCCATGCCTGCACCCCCCCGTGCCTGCCCCCCCCCCGTGCCTGCCCCCCCCATGCCTGCCCCCCCCATGCCTGCCCCCCCCATGCCTGCCCCCCCCCGTGCCTGCCCCCCCCATGCCTGCCCCCCCCATGCCTGCCCCCCCATGCCTGCCTCCCCCGTGCCTGCCCCCCCCCGTGCCTGCCCCCCCCGTGCCTGCCCCCCCGTGCCTGCCCCCCCATGCCTGCCCCCCCCGTGCCTGCCCCCCCCGTGTCTGCCCCCCCTTGCCTGCCCCCCCCGTGCCTGCCCCCCCCCTCCGTGCCTGCCCCCCCCATGCCTGCCCCCCATGCCTGCCCCCCCCCGTGCCTGCCCCCCCCCCTCCGTGCCTGCCCCCCCCAGGCCTGCCCCCCCCCCGTGCCTGCCCCCCCATGCCTGCCCCCCCCCCGTGCCTGCCCCCCCCCATGCCTGCCCCCCCCCGTGCCTGCCCCCCCGTGCCTGCCCCCCCCATGCCTGCCCCCCCGTGCCTGCCCCCCCCATGCCTGCACCCCCCCCGTGCCTGCCCCCCCCCCGTGCCTGCCCCCCCATGCCTGCCCCCCCCATGCCTGCCCCCCCCCATGCCTGCCCCCCCCATGCCTGCCCCCCCCCCCCCCGTGCCTGCCCCCCCATGCCTGCCCCCCCCATGCCTGCCCCCCCCCCGTGCCTGCCCCCCCGTGCCTGCCCCCCCATGCCTGCCCCCCCCATGCCTGCCCCCCCCATGCCTGCCCCCCCCGTGCCTGCCCCCCCCATGCCTGCCCCCCCCCCCCCCGTGCCAGCGCGTGTATTTTCATAATTTTTGCATGGTGTACAGTCTGGAAAGTATCCACGTGGCAAATTTCAAGTTTGTTGCATGTCGGGAAGTACGTTAAACATTTTGAACAGACACACAATCACACATTTCCCTTTTATATATATGGAGATATTGGGGGGGGGGGGGCATTTTGAGCATATTTGAATATTGGGGGGGATGTGTCCCAATATGTATTATAATTACGGCCTTGGCGTGCTTAAGCACACGCCGCGGGTTGCTGTGTGGACGGTTAGCTTCATTTTCTGGGCTACGTTGTCATCAGATGGTACTGTGGTGCATCACAGTCGACTTACTGTACTGTACTTCTACGCTTCAAAAGATATGCGTCTCACCATCACCGGGCCGCGCTGACCAGCGTGGTGAAGTATGTTCAAGTAACACCCGCGTGACCCGCACGGCGTGGGGAGGCACTCATCCAGCAGTGGATTGACAGAGAAGACCTGTCCGTGTACACAGTGGTCGCGCCTGGCATGATCAAACTAAGTAAAAGTGTAGTAGTGCCCCAACAAGATAAAAGTCAGCTCAACTGCAAATGATAATAAAAATAGATAAACCAATTAACACAAACAACTGACACAAAAGTTCATGAAGATAAAACGCGAAAATCTCCACCCATTCATGTCGGTCTTTCTTCTCGTCCAAATCTATTCTGTCATCTCGCTTGAGAGTTTGTGAATCTAAAGGCTGGCACCCCAGAATACTGTATATGCTTCTGCCCCCCACTGCATGTACATACCCAGTAAACATAGAACGCTGGGCCAACTGTTCCAACCACACGCCAAGGCCGGACGTCTACTGGGCATGTACACAGCCGTCAGCGATCCTGCCAACGCCCGGTCTGAAATAATGTATCAATATCAGTGCGGTGGGCAGAGCACGCGTGAACACATCTCACGGGGCATTGGTCTCGCTGAATCTGAGAGAGACCAGGACCGTATTTATGTTGTGTGGCAAGGTCGCCGAGATCATCAGCTCGTTTCAGATTTGTGTTTATTGATCAGAATCTTTATTTAAGACTGGAGGAACCCGATGAGCGATGCAGCTCTTTTTAAATCTTTTACATTAAGTTCACTTGCTTGCTTGCGTGCTTGCTTACGACCGTGCAAATCTTTCGGTCGTTTTTTAACCCACTTCCCGTGATCCAATCGAGCTGACATTTTGCACACAGACTCGTTGTGCGTGACAATTAATGTTCGTGAAATTTTTTTCCAAAATTTTACACTTTTTAGGACAAAAAATATTATATTTAATTACCAATTGCTTAATGGTGCCATGCAATCATCTGACCCATAGGTGGCAGCCATCTCAAGCCAGAGGACGAGAGGACTCTAGCCGCCACGCATATAAAGGATTTATAGTGAAAAACTTTGTTTTTACGGGTTATACTTGTTTCGATCGATGTCCCGGTACTCTTTGGTTCTTTCGGTAAAGCCACGTAGGTGAAAAATAATAAATAGAAATAAATAAATCACGACGTTTCGATTACAACACAATCATCATCAGGTGACAACCACAGCAAGGAAATTAAGTAAAAATGTCCTTGCTGTGGTTGTCACACCTGATGATGATGATTGCTTGTGTTGCAATCGAAACGTCGTGATTTATTTCTATTTAGTATTTGTAATATTTATTTATTTAGTATGGATCCTTGCAGTCACAAAAACTTCAAATCTAGAATGATGTCCCGGTATTTAATCCCACGCTCGAGTCTCCACTACAAGGGACGACACGCAAGGGATTTATGTATTTGTTAAACACACACGCAAACCCACAAGGGGCCAATTCCACCGCCGGCAAACGCCAGAACAACACGTCCGCCTGTTCCAGGGCAATCAAGCGAGCTGGCGACGCCCAATTGGACAGTTGCAACCGATTTGAAGCGACAGAAGGTGGTCTGAATCAAAGTCCTGGGCTTCCTGCCACCATTGAGTTATGCAGTGGATTGATAAACGGCTCGACATTTCATTCTATTTTTTATTTCCACACTACACATATATAAAGCCACACAATGGCCTTGCGTGGCCAACGCATATCAGACATCGCTCAAACCGCAACGCCTTTGGACGTTTTCGCTGGCCTTGTTGGTTTCACGTGGAAATAATGAGACGCCTGTAATGTGGCAGGACTCTGCTGGGAAATGAGACTTGAATCTCGAGGCTTTATTGTGGTTAAACATAGTTTCCAATTACGTCAGAAAGTGGCAGAGATTCTAAGGAGACTACTTTTTCCCACACAAATCAGGAGTATCAAGCGTGTACACGCTCACAAGTCGTGATTGTGACGTTTGCGAATTAACTAGCGCTGCAACGATTAAACTTGATTCCTGACCCAAACGATACTCGCATTGATTCCTTTGCCAACAAATCGATTATGATTGTGGAAATCGCAATGCAAATTATACGACGATGTCGTATTTCTGTGTTCATATTCACGCTGACGTGGCCCAGGGGACATGGGCAGTGTAATTGGAGGCAAAATGAGATGGACAAACCGGGGCAGAAACAAAACCACAGCACGGACAAATCAAGGACGACATAATAGGGTACTAATTAGATAATACAAACCAGTACAAAAGTGATTGGACAGCAGCTGTGCCATTGTACGAATACAGCGCAAATTTACAACAATAAGCAGTGCAGTCAGTGGACAAGACAATACATAGGGAACAGTACAAAATGTGACAGTACTAAAAGGAACACTATTTTTTTTGTTACCATTATTTGGCTCATATCAGCTCCAATTACAAAACATGGCTTTATCTGACAATGTAACACGTTTGCTGAGCATATGAAAAGGAAAATTCTGCACCCCGAGTAGGGGATAAAGGTCCGGTGAAGTGACTAAACACAAGTATTAACATCACATCGTCTTCTGGGACTATTTTCTGACACAGGGTGGTGGATTGCTATCTCCCAGGGTTCCAGATGTAAGCATTTCCTTGTCTCATGCCATTGAAATCACAATTACATGATTAGGGAGATTGTGGCCATGCGGCCAAACCTATGGACCATATAATAAGTCCACTGTTAGTGTATGCTCCTTCAACGGAGCAAAACTACGTGAACTCTCTCGGAAAACCATCTCGTGGCTAGCATACCTTAACATTGGTGTTTAAAAAGCAGACAAACTGTATAATTAAAAACAAATACGGAGAGATAAAACATGCCAATGAGTTGCTTTCCCTATAGTGGCTGAGTAGTGTTCGTTGGTGCCGTGTCTGTGAGAACAAGGGTGGCTCAGTCTCACCATCCGCAACAGGTCCCTCGGACAGGGCATGCGGTCACGCTGAACACCATGGCACATGACCTTAGTGGCCTTAAGAGCGGCACCAAGTGGAGGCCAGTGCAGGCCCTGGATGCGGTTTAAGGGCTGTAGCCGAGAGGCAACGGAGGGGAGGGCGCGAGCATCATGCACACCACAAGGCCACGTCTGCAAAAGTCATTTTTATTACCAACTCGTAATCGTGTAGAGAGCAGCAGAGCTTTCACACGGTGCGGTGTGCAGCTAAACAATCGTGACAACAGCTTTTGACAACGTAACGCTCGCTCCCCACGGACACTCGCTTGTGCTGTCGCGAGGGCTTACGGCGAAAAAAAACTGTGGATACAAATTGCACATGATTTTTCAGGTGCATCTGTCCCCTCAATCAGCGCCAGGAAGCGCTAACCCCTCTGCCTATATCGCACGCAGTCTCATGCAAGTGCCAAGTGTTCAGCAGCAGCAAGGCTGACGAGAGACCAGCGCCCGCCAGGATGCCAGCCACCCGACCACCAGAGATGCTGCTGCGTCTCCCGTCTCTCGCCCTCTGTAAGGCGGCATCCCGATGTTGGGGGACGTTGGTGTTGGCGATGAAGAAGAGACCGTGGGCAAGGTGTGTGGCCCGGTCACCAGCGAAGGATCCGCACGCCCCAGCGGCCGCCCCAGCGGCCCAGGCGGAAGCAGCCGTACCCAGCCAGACCCAGCACGGTGGCCTTCAGGATCAGCCTCACCGCGCGGGCAGTGCGCGTTGGCGGAGGTATCCTGACACAAAGACAACGATCCCCCATATATAGCCTTACATACTGTAGGAGCAAGTGCTGTTAGCTGACACTTATGAAGGCTGACACAGCACACGAGGGGGTGAGTAGCCAGCACCGCACCCAACCGCTTTTGCCTCCCTAGTGCTCATGTTTACACGCCGCAATAGGCACTCATTTAAGAGTGATTCGACCTAAGGGAGGCCTAGGATCGGTTCAAATATTTGCCACTGTTATTGGTCGTGAACAGGAATCGAACTTAGGTGGTTGGATTCATAGTGCAGAGCGCTAACCACGAAATTGCCATTCCCCACACATACGCGCGTGTGCGGAGCACGGCGTTCACACCCTCCTTCTCCACTATGCGCCCGAGTTATTGCGGCCACTAAGCATGCACCAATGGATCGATTCACTTATTAAATTCGATTATGCTCACAGTACATACACAGCATCACGCGCTTGAGAGTCAATGTGTGAGTTATGCAACCAATTGAGGTATGTATGTAAATTGCATGCAAATAGCATGCTGTGACAATTATGCTAATGTTTGGAGTAAAAACTGTACAAATGACACAAAGACTGAGAATACAAGGCAGCTAAATCGTCAATAAAAACAAAATCTATTCTTTACGTGAATTGTAACCTGAAATCATAACAATGTTTTGAATCTCGGGGGAGGGGGGTAGGGGGGGGGCAGTGGGCATCAGAAAACGTGCTCAGTGGCTGCCAAAGCTTCTAGCATCAGAGGAGCAGTGCAGGCCTCCTATGCAACGTGCATCTCCACGTGATCACCTGACGACAGCTTGGATGTCCAGGGGGAGGTCCCAGTTTTTCTCAATGCCGGGGACGTGGCCAATCCCCACCACGCCCACCACCACCGCCGGTACTGGTGCTGTCACAAACAAAGACAAAGATCCCCCGTATAGCCTTTAACAGACTGTTGGGGCAAGTGCTGTTAGTGAGCAGCTATGAAGGCCGGCACAGCACACGAGGGGGTGGGTGGCCAATACCACGTTTAGCCGCCTTTGTCTCCCCAGTGGTGATATTTACACACTGCACCAGGGACTCATTTGAGGCTGAGTCGACCTAGGGGAGGCCCAGGACCAGTTCAGATAGTCGTCACCAGTGTTGGCTGTAAGCAGGAATCAAACTCAGGTCGCTGGGTTCGTAGCGCAGCATGCTAAGCGCTACACTACCGTTCCCTCAACACACACACGTTGGTAATGCGGCTGTGAATCGGTTCACCGAGAGGCGATGCGACTGTGGATGTCTTTCCGCGTGTGCGTGGGGTGGAGGGGGTGGCGGGTACCGGCGTGCCGCGAGTGCGGGGGCCGCAGTGGCCGCGCCGCCTGCCGTAAAGTGTACGCCAGGTAAATGTCGCGCTCCGACACGATGGTGCGGTGAAGGTCTGGGAACTCCCCGATCATCTCCGCCATCGTCTGCTCAAGCAGATCCTTCTGCTTGCACCGCTCCACGTCCTCCTTACTGACCACACGCGCAAACTTACCAACCACACAACCCCCTTACCAGCCATACGTACACTAACTACACGCACTATTAATAACCACATGCACACGACCCACACAAGATGTCAAACCCACAGCCATCACCTACTAACCCCACACCCTCCTTACTAACCACACAAACACATTTACTAACCAGGTGTACCACTTATTAACTGCATGCACACGACATTGTGTGCCATTTACTAAGCACTAGGGTAAACAAAAATTGTATCGTCTGTTCTGCTAATTATCGCAATGATCCTTGAATTTTCTTCAAATATTTAATTTCTTTACAAAATATTTTTTGAATGTCAAACTCAGAAATAAAAGTTGAAAGTAAATAGCTATAATCCATGAAACTAATGCTTTAAAAATGTTTGTCGGAATACTTTATGGCATGGCAATATGACTCATTGTTTTAAAAGTTTGTTTTAATTTAATGTTTTTATCCCTGATAGCTTGTGGATTATAAACGTTATTGCAATGAATAAAATACATATGGCAGGCAGACTTAAGCTGCGTGAACTGCAGTTGCAGAACATAAGTAATCTTCATGCAAGCACAGAAAAGTACAAATACGATTCAATTAAATTGTGCAATAACTACAAAGTTATGGAAAATAAATGTTGTGATAATTATTGTACCGTGATATTTTATTTTGTATCGTGTCTCAAACGATTAGATCACAATCCTAAAACTTGCGAACCACACACACACACATAACTGCATTCCAACTGCTGGAGCAAGTGCCGTTAGCAAAAACCTACTAGGAGGTGGTGTGGACTTTTTACTCAGTTTGATTATGCAAAGTAACATTGTCCCCCGACTGAAAAAAACATGGCAGGATCCTCCTGAAAAAGTCCTGAGACTCAGTGAGGCTTCCAGGGTAAATAAACAAAATCATAACAATAACACATCATAAAAAAAACCTTGTCGACCGTCCTTACTTAAGCACCCGGTAACCATAGACTTCTCTGCTACACAACAACACGCCGACTAAAAGTCCCATACATCTGCCAACTCGACGCACCTGCACACACAGAGCCCTACCTGATGGGGTCGGACATGAAGACTAGCCCCCAAGTGAGCTTGAGCTTCTGCCAGAGCGACAGCGCTGCAATGGCTCTCTTGAAGGTGATGGGGATGGGGCGGTCTCCCAGCTGGAATCGGCACAGGGGCACGTGCCCAGCCTGGTGCACGCAATGGAAAGAGACAAAAGATTCACCCGTGTAGCCTTTAACAAAATGTCGGGGCAAGCGCCGTTAGCGAGCATCTGTGAAGGTGGCCAACGGCACGCCCATCCGCCTAAGTCTCCTCAATGCTGATGTTTACACACCGCACCAGGTACTCATTTGAGGCTGCTGAGTCGACCTACGGGAGGCCCAGAATAGGCAAAAAAAATTGCCACTGTTATTGGTCGTCTGCGGGAATTGAACTTGGGTTGCCAGGGTCATAGCGCAATGCACTAACCACTACACTGCCGTTGTGTGTGTATCCATGCACACGAGCACACATGCGTGTGCACACTACTAGCCTTTAGGTTAAGTGCACTTTGAGGCACAGTGAAGTGTGAAGGCTCGCTGGACGGTCTCGGGAGAGACCCAGCTAATATTGGTTAACTGAAATAACTGGCAGCTACACACACAGGCGTGTTAGCAAACAACCATTACCAGACTGTTGGAGCAATTTCCATTATCGAGCACCTATGAAGGCTGGCACGGTGGAGGAGACGGTGGAGCAAAGACAAAGATCCCCAGTATAGCCTTTAACAGACAGTTGGGGCAAGTGCTGTTAGTGAGCACACAAAGGCTGGCACTGTCCACTAAGGGGTGGGTGACCAACACCATGACGGGCCACCTTTGTATCCCCAATGCTGACATTTTCTTACAGATGGCACCAGGTACTCATTTAAGGACAAGTTCAGATAATCATCACTGGTGTTGGTTGTAAGCAGGAATTCAACTCTGGTGGCCGGGTTTATGACGCAGTGCGCTAAACACTACAATAACGCTCCCCACACTAGCGTACGCATGCATGCATATACACACACTGCACAAACGCTTACAAACTTGAGACGGTGCTCCACCAGTTCAATGTCACATGTAGTGATGCACACTGCGTACACACAGCAGCGGTAGGGCAGCTACCTCCTGGTAAGCTGTGCGAAACTCCCCTCCGGGGGCCATGCCCAGCTGCTCCGTGATGTGAGCCGACACCTTCAGCAGCAACATCTGCATCAGCCCTGACATAAGGCCGTTCTGCATGCCCACAAACACACACACACACAAAGGTAAATATCCTCCATATGGACGTACTAAGTATTGGGGCAAGTGTGTTACCAAGCACATACGACTGCCATGGCATATAAGCAGGGCTGGTGTGGCCAAAAATGCACACAGGCCATCTGTGTACCCGGAGTGGTAATGTTTACACAGCGCATCAGGTACTAATTTAAGGCCGAGTTGCCCTTGGGGAGGCACAGGACAGGTTCATAAATTATTCCCCTCTAATGTTGGGCTTTTAATTCAGGTCGCCAGGAATATAGTGCAATGCACAAATTCCGCACTGCCGTTACCCACAGACATTCCACAAACACTCACACGGGAGACTGTGTAGAGGGTTGTAGGGAGAGACAAGAGGGGGGGAGAGGTAGGATAGTGTGCGGAGGGGTGAAAATTGTGATGGGGTCGGATGAGGAGCCAGTGGGGGGCGATCGGAGGCCTCATTTACAGGTGCAGGTGAGGAGTCGGGCACCTGCTTGATGGCCTGCTGCAGCTTGTCAAGGCTGAGCTCGCGAGCCTCTCGCAGCAGCGTCGTCTCATCCAGCTTCAGCATGGACACGCGGTACTGGCAGAGCTCAACCAGCACCACGTCCGGCTGCACCGCGCGAATCGTCTGCGCCGCGCCACCACAATCGCCGACAGCACCGGTTACCCAGTGTGGCCGAGATATGCCGCTGCGAGTCTTGCCACCCCCCCTCCCCCCATGGCTCCATGGAATGCACTCAGGTGTCACTGGTGCCTGATAATAAAGCTGCAAGATTCGCCTTTCCTGCTGACGTATCCTGGTATCTTCAACTCACACAATGCTCGGCTTACATCGTAACGCCCCCTGGGGTCTGAACTTTCACTTCACAGCTTCTCAATAGGGTGGCCACGATATCGTTTTTCACAACACGATACAAGATTAAAGTTCATGATGTGACGTTTATCGCAAGATCAGTTTCCCAAAACGATGTAATTGAATTTCACAATTTTGTTGCATCAATGGTCTGCTTTGTTGTACTTCCAGTACAAATGAAGGTCAGTTAAAAGTCCTTTGACTGCACTTATTTCAGATATTCTGTTCCTTGCAGAAAAGTAATGAGTAAACAACGAAATGAATTACAGTACAACAGCCCTGCTGTCATTTACTCTGGAAAACATACTGCAAAGCACAAAGTTGATTGGTGATAGCTACTGAATTTTTATATAATTAGGATTTTTTTTTATAGATTTATATTTTTGTCTCCCAATTATTCCTATTGTATTATTGGCATCATGTCAAGACTCAAAGTATCCATCTGGAACTCTCACACAGCAGTGTGCCACTCGTGTTACCAAAGTGCCCACGAAAGTACACATCGTAGAACCACTTATGAAATCCATTGAATTTATCATTTTTATCTACAAAACTAAGGGACAAGGCAAAGGGAAAGTACGTTACCACACACCCTGCTACAGAGAGAAATAACATTCACAACATTACAAGAAAGCAAAACCAGCATAAAAAAAATTGTTAGGGCTGAAGTTTAGCCACATTAAATATTTAACTCAATGGAAAAATACATGGCAGCATGAACCTCCGACTGTGAAAACTAGCAGGACCCTCATCAACAAAAAGTCTTGAGACTTATAAAAAATAAAATACTAATGTAAACTTACAACGTCCATGGTATTCACTCGCTCACGAGAACGACTCAAAAGTGCAAGGAACTACAGACGAGTGAGCAGACAGTCACACGGTGAGCGGGCGATAAAAACTGGCCCAGGCTCTAGCTTGTGATCTACCAACTCTCGGCAACCACAGTGCTAGATTACAGGCGTGCGCCACCACCGCCTGGCTAAATATTACCCGTAAAAACAAAGTTTTTCACTATAAATCCTTTATATGCGTGGCATCGGGGCGGCTAGAGTCCTCTCGTCCTCTGGCTTGAAATGGCTGCCACCTATGGGTCAGATGATTGTCTGCCACCATTAAGCAATTGGTAATTAAATATTTAAAAAAATGTCCCTAAACAGTGTAAAATTTTGGAAATTTTTTTTCACGAAAATTAATTGTCACGAACAACGAGTCTGTGTGCAAAATGTCAGCTCGATTGGATCACGGGAAGTGGGTTAAAAAACGACCGAAAGATTTGCACGGTCGTAAGCAAGCAAGCAAGTGAACTTAATATAAAGGATTAAAAAAAAGAGGTGAGGTTTTCCTGGGTTAATGTCACAATGAATGTCTAAAGAAAACCCTCATTTCGTGGAGTTACTGGGTAACTGGGCTAAACTTGAGGGGGGGAGATTTTGTGTTACCGTGGCGACGTCCTCCTTGCTGCTGTCACTGAAGTGTGCCGTGCCGACCAGGAACACGCGCCCACCGTCCGCCGTGTGCAGCTCCGTCACCGTGTCGGGCAGCACAGGCCGAGTGTGTCGCATCGCCTGCTTGGCTTCCCACAGCGCCATGACTAGGGTGCGCGCAGACAAAGATCCCCCATGTAGTCGCCTTTAGCAGACTGATGGGCCAAATCCTCTTACAGTGAGCGTCAGTGAAGGCCAGCATGGAGCTTGAGAGGGTGGTATGGCCATCGTCACACATGACTGCTTTTGCCTCCTCTGTGCCGATGTTTTGGATACTGCACAATGTACTCATTTGAGACTGAATCGAACTAGCAGAGCCTCATGACCGGTTCAAATAGTCAATACCGATGTTAGCTGTGGTTGGGAATTGAACTCGGGTCACTGGGTCTGTAGCGCAGTGCTACCTACTACACTCACACTCACCATATTCACACAAAATACAAGGACACTGTATAGCCTTTAACAGAATGTTGGGGCAAGTGCTGTTGCGAACACCTATGAAGGCGGGCACGGCACACAAGGGGGCGGGTAGCCAATACCACTCCCGGCCACCTTTGTCTCCCCAGTAGTGATGTTTACACATCGTACCAGGCACTCTTTCGACCTAGGCGAGGCCCAGGACTGGTTCAGATCAGCAATGGTGTTGGCCGTGAGCAGAATCGAACTCGAATCGCTGGATTCGTAGCGCAGAGTGCTAACCAGTATACGACCACTCCCCATTTTATACACACAGCCTCACAAACACACAAGTAGACACACAACAACAGCAACAACTGCTGCCATTCTCCACGAAGTGATGGTGACATCACCACAGCGGTTTTGCCAGGATAGGTGCATTTGAGGGCACATACAGTGTGAAAAACAGGAAGTCACAGGACAGACCTAGGTGTTAAAGGTTAATTTATTGAGATGACTAGCAGATGCACCGCTCGTGCTCCTCACTATGCCAACTGGCACACAAACCGTCGTACAGTCACAAGAGGTCAGAGGAAGTGCAGATAACAAGCCGGGGTTACAAACCAGCACTGTCAGCATCATGCTGGTCAGCGTTCCCGTGCAAGTGCCGATGAGAACATCCAGCCCAATCGTTGCTTCCAGAGGGGGTAGGGGGCGGTTCCATGTAACCCTGGGTGGCACAGGAGCACACAAACAAACATGGGCATGTATTGCTTGCATCACACACATAGTTAAAACCCTTGTTCAGTGGGAGGTTGCTGCTTCTCATCTGCTGTCCCCCACAGTCTGGAATTCTTTCTCCCAGTCATCCGTGCTGCTCACTCTGTGCCAACCTCTACCCTGTTTATCATCATCATCATCATCATCTCATTCTACTACCCTACATGCAAACTCCTACCTCTCTCATCTCACTCTATGCTACTCCACGTGCCGTCCTACCTCTCCCCTCTCATCTCACTCGAGATTATCCCCTTCAAGTACTCTCCACGGAGCCAAGGCTTTCTGTCAAAACCCCCAGTCAACCTTTGCTCAGTGCGAGATCGCTCATTCTGCTCTGCTGCCCCCATTGTCTGGAACTCATTTCCCCCATCAGACGGTGTTCTCTGAAAGTCCACTCAACACATTCCTTTTTAATTACACGCTTTCTATGAACTCACTGTCTGTTGTTGTTGTCATAGCCTCAAATCTTGTAACTCAATTTTAACCCACTTCCCAATGTGGTATTAACTGCAAACTTGGTATACTTATGTCATACTGATGACAAAACTATATTCTATCAAAAAAAAGTATTTTTAAACATTATTTTTTATATGTTATGTTTCGGCTTGGGTCTAATTGTCCACGGTCAACTGACGTTGGCTGTAAATCACCACGGGCACTTACGTTATGGCAAGCCCTGCAGCCACTTCCTGGAGTCGTGGAGTTCTTCCATTACGAGTAGGGTACATTTCATTAAAGCGTGTTTTTAAAAACGTTTTTTTTTTATATTACTTATTTTACTCCGCCTACAAGTGACCGACCACCTCTCTATGAAATTAATGACGATTTTATTCCTCTCCAGAGTCTTGAGATGCAGTCACATTGAGATGATACATACATCCACCTTGTACTTTAGTGAATATTCGGCTGACATTTCCATTGTAAAGGTGACTTGCACAAATGCAAAAAAAAAGCCACCGCATTGTTTCATTTGTGCTTGTGCACCACTGCCAACAACGTGCTGTGCAATGTAAAAGCCCTCTGTCAATCCACTGCTGAGTAAAGGCCTCGACACGCGGTGTTTGGTTATGGGGTTTGTTTGACCAAACCGCGCTGGTAACGGATGGGGCTTCCAGGACAGGTTCAGAGGTCACTCGCCACTGATGTTAGCAGTGGCGAGGAATCAAACTCAAGTAGCTGGGGTTTATAGTACAATACTTTTTCATGCAAGTTGCAACAAAAGTTTCCACGTAAATGAAGGTTTGCTGTAATGTGAATCTCCATTGCTATTGTAGGAGGGTGTCACGACGATTAGTTGTGGGCGATATCAGAATCGGTCCTCTCTCCTTCATCAAGCTGAACCGATCAGCCTGTTCGCGTAAGGTCCATCACCCCCCCTCGACCGATAAGGTGTGGGGAGGATCATTAATTATACTGGTCAACACACTTTTTCTGGCATAAGGTATTCCAACGATTTTAAGGTAATTTTGGGGTGCTGATTCCAAATCTATCACATCAGGTTTTTGAGATACCAAATATTGCATTTTCAATAAAATAAAAACTGCAGAAAAAATATTAAATAAATGTGGATATCTACATAAAATGATATTATAAACACACTATCCTAAAAATACAGCACCATATTTTAACACTAAAGCAGTCACTGACACGCAACAACTTGCAATCATAAGTGACAGAGTTAATTTCGGGTAAAATAAATGAAAATGGGGTATGCCGATAGCATAAAAATGAGATGTTATAGAGCAAATCTGAGATCAGATTTGGAATCAGCACCCTGAAAGTAGTCTAAAACAGCTGCAAAAGTCCAGGCCAGAATTTTTTTTTGTTGACCAGTGTTATCCAGCAGTTGATTGATAAAGGGATGTACATTAGTATTGTTACGCTGTGTACATACCCATGCCAAATATAATGCGACTATCTGAAAAATAAAAGCAGTTAACTCTCTGTGCACACACGACATGCCTGGGCATTCCAATAGCGCGTGTGCATTTTCCCACACACACGTGATATGCTTAGCACTATACGCACATTGCCACATACTGTATAACCATTTACATACCTGTCAACCCCTTATCAGTGCCTACTTTATTACAGACCAATTCAGACCTTATTGGTCACCCCGTGCCCTTATAAATATCAACGTTCATCCACCAACAAGGAAAAACACAAACAAAACATTGTTTTTTTCCCGAATTGAAACGGCTGTACGCAGTATGGATCTGAAAACGCAATTTCTCTGTACAAGAATACGGAATAAGCCGTATGGATTTACCACCCCTTCCCATGTAACTCAAGGTGTATCTAAAGTTAAAACGGAGGAACCCACAACTCCGGCGCACACACACACCCAACTTGCTGTGCCACATTTCACCCAGTGTCCTGCACCCTGATATAATATATAATACAATGTGGATGTATTTAGGCGTCCCAATGCGACAGCTTCTCAAGACGATGAACAGAAACAGTGGGTAGTGGGCACATTTGCTGTATAGTCAGCAAGAGGCAGTCGGTTATTGGCAGATAAACAGAGGAAGGCTGTGAGCCTGGATCTGAACCGGGGAGCACCGACGGCTGTTGGAAGGGAGTTCCAAATGATGTTGGCAGCAGAGAATGAGAGGGGAGAGGTAGGAGAGTGCGTGGAGGGAGTAGAGTGAGATGAGAGGGGAGAGGCAGGAGAGTGTGTGGAGGGGAGTGGAGTGAGATGAGGGGAGAGGCAGGAGAGTGCGTGAAGGGGAGTAGAGTGAGATGAGAGGGGAGAGGCAGGAGAGTGCGTGAAGGGGAGTAGAGTGAGATGAGAGGGGAGAGGTAGGAGAGTGCGTGAAGGGGAGTAGAGTGAGATGAGAAGGGGAGAGGTAGGGGAGTGCGTGGAGGGGAGTGGAGTGAGATGAGAGGGGAGAGGTAGGGGAGTGCGTGGAGGGGAGTGGAGTGAGATGAGAGGGGAGAGGCAGGAGAGTGTGTGGTGGGGAGTGGAGTGAGATGAGAGGGGAGAGGTAGGGGAGTGCGTGAAGGGGAGTAGAGTGAGATGAGAGGGGAGAGGTAGGAGAGTGCGTGAAGGGGAGTAGAGTGAGATGAGAAGGGGAGAGGTAGGGGAGTGCGTGGAAGGGAGTGGAGTGAGATGAGAGGGGAGAGGTAGGGTAGTGCGTGGAGGGGAGTGGAGTGAGATGAGAGGGGAGAGGCAGGAGAGTGTGTGGTGGGGAGTGGAGTGAGATGAGAGGGGAGAGGCAGGAGAGTGCGTGGAGGGAGTTGAGTGAGATGAGAGGGGAGAGGTGGGAGAGTGTGTGGAGGGGAGTAGAGTGAGATGAGAGGGGAGAGGTAGGAGAGTGCGTGGAGGGGAGTAGAGTGAGATAAGAGGGGAGAGGTAGGAGAGTGCGTGGAGGGGAGTAGAGTGAGATGAGAGGGGAGAGGTAGGAGAGTGCGTGGAGGGGAGTAGAGTGAGATGAGAGGGGAGAGGTAGGAGAGTGCGTGGAGGGGAGTAGAGTGAGATAAGAGGGGAGAGGTAGGAGAGTGCGTGGAGGGGAGTAGAGTGAAATGAGAGGGGAGAGGTAGGAGAGTGCGTGGAGGGGAGTGGAGTGAGATGAGAGGGGAGAGGTAGGAGAGTGCGTGGAGGGGAGTTGAGTGAGATGAGAGGGGAGAGGCAGGAGAGTGCGTGAAGGGGAGTAGAGTGAGATGAGAGGGGAGAGGTAGGAGAGTGCGTGGTGGGGAGTAGAGTGAGATGAGAGGGGAGATGCAGGAGAGTATGTGGAGGGGAGTGGAGTGAGATGAGAGGGGAGATGCAGGAGAGTGCGTGGAGGGAGTTGAGTGAGATGAGAGGGGAGAGGCAGGAGAGTGCGTGGAGGGAGTTGAGTGAGATGAAAGGGGAGAGGTGGGAGAGTGTGTGGAGGGGAGTGGAGTGAGATGAGAGGGGAGAGGCAGGAGAGTGTGTGGTGGGGAGTAGAGTGAGATGAGAGGGGAGAGGCAGGAGAGTGCGTGGAAAGAGTTGAGTGAGATGAAAGGGGAGAGGTAGGGGAGTGCGTGGAGGGGAGTGGAGTGAGATGAGAGGGGAGAGGCAGGAGAGTGTGTGGTGGGGAGTAGAGTGAGATGAGAGGGGAGAGGTAGGAGAGTGCGTGAAGGGGAGTAGAGTGAGATGAGAAGGGGAGAGGTAGGGGAGTGCGTGGAGGGGAGTGGAGTGAGATGAGAGGGGAGAGGTAGGGGAGTGCGTGGAGGGGAGTGGAGTGAGATGAGAGGGGAGAGGCAGGAGAGTGTGTGGTGGGGAGTGGAGTGAGATGAGAGGGGAGAGGCAGGAGAGTGCGTGGAGGGAGTTGAGTGAGATGAGAGGGGAGAGGTGGGAGAGTGTGTGGAGGGGAGTAGAGTGAGATGAGAGGGGAGAGGTAGGAGAGTGCGTGGAGGGGAGTAGAGTGAGATAAGAGGGGAGAGGTAGGAGAGTGCGTGGAGGGGAGTAGAGTGAGATGAGAGGGGAGAGGTAGGAGAGTGCGTGGAGGGGAGTTGAGTGAGATGAGAGGGGAGAGGCAGGAGAGTGAGTGGAGGGGAGTAGAGTGAGATGAGAGGGGAGAGGCAGGAGAGTGCGTGAAGGGGAGTAGAGTGAGATGAGAAGGGGAGAGGTAGGGGGAGTGCGTGGAGGGGAGTGGAGTGAGATGAGAGGGGAGAGGCAGGAGAGTGCGTGGAGGGGAGTGGAGTGAGATGAGAGGGGAGAGGCAGGAGAGTGTGTGGTGGGGAGTAGAGTGAGATGAGAAGGAAGAGGCAGGAGAGTGCGTGAAGGGGAGTAGAGTGAGATGAGAAGGGGAGAGGTAGGGGAGTGCGTGGAGGGGAGTGGAGTGAGATGAGAGGGGAGAGGCAGGAGAGTGTGTGGTGGGGAGTAGAGCGAGATGAGAAGGAAGAGGCAGGAGAGTGCGTGAAGGGGAGTAGAGTGAGATGAGAAGGGGAGAGGTAGGGGAGTGCGTGGAGGGGAGTGGAGTGAGATGAGAGGGGAGAGGCAGGAGAGTGCGTGGAGGGAGTTGAGTGAGATGAAAGGGGAGAGGTAGGGGAGTGCGTGGAGGGGAGTGGAGTGAGATGAGAGGGGAGAGGCAGGAGAGTGCGTGGAGGGGAGTGGAGTGAGATGAGAGGGGAGAGGCAGGAGAGTGCGTGGAGGGGAGTAGAGTGAGATGAGAGGGGAGAGGTAGGAGAGTGCGTGGAGGGGAGTGGAGTGAGATGAGAGGGGAGATGCAGGAGAGTGCGTGGAGGGGAGTAGAGTGAGATGAGATGGGAGAGGCAGGAGAGTGCGTGGAGGGGAGTAGAGTGAGATGAGAGGGGAGAGGTAGGAGAGTGCGTGGAGGGGAGTGGAGTGAGATGAGAGGGGGGAGGTAGGAGAGTGCGTGGAGGGGAGTGGAGTGAGATGAGAGGAGAGAGGCAGGAGAGTGTGTGGAGGGGAGTGGAGTGAGATGAGAGGGGAGTGGAGTGAGATGAGAGGGGAGAGGCAGGAGAGTGCGTGGAGGGGAGTAGAGTGAGGTGAGAGGGGGGAGGTAGGAGAGTGCGTGGAGGGGGAGTAGAGTGAGATGAGAGGGGAGAGGTAGGAGAGTGCGTGGAGGGGAGTAGAGTGAGGTGAGAGGGGGGAGGTAGGAGAGTGCGTGGAGGGGGAGTAGAGTGAGATGAGAGGGGAGAGGTAGGAGAGTGCGTGGAGGGGAGTGGAGTGAGATGAGAGGGGAGTGGAGTGAGATGAGAGGGGAGAGGTAGGAGAGTGCGTGGAGGGGAGTAGAGTGAGGTGAGAGGGGCCAGGCAGACAGGGCTGTGTCCATCACAGGTAGTCGGGGTCTGGACTGCGAGCCGGTGGGTCCGTCCCGGGGAGTTTAGTCGAGGTGGGGTGGGGGGGGTGCCGGGCCTGCCCGTCTCACCTGCTGCTCCCTCTCCACGGGGTCGTCCTCGGCGTCGCTTCCGTCGCTCGACATGACGACTCAGTCGTAACGGGCCTGGGGCAGGTGCTGGGTGCGAACGTCGACCTGGGGTAACGCGGCCTCAGAATGAACTCCACCCGGGGTAACGCGGAGTAACGAGGGTGTCAGGCCGCGCGCACTGTACTACAGTGGCGCCACATCAGCACTGTCGCTCCCCGCTCTCCCCCTCATGCCCCAGCTCCTCTCCCCGCTCTGCCTCCCCCTGCCCGGCCTCTCCTTGGCTCTCTCTGCGGACTCCCCGAGGCGTCGGGGGCTCAGAAGGGAGCTCTTGTTGCTCGCACCGCCGCTGTCTGCTGCTCCTGGCTTCCACAGCCTGGGCCCATCACCCCCCCCCCCGGCACCTGTGAACTGTGGCGTCATCGCAGTTGTAGTTGTAAAATGACGTCACAAGAACTTCAGTTGGATGGCGTCACACTTGGTTTGGTGGGGTTCTCGTTGCAGGAGTAGTTGTAACATGACGTCACAAGAATTTCAGTTGGATGGCGTCACACTTGGTTTTGTTGGGGTTCTCGTTGCAGGGGTAGTTGTAGCATGACGTCACAATAACTTCAGTTGGATGGCGTCACACTTGGTTTGGTGGGGTTCTCGTTGCAGGGGTAGTTGTAACATGACGTCACAAAAAAACTTCAGTTGGATGGCGTCACACTTGGTTTGGTGGGGTTCTCGTTGCAGGGGTAGTTGTAAAATGACGTCACAAAAACTTCAGTTGGATGGCGTCACACTTGGTTTTGTTGGGGTTCTCGTTGCATGGGTAGTTGTAAAATGACGTCATAAGAACTTCAGTTGGATGGCGTCACACTTGGTTTTGTTGGGGTTCTCGTTGCATGGGTAGTTGTAAAATGACGTCACAAAAAACTTCAGTTGGATGGCGTCACACTTGGTTTGGTGGGGTTCTCGTTGCAGGGGTAGTTGTAAAATGACGTCACAAGAACTTCAGTTGGATGGCGTCACACTTGGTTTTGTTGGGGTTCTCGTTGCATGGGTAGTTGTAAAATGACGTCACAAAAAACTTCAGTTGGATGGCGTCACACTTGGTTTGGTGGGGTTCTCGTTGCAGGGGTAGTTGTAAAATGACGTCACAAGAACTTCAGTTGGTTGGCGTCACACTTGGTTTTGTTGGGGTTCTCGTTGTCGTGTTAGTTGTAAAATGACGTCACAAAAAACTTCAGTTGGATGGCGTCACACTTGGTTTGGTGGGGTTCTCGTTGCAGGGGTAGTTGTAAAATGACGTCACAAGAACTTCAGTTGGATGGCGTCACACTTGGTTTTGTTGGGGTTCTCGTTGTCGTGTTAGCTGTAAAATGACGTCACAAGAACTTTAATTAGATGACGTCACATTTGGTTTGATTGGGTCCTCGTTGGACGCAAAACCTTGATCGCACATCGACACGCAGCGATCACGAGCGCCGTTGTGGAGAATTATCGCTGCGGGATGTCATCGACAATTGGCCCAGGTGGCCGTGTCCTGTTCGACACTAATGATTGTTTTTTTGTGACTGATGGGGATGTGTTAACAATAGTAAAAGAAGGTTTTTTTGGGGCCGTCCATAAATGACGTCACACACCTAGGGGGGGAGGGGGTCAGACATTTGTGACGATGTGTGACGAGGCGGGGGGCTGGGGGGTTTGAGAAATGTGACGTCACATCAAAATGCGCAACTTTAAATAAATATAGACAACACGTTCTACTTAATTAAATAGATGTTTTAATAAATGTTTTCTCCTACAACATCAGAGTGCAGCGCCACATTAAATACGCACTTCAATGACAATCGTATAAAGCGATTTGAAGCATGTTTTTTTTTTTTTGGGGGGGGGGGGGCAGAGCTTTGTGACGTCATATTTGAGGGGGGTCTGACTTTTTTGTGACGCCGGGTGACTGGGGGGGGGGGGTCAAAAATCGTCCAAATTCGCGTGACGTCATTTATGGACGGCCCCTTTTGGGGTTAGATCGCGTAAATATGAATGTCGTGAAACCCGTCACCAGTTCAGCACACCGGCGTCTTGGAGAGTGAACCCACAACGTTTACAATTCGAGTCCGACGTTTCACTGGTAATTACAACAACCAGCATCATCAGGCGACAGCCAGAATTGTGGGGAAATTTTCTGTTGCGAACTAACCAAAATACATTTCTATTAGAGATTTGTTAACTTTAATATGGAAGACAGATATGGGAGGCGAGGCGAATTCGCCTGCTGATTTATTTCGTTATTTTATTCCACACACCAACGATGATTGTTTTTTGTTCATGTACGTGGCAATGAGTGTCCCTGTGACGTCATCGCAAAACGTCGAATGAAGTAATGACGCAATCGCGTAACGACTTTAAACCGCCCTGTGGTGTAAAAACACGCGACAGTGACGTAATCGCCGCATTGGAAGCTCGCGGCGGGCATGACGTCATCGCAGACGACATCGACTGTAAAATGTCAACAGAATTAGGAGAGACGATGACGTCACGTCGAGATAAACATTTATTTTAATATAAAACATACGACGATTAAGGCTCTGACAAGGAGGCGCAAGTACGAACGCACATCGACTAACATAATATTTGTTTTAATTCTGAACAATATTTCATTCTTAAACACAGGCGAGCACTCGAGAGACCAAGGAGAGCCAAGCTCGGGTCACTTAAGTTGCAAAACAAACTAATAAAATAAAAGTGCCGTAAAATTTCGATTTAAAGCTTTCGTGACTGCAGGGATTCATCTTCTTGGTTCTTTCGGTAAAGTCACGTAGAAGGGAAATAATAAAATAATAAAAATAAAACATAATAAAATTTCGATTTAAAGCTTTCGTGACTGCAGGGATTCATCTTCTTGGTTCTTTCGGTAAAGTCACGTAGAAGGGAAATAATAAAATAATAAAAATAAAACAATAAAATTTCGATTTAAAGCTTTCGTGACTGCAGGGATTCATCTTCTTAGTTCTTTCGGTAAAGTCACGTAGAAGGGAAATAATAAAATAAAACATAATAAAATAATTTTAAAACTTTCGTGACTGCAGGGATTCATCTTCTTGGTTCTTTCGGTAAAGTCACGTAGAAGGGAAATAATAAAATAATAAAAATAAGACAGACTCTGTCTTCTCGACAGACGTGTTCTTCACCTGAGGACGGCTGCTTGCGTTGTGGCCGAAACGTCGTGAAAATTAATTATGTCTTATTTTTATTACTTTATTATTTCCTTCTACGTGACTTTACCGAAAGAACCAAGAAGATAAAAGTGCCGTACTTGCATAGCCATGAAGCAAATGGAAAACAACGAAAAAAAACACAGCAGCGCCGGAAATCGGAGCTATTGCACAAGCACAAGGCGGTGTTAAATAATGAACCCTGTTGCGTAAGTCGGCTGGAGAGAGGAGTATTTTTAGACTGATGACTGTGAATCACGACGCAGCGCACAACAGGGCGGAACAATCCACGGTTATAGCGTGGATTGTTCCTACCAAGCCCGTAATTATAATACATATATGTAATGGATTGTTCCTACCAAGTCCGTAATTATAATACATATTGGGGGGGGGGCGGATATCCCCCCCCCCATATTCTAATATGCTCAAAATGCCCCCCCCCCCAAATATATTGCTATAAAATAAATTTCTGTTTTTACGATTGTGGTTATGGTTGTACTTTATTCATCCCTAATCTCTGCCATTACATACAATGAAACAAGAAAAGGTAAAAAAAAAGAAAAAAACAGAGCAATGTAATACAATACACTATTACGGTAGACATTGATGCAAAAAATAAATTAAAAGCCCATCCTGTGTTAGTGATTTTTTTTTATATTTTAGGCAGGAAATGGCAGGAAATTCGTTTTCAATTTTAGATTTTTTTTTTCTGGGGGGGGGACCCCCAGACCCCCTGGAAGATTTGGTCCCCCCCCCAATGTTGACTCCATGGCTACGGCCTTGGTTCCTACGCTCCTCCATCTGTGTGCTCTGTATATTTTTTTTACTGGTAGGAACCTCCTGGTTACACCAGCCCACAGGGGATTATTGTGTCCGTCCGTCCGTCGTGCAGGGAGGGGCTGGGTGGGGAGGGAGGGGCTGGGTGGGGGTGGGTGGGGAGGGGCTGGGTGGGGAGGGGAGGGCTGGGTGGGGCTGGGTGGGGAGGGGAGGGTTGGGTGAGGCTGGGTGGGGGGTAGGAGGGGTGGGGCTGGGTGGGGCTGGGTGGGGAGGGTGGGGAGGGGCTGGGTGGGGAGGGGAGGGCTGGGTGGGGCTGGGTGGGGAGGGGAGGGTTGGGTGAGGCTGGGTGAGGGGTAGGAGGGGTGGGGCTGGGTGGGGAGGGGCTGGGTGGGGAGGGCTGGGTGGGGCTGGGTGGGGAGGGTGGGGAGGGGCTGGGTGGGGAGGGGAGGGCTGGGTGGGGCTGGGTGGGGCTGGGTGGGGAGGGGAGGGTTGGGTGAGGCTGGGTGGGGGGTGGGAGGGGTGGGGCTGGGTGGGAAGGGGCTGGTCACCCCGTGGTGCCCTTATAAAACTCAACGTTTAACCTACTCACGCCGGCTTGTGCCCGCCCTCACAGTCGGGCATATTTGTGGAATACACCACGCCGCCTAAGACCCTGGCCATTGACCGAGCAACCCAACGTTCCTACCAGCTCCCTCCGCAGGAGGAATGTGTTTGAGTGGTTGAGCACAAGCACAAAACGTAAAACCGGAGTGTGACACTCGAGCGCTGCACAACGTTGCAATCGAATGTAACGCGTTTCTCGAATAGAGAAAGGTTATTGCGGTAAGAGCTGGGAGGAAAAGTCGACCACGGGAGGAAATTCAAAAAGGGGAGGTCATTTGCCATTGCACACCGCTAGTTATCAAGGTCAGATCTCAAGCACGGTTGGCTACGTACGGTGCGAAAGAAGTTCGACATACAGTGCACACATACCGCGTCAACCCATACGGTTTACCCCGTATTCTTGTACAGGGACATTGATTTTTCAGGTCCATACAGAAAAATGGTCGATTTGTTTGTGTTTCTCCCCTGTGATGGGACTCTGTAGGATGAACGTTGAGATTTAGAACGACATAGGGGTGATCAATGATGTCTGAATTGGTATGTAATCAGGTAGGGCACTGATAAGGAATTGACAGGTATGTAGTGGTGAGTGTACTTGTGGTGATTGTTTATTTGTTTGCGTTTCTCCCTTGTGATGGACATTTGCGTGATGGGCATTTGCAGGATGAACGTTGATATTTATAACGACACGGGGGTGATCAATAAGGTTTGAATTGGTCTGTAATCAGGTAGGGCACTGATAAGGGGTTGACAGGTATGTAGTGGTGAGTGTACTTGTGGTGATCGTATATTTGTTTGCGTTTCTCCCTTGTGATGGGACTTTGCAGGATGAACGTTGAGATGTATAACGACACAGGGGTGATCAATAAGGTCTGAATTGGTCTGTAATCAGGTAGGGCACTGATAAGGGGTTGACAGGTATGTAGTGGTGAGTGTACTTGTGGTGATCGTATATTTGTTTGCGTTTCTCCCTTGTGATGGGCATTTGCAGGATGAACGTTGAGATGTATAACGACACAGGGGTGATCAATAAGGTCTGAATTGGTCTGTAATCAGATAGGGCACTGATAAGGGGTTGACAGGTATGTAGTGGTGAGTGTACTTGTGGTGATCGTATATTTGTTTGCGTTTCTCCCTTGTGATGGGCATTTGCAGGATGAACGTTGAGATGTATAACGACACAGGGGTGATCAATAAGGTCTGAATTGGTCTGTAATCAGGTAGGGCACTGATAAGGGGTTGACAGGTATGTAGTGGTGAGTGTACTTGTGGTGATCGTATATTTGTTTGCGTTTCTCCCTTGTGATGGGACTTTGCAGGATGAACGTTGAGATGTATAACGACACAGGGGTGATCAATAAGGTCTGAATTGGTCTGTAATCAGGTAGGGCACTGATAAGGGGTTGACAGGTATGTAGTGGTGAGTGTACTTGTGGTGATCGTATATTTGTTTGCGTTTCTCCCTTGTGATGGGCATTTGCAGGATGAACGTTGAGATGTATAACGACACAGGGGTGATCAATAAGGTCTGAATTGGTCTGTAATCAGGTAGGGCACTGATAAGGTATGTTCCGTGATATCGGCTGTCGACGCTTGTGGCGTCTCGCAGCAATGACAGCTCCCACGTGGACTAACAGCTGTGAGTCTCCTGCTGAGGGCAGCAGAGGGCAAGTGCAGCACCAAATCCACATTGTTGTACCCTACTATGTGCCACACGCACTGGCCCGCGTTGGTGGAGCAACATGGGCAAATCATATCCGCAAATGATTTTTTTTTATTTTCTATTATTTATGTAATTTTATTATTTATTTATATTTTTTACCGACGTGACTTTACCGAAAAAAACCTAAGAGTATGAATTATGAATCCTTGCAGTCACGAAAGCTTAAAATCTAGAATATCCGCAAACCCCACACTGCTTGGAGAAGGAAGTCGTCTTTCAGCAGATTAACAAACAAACGTCCTTACGTAACTCATATACTGTAAACTACCCCAATAGCACTGTGGTCTGTCTTTAATGGCCCTTCTGCCATTCCGGCACATGGACCGTCTCCTATGAAAAAGGGTCATTGCCCGAAACGTCTCCATAGAATAAAAGGATCATTGCCCGAAACGTCGCATATTATATATTTTCCTTTCAAGGCCAGTGTCATTTTCGAATGTGTCACTACCAGCTCGACCATCAAAGCAACGACAATCTGTTGAGTATCGACGACCCATTGCCAATGTCAACAGACGAGCAGCCGCGCAATGTTCCAGTAAACACGAGGCCGGCGCCGCCATCTTACGTAGGGGGGGGGGGCAAAGGCAAAGATCCCCCGTATAACCTGCGACAGGCTGTCGTGGCAAGTGCTGTTGGCACGGGTGGGGGTGGTGAGCAACAAGCCCGCCCGGCCACCTTTGTCTCCCCAGTGGCGATGTTTTTTTTACACAACGCAAACTCATTTGAGGCCGAGTCGACCTACGGGAGGCCCAGGACCGGTTCAGAAACTCGCCACCGGTTGTTGTTGGCCGTGAGCGGGAGAATCGAACTCGGGGCCGCCGGGTCCGTAGCGGTGGTTCGCTGCACCACTAACACCACCACCACCAACATCACCACCAACAACACCACCAACATCACCACCAACATCACCACCACCACCAACACCATCACTACCACCAACACCACCATCACCACCACCATCACCACCACCACCAACACCACCACCACCAACATCACCACCACCACCAACACCACCATCACCACCATCACTAACACAACCACCAACCATCAACATCACCACCACCACCAACATCACCACCACCAACATCACCACCAACACCACCACTACCAACATCACCACCAACACCACCATCATCACCATCACTAACACAACCACCAACCATCAACATCACCACCACCAACACCACCACCACCAACATCACCACCAACATCACCACCAACATCACCACCATCACCACCACCATCACCACCACCACCAACACCACCACCGCTCCCCACCAACACCACCACCAACATCACCACCACCACCAACATCACCATCACCGCTCCCCACCAACACCACCACTAACCACGGGCTACGTTCCCTACGCAAGATGGAGGCGCGGCTTCACGTGTCCGTGACCTTATGACACGAGGAGGAGGAGGGGGTGGAGGAGGAGGGGGTGGAGGAGGAGGGGGTGGGGGGTGTCTCACGTCTCCTCCTCCTCTTTCACCACCAGTCACCACCACAACCTCCTCCTCCTCCTGTCCGCCGGGCGGTGTCTTTGGCTGTGATGCTGTGAGGACAGAGGCGGGTGATGTCGGGAATGCTGCGGGCCGTACATCGCTGGGAGCGGGCGGGCACGGCCGGGCGGGCCGGCGTTGTGGCCGGAGCCGCCGGCCTCCTCCTCCTCTACCCGACCGTCCGCGCCGTGCTCAGGGGCCGCAGAGGCGGCGACAAGGACAGGCACAAGCATGGAGAGAGACGCCGCAAGGAAGGAGACGTGGGCACGGATGACGATGAAGGTGAGCGGATGATGGATGTCGCCTGAGCCGGTTCAGCGCCCGTGGTGGGGCAGACGGAGCGGGTTCCTTGGTGATCCCCTGAATGTCGGCTCTATTTATAATCATCATCATCATCAGCTGGTCCACGGCTGGATGCCGTGACCGGCTCTAACGATCGCTGCCATGTGATGATAATCCGCCCAGGAACCTACGCAGGAGACGACTTAATAATCGCTCCATCTCCTGGGTGTTCGTGATCTTCTCGGACGCGCTCTGTTCCCCTTGGGTTGTCACTCGTCGATGATGATCGATTCTTGCCATCGATGTCGTCGTTGCCTCTCGTAACGCGAACTGGTTCCGAGCCGCAGTCAGAATGATGCATTTAAGCTGCGTATGTTCACGCGTGTTCCTGTTGAACAATAACAATCTACACGGACGGCATCTACAATACTAACTCGGACAGCAATATACCTCGACGATAATAACGTTAAATATACCACCACCACCACCACCATACATAAATATAATAACCTTGTTATTTAAACAACGAAGCGAGCGACTTGCCTTTGATGTCCGTAGGAAGGGGATTGATAAAGTCAAGTTAATTGTTTAAGTTATAAACCATTAACAATGAAAATATATAAATAATAGGAATAACAATGGTATGTTACCAACGATATTGTCATTTATTCATCCAGTAGTGGATTGAGAAAAGTCAAGTCAATTGTTTTCGTTATAAAGCACTAACAATGACAATAGATAAATAATAGTAATAACAATAGTATGTTACCAACGATACTGTCATTTATTCATTCAGCAGTGGATTGACAAAGTCAAGTCAATTGTTTTCGTTATAAAGCACTAACAATGACAATATATAAATAATAGGAATAACAATGGTATGCTAATAATGATACTGTAATTGCTTCATCCAGCAGTGGATTGAGAAAAGTCAAGTCAATTGTTTTCGTTATAAACCATTAACGACAAGATACAACTGAATGGGAATAACATGACAGTATCATTGCTACCAATGATACTGTCATTTGTTCATCCAGTAGTGGATTGACAAAGGCAAGTCAATTATCGTTATAAACCACTAACAACGACAATATCCAAATAATAGGAATTACAATCGTATGCGACCAATTATACTGTCATTTATTCACCCAGAGAATCCTGAGTGAGATATTTTCATTGAGATATTTGGCCAACTTTTCTTTGGAGTACTCTTAAATTGTTTAGCATGTGTTGGGAGGAAGCCGGGGTGAATCTGTCACGCGTTACAGATGATTACGCGTCTAAGATCAGCTGCAGATTGTTCTGTGAACCCCACTTGCTGTACTTCCCATTGCCTCACAACCCAGCGAGTGTGGCGGTAGTGTCACATATCTCTGTATGATCCACCGACCCTGTTCCTTAAGCGCTTGTTTACAGATTTCCATACGTGTATTTTACTGGATATCCATTACGTAGGCAATATAACACTGGTACGGATGGGTTAACGATCCCCCACCGTGGCGGTACTGCTGTCAGCATGGCCGAGGTGGGTCTCATTACAATTTTTGGCAAGCGCTGTGAAGCAGGGGAGCAGTTTCAGCCAGGTTCTTGGTGTCAGTGGGTGAGAGATGAGACTGTGGTCACTGCAGTATGGGGTACACTTGTGGGGGCGTGTGTGTGTGTGTGTGGTGTGACACACACACACGCGTCACGTGTGTAGTGTGACATGTGGATTTGTGGTGGAGGTACACCTGCCTGTGGGGAGAAATACATTTCTCACGAAATATTTTCCGGGTAGACTGAAGCACAGTAGGTGGCACGTGACGAGTATCCAAAACCATAGCGTTATACTGGATGTGGTGTGCCAGGTGCGGACATGTTTTCTGAGTCAGTGACTGGGACAGACCCAGCTGAAATTAGTTTCCTGCCAGTGGGTGTGTGTGGTGTGGATAATACACCTGTGTCTGTGTGTATGGTGTGACGCATGTGGATGTGCGTGGTGTGATGGTAGTACATATATGGTGTGTCACTCAAGGTGTGTGTGTGGTGATACTGCCGCATGTGTGTGGTGTAATAAGCTAGGCGTGCTTAGTAACACTTTAGGTGTGTTTGGTGGGGCACTTCGAGGCTTGTGGCGACACCGGGCGTGCGTGGATTGACATCCTCGGGGGGTGCGTGAGTTGAGACTGCACGAAGCTGTGTGTGAACAGAACGGTCATTGTTCTGTTAAAGCCACGCAATATGCATTCCCTTTCAGAGGCACACACAGAGCTCCCTGCCACGTCGCAGCTGGCGAACCTCCCAGTCGCCTGACTCGGCCGATTTAAAAAAGGACTCTCTAGCGTGGGATGTTTGCTGAAATGTAATGGTGATCGCACCGGACTTGCAATACACAGGTCACCAATTCGATTCGATCTCCTGGTGTGGCAGTTGATACAACTGAGAAGTTTCTTAAATCGCCCCATCTCTGTCCACCCAGCAGTATAAATGGTTACACCACATCTGACAAGCAAGTTGCATGAGGTGTGATAAAGTGTGGGTAGTCCCACCTCTTCAAACGAATCTAGCCAGCATGGAAGAACAGGCTAATATACTCTCTAGAGGGCCTCTGGGCCAGGTGGCTCTGCGGTAGAGCGAGCGGCTCAGTTCCAGGTTGGGAGCTAACTGAGCCCATCATCCGTATAGGGTCGATAAAACGAGTACCATCTCGTGGGGAAGTCAAAAGGGGTTCTACAGAGAGACCTCACCCCCACCATAGAAATGTGGAATTTCCATCACTGACTTCAAGCTGTAAACGGGAGATGAGCACCGCCTCAATCCTCATTTGAGCAGGAAATCTCTTTTGACGTTGACTTGAGTGGGGCTCTCTGTAGGTCTATCCAGTGGAAGCCTTCTTCCAGCAGTGGCACGAAGAAGCGCTTGCAAGGCCCGCTCCTTCACCTCTCGTCCGTGTGCATGTAGGCCGGGCGGTGAGCTCTGGGTCAGCCCTGTCGGCGGGGTCAAAGGGCGACGGCTCGGAAGACGAGAGCGAGGCGGTCATGGGCCAGCGCTCGCCCGCCGTCAACCGCGAGTTCTTCCTGCAGCTGAGGCACCTGCTGCGCGTGCTCTTTCCGCGGCTGCTGAGTCGCGAGTTGGGTCTGCTCAGCCTGCACTCCATCGCGCTGATCTCCAGGCACGCGCACACGCACGCACGCTCCACCGCTCTCCGTTGCAGTCTTCTTCTTTCGTTTGGCTGATGTAGATGCAGAGAAACTACTACATTTTCACATTCAGGTGGTCAAGTCCGTTGCAGTAACACACTGCAAGTAGCAGGCTTCTGAATAACAAATATCTACCATCATGGTTACTGTTCTCATGAAATTTAGCTCTTGATTCCTGCACTGAAGATGAGGACTCGGTCTATCAGACTGACTGTTTCGTCCCATCATACGGTATTCATCCACGATACTGCAGGTCACAACAACACTCACCCACTCACTCACCCACTGATTCACCTCATTCAGTCACCACACTGCAGGAGTTAGAGATTTTTTCTTTTTATTTCTTCTCTCGTGCTGCTCAACTTTGGGATTCTCTGGAATTCCCTCCCATTCTGTATTTTCTCTGTCCATAACTCTGCTGAATTCAATAAACGTGTTACATTCTTATCTATGGCAACTTTGACGGTGCAGTTTGTTGCTAGCCGCTTGACATTTTGTGCATTTGGACCTGTGCTCAGCAAATGCATAGGGAGTTCCTCAGCACCTGTATGGCGGCTGACCAGTGTTTGGCTGGCAGAGTGACTGTTTTGTCACTTTGTAGCTCCATAACCATCATTTCTAAAGTGGACAGATAATTCAGTTTACGACACATTTATAAATAACGCGATCTAACCCCAAAACTTTATTATGAATTATTATGGACAGATAATATCGACTTTTAATTTTTTGTAAATCAGTTTTTAAGCACAGGTCCAAAGGACCCAAAACATCAAGCGGCCGGCAACAAACAGCACCATGAACCTTTGACAAGATAAGAGTTAAAGCATTCCTTGAATTGAGCAAGAGAAACGAAACCAAAATGAGTAAATTCCAAAGTTGAGCAGTGCGAGGGGTGAAGTATGGTGTGGTTAATGGCAATCGGAAGGATGCCATTCCAGTAATATTGCAAAGCTCAAAATCACGGAGAGTTGGAGTAGCTTCATTGTAAAGGTCAACAGATACTCAGTAGGTAATGGAATGACTACGTAGCCACTTTATATCTGTGCTCCGGCTGGAGTCCAGTTGTCCTCTCGTGGTAGCTCTACCGCTCGTAAGAAGACACCGCAGTGGATAGCTTTTCCTACAGGATTGCCGCCATATGGTACAGAGCCCTGAACCCTGGGGAGTGCATTGCGGTCAGCGGGTCTACTTAATGTTACATCCTCTGTTCACGATGGGATGGAGGGAGCTCCGAGCAGATTAGTTCTGGGGACCAGAAATCTGCAGAATCATTTATAATGCTAGAGCAGTTTGTACGTGTGAACTTGAAGTCCCTTTTTTTGTCAATCCACTGCTGGATGAGGGCCTCTCCAAGCCGTGTGGATCGTGGGAGGATGTTTGACCATAATTCACCACGCTAGTCAGCGTGGGTTGGCAAAGGCAGGGAGCATAGACACGGGAACAGAGCAGCCTGTGACACTTGTATTATGCACAGAGGTCACCCAACCTAGCCATGCAGGCGCAACTGTGCTTAGCTTCCGAGATCTGATGAGATTGGGTGCATTTCAGCTAATTTGCAGAGTCGCTTTCTCTGGTGAATATGGCCTTCATCTTCCATGATAAGGTGGAGGGGTATAAACGGTGGCGTGAGTGTGGCTCATGTATTGCATAACTTTAATTACTGTCTGTTTACTGTGGCAAATTGAACAAATAAGAGCCATGAAGGCTGTCTATTAATAACCCTAACCCTAGACAGCCTTGATAAGACCGACTGACAATTAAGGACAAGCTTGGAATTACACTGAGAGACAGAAAGGAGAACACATGGATCAGAGAAACGTGCAAGTTAGAGACATATTAAGACAGCACATAGGCTTGGGCAGGACGGGTCATGGCGAAAAGGGACGATGGCCGGTGATTGAAACTAACGACAGAGTGGCAGCTAAAGGAGAGAACGCGCCCCAGGGAATGTCCACCGTGGAGCTGAAGCGATGACATCGCCTCGTGTGCAGGTGCCAGATGATGAAGAACATTGAACTATTCTTTAGAACATGGAAAACTAATTTATTTATAACTGCCTTTTGTGTTTAGTTTGTTGTCCTTTCCCCGCTCCTCCGATTAGCAGTTGGCTGCGTATGGTGCGAAAGAAGTTCAACGTACATAATACAATATTTACACTGTGGGATCGTGAGAGACTGTTTGGGGATGCCTTCATCCAGCAGTGGAGTGACCATGGCCACTGATGGTAGAGTGTGTATATATATGTTAATTTGCTGTTTTATACGTAGTGCGTGGGAGGCATGGTATAAATAATAAATTATGATGGATTATGTGTGAGATGGAGTAATCAAATTAGCTCATGTGCAGGAGCTAGACAGATGGTCATATCACAAAGTAATTGGAGATGGCGACAGCAGTGAGTAGATTATGTCTGCTGGTGTTGATAACGGTTATGACAATGATGATGACGATGATTAACACCCTCCACCTGCACCCGACGGCGACCTCCAGGACGTTTCTGTCCATCTACGTGGCGATGCTGGACGGGAAGATCGTCCGAACGATCGTGCGGACAGACGCGCGATCCTTTGTGCTCGCGCTCAGCCAGTGGCTCCTCATCGCCATCCCGGCCACGTTCGTCAACAGCGCCATCCGCTACCTGGAGTGCCACCTGGCGTTGGCCTTCCGCACCCGCCTGGTGCAGCATGCCTATAGGTACACACACACAGCATGGACATAGGTGTGTCTCACACGGCACGATATAGGTACTCGCACACAGAAATGCTGTAGGTACGGTGAACACCCATTATTGAAACCAGAAGCCTGTCTGTCCACTGCGACCACTCGTCTCATTTTAATCACCATCATCATTCCGGCAGATAATGAACAGATTCTTCAATTATACTTGATTCTTACGCTCACGGTATGTGATACACATGTAATTAGTTGGTTCTCGTGATCCTTGGATTTGTTTTTACATAAAAACGATTAAAACAAGATGAAAAACGGAAACCACACATACAGGATCGTTAAAACGTGATAAAGGAATATCCTTGGATCAAATCATTACCTCGACCATTATTCTTGGAATCACGAGAGAGGCGGTGAATTGTTAGCCGTCTCCCATTCAGCTACGTACAGGAGTAACGCGAGCGATGTACACGTGTGTGTGCGTGTGTGTGCTATCATGCAGCCTGTACTTCAAGCAGCAGACTTACTACCGCGTGAGCAACATGGACGGGCGTCTTGCCAACCCGGACCAGTCCCTGACGGAGGACATCATGATGTTTGCCCAGTCGGTGGCTCACCTCTACTCCAACCTCACAAAGCCCTTCCTGGACGTGCTGCTCACGTCCTACACGCTCATCCGCTCCGCGCAGTCCAAGGTGATGCAGGTGGCTGGGCAGAACCACCCAAACGGTGGAGCGCACGGGGCCAAGCTGTTGAACGGAGAGGGCCCCGAGAGCGCGCGCGCTTGTGTGTTGTAGTACCTGGTGTCATGTGTAAACATCAGCACTGGGGAGATAAAGGTGGCCGATTGTGGTGCTGGTCACATCATCTTCATAACTATCACCAACAGCACATGCCCTAACAAGTGCAGTTGGCTAGAGGTTCAACATACATACATAAAACAGTCTACGGAGGCTACACGGGGGATCTTTGTTGTCCGTGTGCAAGGGAGCCAGCTCGCGCCTGCCAGGCTTGCTGGCCGGCATGGTGGTGTACGTGACGGCGCGCATTCTCCGGGCGTGCTCGCCGCGCTTCGGCAAGCTGGTGGCCGAGGAGGCCAACAGGAAGGGTTATCTACGACACATGCACTCGCGCCTCATCGCCAACGCCGAGGAGATCGCCTTCTACGACGGACACAAGGTGCCGTGCATACCCGTGCTCCATCCCGGTTTACACTCACCGACACGCACGCACAGTCGGTGTTACCCGGCGAGCTCGGCGGTAGCGAGCGACTCGAATTCGGATGGTTTCCGAGTTCACATCTTGGCCGGCGGTTGACTCGGGCTATCGTCCCTCCGCAGTCTATAAACTTAATGCCACTTTTTGGGGAATTCAACAGTGGTTGTGCTTTGCAGAGATTCACCCCTGCCATAGAAATGTGGACTTTACACCACTGGCTCAGGGCTGTAAACTGTCAATGAGCATTGCCTCAATGCTGATTTCAGCAGCAAATTGCTTTAACTTTGATACAGTCAATGGGTTAAATTGGGGAAGGACCTCGCCAACTGGAGCAGATAGCAGATCAATTATATTGAGATAGGAGGGGAGAGGAACAAGAGTGCTTGGAGGGGAGTAGAGCGAGGTGAAAGGGGACAGGCGGTCTTGAATCTGATCTGAGTTTGGATCAGGAAACAACTAAGAGATTGGAGGACTGGTCCTGCTATTTAGATGTTAGACTTTCTGCCAGCATTATGGATCTAAGCCTCATTTATGAACAACTGCACAAACCCATCACCCGCTCCTCCCCAGGTGGAGCTGTCCCTGCTAGAGACCAGCTACAAGTCGTTGGTGCAGCAGATGGCACTCATCTACCAGAAGCGGCTGTGGTACGTGATGCTGGAGCAGTTCCTCATGAAGTACGTGTGGAGCGCCAGCGGGCTGGTGATGGTGGCCGTGCCTATCATCACCGCACAGGGTTACGCAGACTCCGGTACGCACACGCAGACTAGTGCACGCACGCACACAATACATTCTTAGCACATGTGTGGAAGGTTTTTGCAGCGCACAGCACACCTCGACGCAGTTAAACCTAAACTTTGTGTCCTGTCCCCTCGGCTTCAGCTCCTCCCTGCAAAATACACCAATATATTCCTACTTGACATAAGTGACATCGCATTGGGCCCCCACCGCCCCTCATTCCCCCCCCTCCCCCCTTCCCCCCCTGCCCCCCTTACCCCCACCCTGAGTTAAGTAAATTGGTCCGCCATTTGTAGTAAACTAAAACTTTTTATTTTACCAGGTAAGGCCCACTGAGCTATACAGCTTTTTTTCAGAAGCGACCTGGTCACAAATAATATAATAGCTCAAAGAAGTGGCTTATCACGTGAAAATTTATATCAGCCAAATACTCTAAAGGCATTTTGTGAAATCTGGAGAGAAAAACCGGAGGACCCGGAGAAAACTCCACACGACCACGGGGAGAGAGACACGCAAACTTCATATATACAGCAGGCATCACGATCGAGATCTCACCCACGACTTCCTGTATACCAGGCGAGATAGTTTACTATCTAGCCACCGTGGCACCCGTAAACCGTTGGCCATGTCCGCAGGCTGATGAGGTTATGTGTGTCATGCAGACTCTGATGAGGTGAAGCAGAAGGCACAGGCCCTGAGCAACGGCGAGCTGGTGAGCGAGCGCACGGAGGCCTTCACCACCGCACGCAACCTGCTCAGCTCGGCCGCCGACGCCATCGAGAGGATCATGTCGTCCTACAAGGAGGTGCACTCCGCTCTGTTGCCCAAAGGAGGGGCTTGGGGGGATGGGGAGGGGAGAACCACTGGGTAGCCGTGATGATGCTGGGGATAAGAGAAACTAAATAAATAATGAAGTGAAAAAAATGGGTGCATGAAATATCATCTGAAACTGAGATTCTTGGAAAAATAACTCGGCGTTCTAATCACACTCGGCGAAGAATCGCACTTTTAAAGAGTAACTGTTATTCGCCTTTCACCTTAATTGTTTCAAACAACTGACTTAATTGAGTTATGCAGCTTGTCCAGCATGTAATTGTGGTAGCTACCTGCTGGGCACAGAAATCATTTCTCCTGATGGAATCCGTACATACGGCCCTTAGTGGGGGTATTATACAGGTCCCTGCTGACACCAGTTGATTGATTGTGTTGAAACTAGTTGAGTACAGCCTGAAAACACGTCACAGAGATATCCGACACGAGTGCAGAAACCAACGGAAAAGTCGTAGCAAGTCTCACGATTCTCTCCCACTCGGGCGCATGCAGGTGACGGAGCTGGCCGGGTACACGGCGCGTGTGTACGCCCTGTTCGCCGTGTTCGAGGACGTGCAGAGGGGCGTATACCGGCGCGGCGGCACCCAGGGTCAGGCGGCGCTGCAGGAGGGGGCGGCCCCCTATACCATGCAGCACGGCGTGCGCATCGAAGGACCCCTGGAGATCCGGGGTGCGTGACTCTGCCTTGCTCGCCTGCCTGGGTCTGCGTGTGGAGGGGAAGGGGGGTGGTGTGAGAGCTGAGTTATCTACATAGAAGTAAAATATGTTTTAGTGGCCTATTGGCTTTCCAGACCAATATACTCGTGTAGCATTGTTCACACAAACTCTGGATTCGTTTCAACCTCTTTGATCATATCAGCCGAGTCAGGCCTGTTAAACGAACGCTGCTGGGTTGTCACGTTATTTGCGAGAGCACCATGTCTGTAAAACATAAATAAAAATGGTTTATTCAATGTCCTGGTTAAACGCAGGACACTACTACTCAACAACGGGGTTCTGTTTAACTTAAAAAGCAATATTATTTGTGCCGTTATCGATAACATTTGCGTGTTTGCATGCGCGTGTGTTGGCTGCGTGTGTGCGTGCGTGCGTATTTACACGTGCGTTGCGCAGGCCGGGTGGTGGACGTGGACCATGGCATCGTGTGCGAGGATGTCCCCATCGTCACCCCCAGTGGGGACGTGGTCGTGGCAAGCCTCAACCTGCGCGTGAGTGGATGCGAGCGCGAGCACGGGGTCACAAACGCAGTTGGCACAAGAACAATTTACATTTATATGGCCGAACATAAATTACCCCACATCTCATGGCTCATGATACTAGAATATGAATAACTGTATTAGGTTTCAATGGGATAAGGGATAGTGGTGGGGGTGGCAGGGAAACACAGGAGAGAGGAGAGAGAGCGACACCGCAGAGTAGCCTGCGACCAAGGAACTGGGGTCCAGCACCAACAACGGCAACGACGACAAGCCCTAGGGGCATCCGGAGCAGCCAGGGCAGCATCTACGAGCCCCAGGGCATCCTAGGTGTGTTTTGGGGGGGGGGTAACCTTTCAACAAATAATGATAGTTTTCCTTCATGTGATAGGAATCCAGAGAATCTGCCCTTCGGAGCAACGTGGGGAAGGAACTGTTTGAGACATAGGCGCTCTGACATTTTAGATCGTGCTCAGATTTGAAAGTGGGCGATAGTTTGCGGGTTCACTGGTTGAAGCCAACTTCGTTCAGGAGCGGTGTTACCTGTGCCATTTTGAACCGGCCTGGGAAACAGCCCTTGCTGAACGAAAGATTTTCCAGGTGGACAATCAAGCACGTTCGAGCATGATTTGAGAATCGACATGTTGATATAGTCGAGTGGCGATGTTTTTATTTGGCAGCCGTGGGATGAACATTGACACCTCTGCCACTGACGATCATGCCAGGGTCTCGAGTTTTGCATTGGTTGCAGGTTGAACAAACTCAGATGGCAGACTGGGAGAATGCGTTGCCATCAAGTTAGAAACTGCCATCTTGCTCGTCACTATTTTATTGGCGAAGAACGTCACAAGACCTGTGCACGAGCATCTGAAACCTGGACTTGAACCCTGGTTCTCGGTGGTGCACTCTGCCAGCCCTTTTTTCTGAAGGTGCCCTTTGCCACTGCTTATCTATTACCCTTGACCCCTTATCTGTTGGCCGGGTTCCACATTATAGTGCAGAATGGAGCTCAAACCCAGGAACAGCACTACTCCCCCAAGGACAAAGTTTGTAGCCTAGATAACACGCTCTGTGCAGATTTGAGTCACACAGCGGATCATCTTAGAGTGTACTGGCATGGGTTGGGGGACAGGGGAGCGGTTCAGGTTAATTGATTTGGCCCCATCTTTGATAATGAGCTTGACTGAACGAACAGAAAATGATGAGGGGTTAGATCAGGGTAGGAATGTGTGTGGATGGATTACCCTGCACTGTTTTGGGTGTACTGGGGTTAGGGATGTGTTGGCATACATGAGGTGTGTTGGCTTATGCTGTGTTGTAGATGTGTGCTCGTATGTCTGGTGGTGCATTAGGCTTGTATTAGGTGCGTGTCGGCGTGCGTTAGTGTCCATTAGGGATGTATTTTAGAGGATTGGGGTGTTTGGAGCTATGATAGGATGTGTGTGTGTGTATGTATGCGCTGTTAGTGTGGTTGATGTGGGTTACGCGTAGTGTAGCGGTTAGCGTGCTGCGCTATGAACCTGGCGACCCGGGTTCAATTCCTGCTTACAGCCAACACCAGTGACGATGATCTGAACCGGTCCTGGATCTCCCCTAGGTCGACTCGGCCTTAAATGAGTGCCTGGTGCGGTGTGTAAACATCGTCACTAGGGAGACAAAGGCGGCCGGGCGTGGTGTTGGCCACCCACTCCCTGGTGTGCCATGCCGGCCTTCATAGGTGATCGCTAATAGCACTTACCCCAACAGTATGTTAAGTTTATACGGGGGATCTTTATCTTTTGTTTTTTGTTAGTGTGGTTGGTGTGGGTTACGCATGTGTTCGGTAGGGCTTGTTGGTGTGCATCACGCGTTAGGCGTGGGTCAGCTCGGCCATGGTTTAGGCTGCCACACCAGTCCTCCATAGGGCCCACATGCTCCTGTTCAAGTTTATCTTGCGTAACACGGTGAGAATTCAAGAGCCCAGGATGAGTCTTATTTGCAAGAGTGACCTAGGGCCTTCATCTTCCAGTAGGGCGCAATGATTGCTGGTGCCGTGTGCATAATCCCAACTGCGTAATTTGCGGGTCATTTTTGGATTTTGCAAAAATGGACCCTGAAGCCGGCACACACAATGTCTTACTCTTGTTTGTGAAGCAGGCGACTTGTGGTGTTATTACAGTTATTACCCACCCCAGCGATGACCCCCATTGTTCCCTTGAGCAGGTGGAGCAGGGCATGCACCTGCTCATCACCGGTCCCAACGGCTGCGGCAAGAGCTCCCTTTTCCGCATCCTCAGCGGACTCTGGCCCGTCTACCACGGAAGCCTCTACAAGCCGGCACCGCACTACCTCTTCTACATCCCACAGCGGTGCGGGGCTCACTGCATGCGGTTTGGCGCACACGTCACTATTCAAAACGTGTGCGACCGCATCTCAAGATGTTTAACAGAAATGGTAGTGATATTTATTTCATAGAGAAAATGCATTCGGTCAAAGGCAGATTACAAAATTAAGTCTTGAGCTTTGACATTACCCACATACTCACTTAGAGGCTCGTAGACTTTAAATAGAGGCCCAATTGCTTCAATTGAAATGCTTAGATTTACATAAACGCTTGTTCTCATTGATTCTCCCACGCATGTTGAGGGATTGGTCGACCAGACTGACTCTTTCATCACATCCGCACGGTGTTCAACCAGGTCACCTCACTTCTCTTTCCGCTTCTTCGCTCGCACGGCTGCACGTGGAAATTCTCTCCCACAATCTCTTGAGCCAAGCTTTTACAGCCTTCCTCAATCATAGAAATGTGTTCACTTTTTTGTTTTGAGTCCGTGCTCAACTGTTGATACAATTTACAGGGCACTTAGATGGGGGAGCATCGAAAGTACAGTTCAACGTTGGATTTTGCTTCGATGCTGTCTACTGCGAAGTCAATCACGCGAGTGCGATGATTGCACAATCATCAGTCTACAAGTAATCTGCCCGAGCAGACTTACACATCAGGGAATGTCTTTTTTTAAGATTGCTCTCTGCACAATATGTTCGATCTCTCATTTGAGACAGTTTTGATTTCGATTTGTTTCATTGCTGTACTCTTATTTGTTTGGGCTTTTGTCATTTTGGTGACCCAGGTCACTCTTGCATATGAGGCTCCTATCTCAGTCTCTGCAACTTCCCCCTGGTTACACGAATAAACTCGATCGCACGCGTGCTGGGTGGGCGTGTGTGCTGTGCAGGCCGTACATGTCGATCGGCACGCTGCGCGACCAGGTGATCTACCCGGACCAGCCGGCTGACATGCAGCGCAAGGGCTACACGGACACCACGCTCGAGGCCATCATGGACATCGTGAACCTCAACCACGTCATACGCCGCGAGGGCGGTGAGCGTCACACCACGAGATGAAGAATCCGTTCCGAGCTCTCACCGCCACAGCAATGCAATCCTTCATGTTATACAGCGACCCCCAGAAGTGGATATCATAGGGCCATCTCTGAGACCCCTTCCAGTGACCTCTGGTCGTCACAGTATTCGGCAGCACTTTCCAACATACTTTGCATTTGAGAGTAATGTTTGTAGCATGAGAGAGCACCTCTAGGGGCTACTTGGTCTACTGTTCCACATTCTAGTCATTTTGGAAGAGGTTGGAGCACCCACACTTTACCCCACCACATGCGGCCTGCGACTCAACTAACAGCGGCATACTCATTTATACAGCTGGGTAGACAGAGGCGGGTCGAGGGGCGCGTGGGGGCTACATTTTGGAAACTTACACCGTTGTTGAAACTGGCATGCTGGGAGATCCAACCGGTCTCTGTATTACAAGTCAGTGTGCTAACCGCTCACCATTACACCACGCGAACATCCCACCACTCGGATACGTTCCCACAATTCCTGCTGTCTGGCTCGCTGGCTAGCATTCCCCTCTCGAACTGCTGCACTGTGGCCTATCCCGGGAACTGTGAGTGACCCCTCCGCTTGCAATTCGCGCTCAGTTACTCTACAGACACAGTTGGCGGCGGCGCACATGACCCCTCGTGTGACTGCGCCGCTCGCCAGGTTCACTAAATTCCAGACACTGGCAGTGAACTGCGCGATTGTGCATTGGAGCTGCACAAAGTTCACAGCGAAACTCGTGTTGTTATCAGTGGTGGCACTGAAGGTTGTTGTGCTTTGACACGTGTCACTGCGTGGGCTATCGGGGCGCAAGTCCGCAAGTCAAATTTAGCATGTGCGTATTGTGTTGTGAGTGTGTGCTTCATAGTGTGTATGTGTATGTAAATGCGGAGCGGTGTTATACCGGTTAGCGCGTTGCGCTATAAATCTGGTTCGATTCCAGCTCACGGCCAACACCAGCGACGATTATTTGAACTGGTCCGGGGCCTTCCCTAGGTCGACTCGGCCTCAGATGAGTACCTTGGTGTGGTGTGTAATCATCACCACTGGGGAGACAAAGGTGGTCCGGGCATGGTCCTGGCTACCCACCCCCTCGTTTTATCGTGCCAGCCTTCAGAGGTGTTCGCTAACAGCACTTGCCCCTACAGTATGTTAATGCTATACGGGGGATCTTTGTCTTGTGCTTCATAGGTGCTCGCTCCCAGCCCTCACCCCAGCAGTCTGTTAAGGCTGTCTGGGGTGGGGGGTCTTTGTTTATCAGCATTGGAGAGACAATGGTGGCTAGGCTTGGTATTGGCCACACCACCCCTCTGTCCGCCATGCCAGCCTTAATAGGTGCTCGCTAACAGCCATTTCTCCAACAGCCTGTTTAAATGGCCACATGGGGCATCTATCTTTGTATAATGAGTATTCATACATGTGTGTTTGTTTGTATATGTGTATATAATGAGAACTTGTATCTGTGGGCACGTGAAATATGAAAAGTTTTTATGACCTAAAGACATGCTTTCCCCAACAATCTGCATGGCTATACAGGGGATCTTTGTCTTTCGTATAGACAACTCTGATCTGTGTTTGTATTACGATAACTTTGTATGTGTGTGTTTGCATGTTTCTAACTAAACTATGATAACTCAGGGTGTGTGTATCTCATGAGCACTGTGACCTGTGTGTGTTACTGTGTATCGTGAGGACTTGGCCTTATATTATTGTGCATAAACGTTGCATGAAAGCAACCTGGCCTGTCGCTCCATACGAAGCTCCAAGTATTCTCGGCCACAGTTATGCCCTTCCTTCTATATGCTTGCGAAACGTGGGCACCTCTGGAGGAATATCTGTGCCGTTTTTCAACATCCAGGCTAACCTGCCTATGATCCATCCTGGGTTTAACCAGGCTAGATTGTGTGTGGAGCTTACAGATCCTTTAAAGATCTGGACATAGTCCCATCAGTGAGCTCCTCCAGCAGGCAAGGCTGAGTCATGTAGCCTGCATGTCCACCCATCGCATGCCTAAGCAGACTCTGTTTGGCCAGATAAGAGGGGGGGCTAAATGGACGTGGCACAGGCAGGAAAAGAGATGGGCTGATTTGGTACAGGAGGATGTGGAGCTGAATGCACTTGCCAATGGCTGGTACCAGTAGTGTCTCTGTGAAAGAGGCACATGAAGGATGCTGCTGTGCAGATGGAGGCATTGGGCCCTCGAACAGCAGTGGAATGCAGAGGAGCGATGCTCACAACACCTGTGCCAATTTGCTGCGGCTAAAACGCAGCAAATTGGCACAGGTGGTGCATCTGCCAGTCAACTTTGTCAGTGATCCTATAACACCTGAGTCTCATGTGACCTACTGTCAGCGAGCCTTTGACACTTCACGTGGCATCAAATTATATCTAGCCTGGCACAAGCGCTTTGGTGACATGACAGCTACTTGTGTGTGTGCGCACGTAACAGCATTTTCTCCAACAGTCTGTTTAAAAGGCTGCATGGAAAATGCCAGTGTTCATTACTATGAGAACACTTTCTCTGTGCTTGAGTGCGTGTGTGCGCACATCATCACAACTCTGACCTGTGTGTGTCGGCACAGGCTGGGATGCGAAGAGCGACTGGAAGGACGTGCTGTCCGGAGGCGAGAAGCAGCGCATGGGCATGGCTCGAATGTTCTACCATCGGTGGGGCACACAACGTGGACACTGGGGGCGACATGAAGGGGACACTTGGGGGGGGGGGGGGAGCACTGGGTCACACAGTGGTGGGGGGGGGGGCGAAGGGACACAAATCTTGTCCATCGCTAACACTGGACATTGTAATTGCTCCGTCGAGTCCCCCCCCAGAGGGCTCAGGAGAAGTGTTGGTGTTTAATTGGGTGTTAATTACCACTTAATTAAGTGAAAGTAATGTCATCATAGTGCTTGCTTGTACATGCAAAGCGCTTTGCGAATCCACCGCTGGATGAAGGCCTCCCCATGTCAGGTGTAGGTCTGCTTCATTGTGGGTTGGGACGTATTATCCAATAGGAACAATATATTTATTCAAGAAGATATCTTGGTTACATTTTTTATCAACGTACAAAAAAACCACAGTAGGCACTGTGCCTAGGGCCTACGAAAAAACACGTTACTTTTTTGTTTGTATGATAAGAAAATGTAACCAAGATATCTTCTTGAATAAATATATTTATAATGCAAGCATAGGCACATTGTATATATAAAGAGGCAGATTCGTATCAATGTGAATATTTTTTTTCATAAGGTGAGAGAAATGAACACCGGAGATGAGCTTTTAGAGATATTTTAATTGCAAAATTAGCAATAACATCTTCAGATCTTCAAAAGGTATTTTTCGTACAATCTCATCCTCAATAGAGAGCACTGCAAGGGGAGATGAGGCGGCGTTGCTGTCTTTTGGTTGATCAGAGACCGTTTTATTTTTTATCAGCTTTCGCTAAGAAAAACAACGCTCACCTTCACAATTCATTCCATCGATGGGAAGATACATCTTTAGAGCAATGTAAACATTCGGAAAGCTGCTGATCAGCTTGTCAGATATTTGGGCTTTGAGCATATCTGGCACATTTTTTTCTCTGCATACAAATGCAGGAACAACAGGATTTTATCGGTGAATGATTTTTCACGATCTGCTGGATATGCAGCAACCAATGCATTGGCATATTGCTAAATTTCAATGGAAGAAATTACATGAGTAAATGATTTGAAATAAGAAATACACAAAGCAAGAAGCCAATTAAAATCTCTGAACAGCTAGACCAAACAGGAGTATAAGACAGAGACTAAGAAATGAAAAAATGCAATCATACTAGAATTCTTTTCAGTATAGCTCTAAGGGCTAAGGCATTAAATGTTTTTCTAATTGAGCCTAAAATAAAAATAGCAGCCAAATAGCCTTAGTCCCTGCCACTTTTGAAATTATAATATATAATGTAAACTGGGGGAATATGGCAATTTATTTTTCTATGCAGTATATTTGACAATGTATTTTAGAAAATAATTAAATGTTTATTTTTTTTATTTTTGCCACTTAATTTGTTGGCTGCTCGTTGCAATATCAGCGGTAACGAGATCTGTGCAGCGGCTGGACGAAATCCGCGTGATACAAGCGAGTGACAGCGGTGGTAGTAGTAACATGGGGCAGCAGCAGTAGCGACTTTAGAAAGTTATCACTAAAGGCCGACGAAACAGAAGTGCCTAGGGAATACAAGAACCTTAATCTGGCCCTGGGCTAGGCAGCATAGACATAGGAGAAGAATACAATCGGAGAACAATGGATTTTGTTGCACCATCCCCTAGTGCCCACAGCCTGCTTGTGTGTATGTAGTGTTCTACTTTGTCTTTGGCTACATGCATGTCGGTGTGTGTACGCATAGCACTATAAAGTTGGCACCCTGAGTTAAATGCCTGGCCATGGTATATTGTGAATGGGAAGTGGTATCTGAGTCTCTCCTGGGCCTCCCCTAGGCCAAGTACTTGGCGCGGTGTGTAAACATGAGCACTCGGGAGACAAATGCGGCAGAGCATGGTGCTGCTTACAACTTCCTTGCGTGTCGTACCGGTCATAAAACAGGTGGTCACGAACAGCACATGCCCCAGCATTCTCCAAGTCTCCAATGTATGTTTATGGATGCGTGTTCATGTGTACGTGCCTGTGCGTGCATTCAGGCCCAAGTACGCACTGCTGGATGAGTGCACGAGCGCCGTGAGCATCGATGTCGAGGGAAAGATTTTCCAGGCGGCCAAGGACGGTGGCATCTCTCTGCTCTCCATCACCCACAGGCCGTCTCTCTGGTGAGGCTGTCCCCTCCTGTCCCTTGTCAACTATTGTGAAGACTCTCTCGTATGTGTGGGGAGTTTATCAGCAGTGTTTCTATGCTGTTGTCGAGGTTGGTGAATGAGCCATTGGACAGCTTCAGGAGTAGGCTGGTGAATATGTGAAACGCTGCCGGCGAAAGATCGAAGCGGGCAGTGGCGTTGCCACGTGGCTAAGACCTGTCCTTTGCTATTTCTCTCCCATCACCTGTCTCTGGCAGTGGGGTAGCGTGGTCGGCATGGGCTCTGCTGGTGCAAAATATTAAATGCGTCTCCCCCCCCTGGTTCATTTACCCCCCCCACCCCTTCATAGCCTGGCATCTGGTCCCTCGGGCCCATGGGCAATCGTGCATTTGCACCACTTACACACTGGATAGCTGTGTCCCTGCTCTCTGACCAACTCTTTTACATAACCAGGATTAGTATCCAGGTTTCGGCCATCCACTACTCATTCGGGCGTATGCAAAAAACCCCATCAAATTAGTTGTTTTATTAATATGGGCTGGGATTACTTCACTTCAACTCCTGAATATGGCCACTGTAGTGGGTGGCGAAAGGTTGAGAAAATAAATGCTCGATATGGCAGCCTAACCATGAACGACCAGGCTTGGGATTTGCACAGCCATCGCTTCACGAATATTTTCGCCAGCAATTTGACACGGCAAAAATTAACGCTGGCTCACGTGCGTGCATGCGTCATGCATGCAGGAAGTACCACACACACCTGCTGCAGTTCGACGGCGAGGGCGGCTGGATGTTCGAGCAGCTGGACTCGGCAGCGCGCGTCTCTCTCAGCGACGAGAAGCAGCGTCTCGAGGCGCAGCTGGCCGGCGTGCCGTCCATGCAGCGCCGCCTCACCGAGCTCTGCACCATCCTGGGCGACGACTCGGTACTCAAGATCTCACCCGTCGCCGAGGAGGAAGTCCCCACTGATACCGTTGTCATGGATACAGTCGTCATGGATACAGTCTCCATGTGAGGCTGCAGCAGTGGCGGTGAAGGTGGCGATGCAGTTTGTCAACCGGCAAGTCTAGCTGGGGCGAGGTCAGCGTAGGGGTTAGAGGGCGCGTAGGGTCACTGAGCCATTGGGAACGGAGTGTGGGGGTCGTCACCCTTCAATAACCCTTTGTACACGAGAGCGTATGAATCGGGTTTTAACGCACTTGTTTTGCACGGAACGTTTAAAACACTAAGAGCGTGATAATTTTCCCCACGAAGATGTCCCGATTCAGGGTCGCGATTTGTTTTGAAAATCCATCATCGAATTAAAACTTCGCATTGAATGATCGCATCTCCAGTGGCTGCAGAGGTGACGTGAACCCGTTACATAGAACGTACACAAATTGAAAAATATTCATTCCTATGCACGCGATTCGTGTATCGTGAACTTATTTATATTAAACGATTAAAGGAACATTAACACTCATCACCACCGCATGTGGGTCATACCCGAGTATCGATGCACTAATTCTTCGGTTAAAATCGATCCTTAAGGCTTATGATACATTAATCGAATATTGCACATGTGAATCGAATTAAGGAATTTGCAGTTTAGGCTAATGGCACAAATAAAACCTGTAGAAATAAGGCAGAAAACATGAGAAACAATGCAGACCAGACAAAACAAATCTCTGAATCGAATCGTGACTCCAAATCGTGGCAATTCATCAAATAGCTGTGGGTGTGAATTGTTACATGCCTAGCCGGTTATAAATTAGCTTTGTGAACATAATCATTTTAATCTCGTTTTCTTGAGCCACAATTAGATTAAGTCAAATCTGTTGAACCAAATCTGTTTTGCGTTCGGCTAGAAAGGGCTCAACGACGACCACCGTTCGTCACGAGGTTGTCGGAGGAAGTAGTGACGCAACAGCTCCTGTCGCAAAACACCTAATCGTTAGCACTGTGTTCATTTATTAATACGACGTTATTAATAGTTATTCTTTGAAGCCACTGTTTGGCATCCAGACATTTCAAGTCTCTTGTTGGTGTTGAATCTTAACTGTAAAACATGTGTTTCGTTATTTAAGATGTAGGGGGGAAAAAACCTACTCGATTTACGAATTTTAAATGTGTCGGTTTGTTTGCGTCAGCTGTGAAACTTGTCAGTAACTAATCTCACGATTAGCGAGTGAAAAAGGCATTGAGATTAGCCAGAGGCCTGACGCTTTTACGGCAACATAAGAGCACTCTCGTATTTAACGTCATAGGTCGAAGTGATTCCTGCTGAAGGCACTAACATGTTCGGTGTAGAGAAGTTGTTTACCAACGGCCGTGCCCCATACAGGCTGATGGGGGGGCCGCCTTCCTTAGCCACGGTGGAGGAATGGCCAAGTCGGCCACCTTCCATCGCGTTGGTTTTAACTTTTTACAAATAATCAAGCAGTGCAGTGCAGTGTGTGTGTGTCTGCCTATTTTTACAAATAAACCTGTGTCTTCGCTCACCCATGGTCTCTTCCTCTATGCGGATGTGCGTTGTGGGGGGGATTGCGGCGTGGGTATGCCCACATGGCTGCTGGGCCACAATCTTGTCAAAGAAATGGCCAAACGCACGCAACCAAAACAATAAGCGCGTGTTTACTACAGTGGTTCGGCCGTGTACCGTATGAATTGTCATCGGCTGCCTAGATTATACATGGAGGCTATGCAGAGGGGTGGATTCTTTGTCCATGTTCGGGTAGCAAGAGGTTATGTGAATGGGATGCCGCAGGAGGGCGTGCGTTCGCTCCTGAGCCTATGGATTCTTATCTGGGTTCTCCAGTTTTCCCCTCCACATTTAGAAACATGGATTTATGGCTGCTATATATTTCTGCATTATAAGCCACTTCGTTGAGCTATCAGTTGTGGCCAGGTCACGTCTGAAAAAGAGTTACATAGCTGTGGGCCGGCCTTCACCTGCTAAAATAAAAATATAGTTTAAATGTATCGAGGAGTGTGTGTCTGTCATCCTTTGTGAGTGAATGTGTTAGAATGCAAGTGTCAAATGATGCAGGTGTGGTATATTTATAGTGGGAAGCAGTGTCGCGGTTAGCATGATGCGCTCCAAATCCAGCAACAAGAGTTCGATTCCCACTTACGGCCAACAAGTGACGATTATTTTAACCGATCCTAGGCCTCTCCGAGGTCGACTCAGCCCCAAATGAGTACGTGGTGTGTAAACATCACTAGGGAGACAAAGGCAGCTGGGTGTGGTGTTGGCCACTCGCCCCCTCGTGTGCCGTGCCGGCCTTCATAGGTGCTCGCTAACAGCACTTGCCCAATAGTCTATTAAGGCTATTTGGGGGATCTTTGTCTTTTAGTATGTTTATATATCTGTAGGTAAGCATCTCGGGGTGTGTATATGGGGAAAAGTGGGTACTTTAACCGTACTATGTCCATACCATGTCTGTTATTCTACTCGTGTCTGCCCACGTCAACCTGTTTCTCTGTGCAGCTCTGCGTCATTGTCTCTCTTCGCATCTTCATCGTTATGCTCGTCTGTTCCTTTATTCACACGCCCGCCTTGTGTGCCCAGGAGGCGTGTTTGTAGTCGCGTCAAAACCATGAACTGGGAAAAGTAGACGGACAGGATTTGTAGTAAGGGTCAACGTTCGTGGCTTGACGATGGTTTAGAGGAACGATATTTTATATGAAATCATTGCCGGTGGCCACCGCGGTCTGGGATCGGTTATCCGTTGGCACGACGATGATGTTCGTGGTCCAGTTTCCCTGCTGAGCGAGACGTGGCGAGTTGCAGTCGTACGCGCCTGGAGAACCAGACCACACGGCTGCGTCTGCCAACTCCAAAAGACTGGCTCGTTTGTGTTATTTCATCTTTACAGTATTTATTTGTAAAAAACTAAAACGGCATCATTTTTTCCCAAAGGTCTACACTGAAATGTTTGCGTATCAGATTGCTAGTGGGAGTGCATACACGTGTCAGTGTACGCAATGCCAAGTGTGTATTGTCTGGCTGTGTGAATGCACGTTGAACTGTACAGGATAAGCAGGAGTGTGTGTACGCGAGTCAAGGGGCATAATATGGGGTGCACGGGTAGTGTGTGTGTGTGTGCGCAAACGTATATCGGTGTGAACGTGCAGGTGTATCTTGGGATGTGAATGTGTGCACGTGAAAGTGTGTTGGGGTGTGCATGTGTGTATGTGTGCATGCATGTACATGTATTGCCGTGTGAGTGGGTACATGCATGTAGGCAGCAGTGGTGCAGTGGTTAGTTCACTGCGCTGCAAACCCATTGACCTGAGTTTGATTCCCAGCCACAGCTAACTTCAGTGGTTTCCAACCCTATCTAGGGAGTATTCAGCTTTGAAAGACTGTAAACATTAGCACTGGGAAGACAAAGACAGCCAGGCATGGTTCCGACGACACCACCGCCTAACGCACCCGTGCTGTCCTTAATTGATGCTGGCCAACAGCCTTTCCCCCAAAAGTCTGCATGGCTGCAGTGGGTATCGTTCTATGCGGTGAGCACAGCAGCATCAACATGATTTCCCGGTTTTCTTTGCTTCCTCGGATTTGTAGCTCTTGAACTTGGGCAGGTCGGCACTGAACAGCACCTGTGAGTGGTCCGCACAGATGGGAACATGAATGATCTCTGGGTCTGCTTTGGCAGCACGGCAGTTCCACAAGTTAGGCAACCTCTTGTCAAAATAAAAAATGAATCCGATTCATACATACAGGAGTTATTTGGAAGGTAATTATCTGTGGTGTTCGAAAACATGGCTCGTACAGAATAACTCAATCTTTTGTTAAGTACAGAAAACTGCACTATCACCATCCCAGCAGAGATGAACAAGCCAGTTCATCAGAGTACATATGCCACCAAGGGATTATGAGCATTTCTGAAAAATGTACTAATTACTTCTGCCTGAATTTACACACTATGCCCAGGTGAAGAAAGCTTCTTGCTGAATATACGAATTATTAGCCCATACTTTTTAAAGTGTCATCAAAGTATGTCCGGCATCATGGAGCTGGCCCAGCGGTAAACGAGGGCTCCTATCTGCACCAGTGTTGCCAACTGTGTTAGTGTGGAAAGTCGCCCCAACAAACCTCAACGTTTGCTAGATATTAGCAGACAAGTTCTAGAAAGATCGTTCGTCACCTTCGCAAGATTTAGTTGTTTGGGAAACCCGATAACAGTGTCACTGGATTTGGACAAAATTGCTCAGTCGCAACACAGATCTGCATCAGAATCAGAAGTGTATTACCCGAGTAAATAAACGATTGAGTTACACAGCTCTTTTTCAAAGGTGACTCGGCCAGCAGACAAAACATGGCAGCAAGCGTTTCAAATAAATGATTAAACATGATCACAAGAATAAAGTTAATTATAATAGTTATAATGCTTAAGAGTACAGAGATGGCAGAGTGGGGATCCCCAGAGAAGACACGAGTTGGTTCCAAAACGTTGGAGCAGCTACAGGAAACGCTTTTGAACCAAGTTGGGTACGAAATCTAGGAATCGTGAGCAATCGGGCACACGTCGCAGATTGTTTAGACTTTGGAATGGTATTAACGAATCTGATCAATAAAGTTCAGATCTTTGGGCAATTTCCTTATCAATTAATATCGCCCAATGACAGCTTCTTCGTGCTTTTAGGGATATTAGCGCATCATCCATAGAACAGAGGTCAGTGCTGTGTCCGGCACGGGGCATCCACTGCAAAGAGTAACGCGGCATGTGATCGACCACATTGGCCCTTGGCACTCACCGACTGCGCCCAGCCGGCATACGGCCCCCACAGCTCACGGAAGAAGTCCGCTAAACACACACGCGCACAAACACGGGGCAGACACATTCACCTTGACACTGATACCAAAAAGAGCACCACTGCACTATGCGGACAGTATTATTTGTATTGTTAACAAGAGCGATCACCGTGAACGATGTAGTTTTGGCCAATAAATGGAATAGAACTACGACTAAAAGTTGAATCGATGTCAAGAATGAGAATGTTACAGAGTGGTGTCGGCCACAATATGCAGAGGAGTTAAACCAAACTCTACATACAACCATACACAACTCCCCTCTTATTTTTCGATTTAAAGCTTTCGTGACTGCAGGGATTCATCTTCTTGGTTCTTTCAGTAAAGTCACGTAGAAGGGAAATAATCAAATAATAAAAATACAATTAAATTCTCACGACGTTTCGGCCACAACGCAAGCAGCCGTCCTCAGGTGAAGAACAGGGCTGTCGGAAAGACAGCGTCCCAATGAATGAATGTTCATTCGGACGCTGTCTTTCCCACAGCCCTGTTCGAAACGTCGTGAGAATTTTATTGTTTTATTTGTATTATTTTATTATTTCCCTTCTACGTGACTTTACCGAAAGAACCAAGAGGATGAATCCCCTGTTATTGTATTTTGATAAATTCAGTCGGCTGAATCAACTTTATCCCCTGGGGTGGTCAGTTGGTTACATTGCACACATTTATTGCTATGGCCGCCCAAGTCTACAGGACCACAGTGCACGTCTTCAGGAAATGCTGATGGATGGATGTATATTGAACATCAATCGCACCGTACGTAGCCAACCGTGCTAATCGGAGGTGCGGGGGAAGGACAAAAAACTGCACACAAAAAGTATTTCTAAAGAAATGTTTTCAATCTAGATTATTGAAAAGTGCATAGCTCCAGTGGCTTCCTAATGTCCGAAGGGAGAGAGTTACAGGCGGATGCAGAGGCTCATCTGAAGCCGCGTGATGCGGTGACTGTCTTTGTTCAATGGTTAGCCAAAATCCACTGTGGGGATGACCGGAGTTTGCATGATGGTTTATGATTCTTGACAAGATCAGCAAGATATTGTGGTTAATTTATGGCAAGAACTTTGTGTATAATGAGCGCGACCTTATAATGTATTCGTTCGGCAAGCGGAAGCCAATGCAGCTCAGCGAGCACTGGATGGACATGGTCGGATCTTGAATAAAGGCTGTGTGCTTTATACACATGTCCGTGTGTAAAGTATCGTTTGGGCTGCTTGTGTCTGTCCATGAACAGCTGACATCCATGCGAGTGTGTGTGGGTGTGTACGTATGCGTATTTGTGTATACACATCTGTCCATGTGAGTGCGTCTGCGTGTGAGTGCGTCTGCATGTGAGTGCGTCTGTGTGCGTCTGCGTGCGTACTCACCCACTGCAACGTAGGTCTTGTCGGTCAGGCTCTTACGCCCACTGCCCAGCGTGGTGTGGTAGTCTCGCTGTGCGATCTGCCACACGTGCGTGTCCACTGGTACGGCATGCGGTTTGTCCAGCGACATGAGGCACACGCAGTCAGCCACCTGCAATTGACAACTATTGGCAACGGTTCGGGAACATCGATTTAAAAGGCAAAACATTTCCAGGGAAAGGGGGGCAGTGACTTGGCTCACAGGATTTTGGGGGGCCACCTGCCTGGGCTTGAGTACAAATTCTACCTTTAAGCCCAAGTGAAACCTTTCCTCCTCTCTCTGCTTTTCTACAGTTTTAGCGTTTAACGCACCACCTGTTGATTAAGAGTAAACGTTAAAGGTGGTCCCTGTCGCCAACGATTAAATACGACAAATTGACGTGCAGATGTGGATACCAGTCATCACTGTATTACCATATGCCACGAAGTTATGCCAGGCACTTAATGGAATATTACATTTTACTAGATTGTGATGTTCTGAATGTTTGCATGATCTAAACTGATTATTGCTTGTAACATTATGAAATTACAAACAAGTTAGAAACATCGTGCACATGAATGAATTCTGTAATGCTTTCCAACATGTGCTTATCTTCAGAAGCATTCAACTAGCAGTACGGAAGACGATGTAGTAGCTGTAAGGGTAAACATTTTACATATTTGTAAATTGTCACCAAACTTTGGGCACCCCTTTGATCACCTACATCAATTTCTCAATAGCAATACAACTATACACAAAGGTTTTGTTCATATTGGATCATCTTTAGGAGAGTTACCTTTCTCTCCCTAGTCCACCGTATATGGACAGACAGAGCTAATGCATTAATGCTTTCAAACGATCATCATCGCCGCCGCCGCCACCGCCACCACACCGACCTTGGCCCCTACGCCGGGCAGTTGCACGAGCTGCGCCCGGGCTTCGGCGAGCGGCGCGGTGCGGAGCGACGTCAGCCAGGGGGCGCCACCCCTATGCAGCACGGCGCGAGCGCTCTTGGCCACGAAGCCGGCGCGGTAGCCGAATCCCAGCTCACGCAGCTGCTCCTCCACACCGTCCCCTGCGGAGACACGGAGAGTCGGGTGATTAAAGGGTAAATGGAACGCGATATTGCGAGGTGGCCGGGTGGCTCGGAAACCACTGAAACCCTCAGTACAAATCCGGGTTTCGGCCGCCCGTGATTAAACCCGGTTCTCAAGTGTACCGAGTCGGTGGTCTTCGCCCGGTCACCGGTTATTGCACTAAAAGCCCACGATATTAAATTTGGTTCTGGAATGCAACATTACTTTGATGGTGCAGAGTGGAAAAGTGCTGCCCTCTGCTGTATGGAAATTAGGTCACGAAATTCTTTCAGCTCTGTGGTATCTGTGCCACCCTTCCAACCCATTACACCACATATTTGAGAGTTGACTGTATTAATACTAATATGATGAGGATGATGTTTATCATCATCATGATGCTGCTGCTGTGATGACATGCCATGCACAAAACGCACCGGAGAGCGCCTGCAGAGAGGGGAAAGCGTGGTAGGCGACGCCATCCTGCGTGGACACGAGCTCGCCCAGCGAAGCACACAGCCGCTCCAGCATGACGGTGATGCGCGAGATGTGGTTGTTGGAGGTGCAGATGAAGGAGAAGAGACATTCCACGGGGTCCTGGCGAAGCACCCGCACTCCTGCACACACACAGGAGGGAATATTCCTGTCATCCGCGATTTTATCCAAGGATAAAGAAGTCACTTGGAAGTTGCGGAAAATTCATGTAGAGATAGGCAGATACCCGTGCCGACACTGTAAAGGTATTTTCGTGGACAGGCATTGACAGTAGAAGCCACCAATACCACCTCCATCACATCAACGCAGATGGAGCGGAGCGTCTGTACGCGACGCGTGGAATAATGAGCTTGTGGGCGTCACCGAGAGCACGTGTGTGTACATGCGCACATTAGTGTGTGTGTGCGTGCGTGCATGCGAAGATGCGAGCAAGCATGCGCACCAGGAAAGTGTCCGGCGACACGAGCGAAGTGCGGATCGACGCGACTCCACTCTTCGTACAGCTGCTCCAGTGCCACTCCCAGCTGCAGGTAATCACGCAGCGCCGCTCCGCTCCCCTCCTCGTCACCACCGTCTTCCACCACATTGTTGCTACCGCCAATGATGTCGCCGGTGCCGTTTACATTGGGAGTTTTGCCACCGCCCCGCTTGGATTTGCGCTTGTTTGCGTGGCAGGGTTGGGACCCCGGCTCCTGCTCCTATGATGCAAAATTAAATGAGATTTTAAAACAATCTATGGTTTATTGGAAGCGAATTCTGATTCAGTGTTTACTCAACCACCAGAGATGGAGCGATGAAATCAGGTCGCACGCAGGAAACTAGATGGATTGTTGCATCAAAGGACCGAAATGGTGACAGGTTTGGGATGTCTCCATCCAGCAGTGGATATATCAGGGCTGATAGTGATGTTTTTACATGTACCCCTTCCCATGTTTTTGAAATTCAGAAATCAGTTTGCCTACATTCACCCTTTAAAGTGTTTTACAGCCAGGCCAGTGTGAACTGCAGGTCACTGTGGTTGAGATGACAAGTTAATGGCAGAAACCCACAGACTCGCATCGAGACCCAAAGACTCACACAGCAACCCACAGGCTTGCATAGAGACCCAGTGAGAAGCTGGAATTTGGTGGCAGTGGCTTCATAATCACCGCATTCTCCACCAGACGGGCACATGCAGCTTCTCAGAAATGGTCTGGTGGGCACCCAGCACTTGTGTTTCAATTCACCATTAGTCCACCTGCACGAGCTATCACCAAACACCGGAAAATCTGGGGTGGAATTGAAGCCTCCTCAACCTGGAGTCATGAAACATCACCATTGAACCATTGCATTCAAGTGTCATCTTAGATTTCATCAAAAAGGATGATGCCGTCGTGTAATGATTGGAGCACTCGAATTGCGATTCAGAAGTCACCAGTTCAACCTCCCGGCAAGGCGGTTGAAACAATGGGCAAGTTTCTAAACATCGACCTCGACCTCTGTCCATGAGTTTAAATGGGTACATCAAATAGTTTATCGGCCGATGGCGTGTGGTGGGGGCAAGGCCGTAATTATTCAAATATGCTCAAAATGTCCCCCCCAATATATTGCTATAAAATAGATTTCTGTTTATATGATTGTGGTTATGGTTGTACTTTATAAATCCCTAATCTCTGCCATTACATACAATGAAACAAGAAAATGTAAAAAAGAAAAAAACAGAGCAATGTAATACAATAGACTATTAGACATTATTGTTAAAAATAAATAAAGAGTCAATCCTTTGTGTTAGTGATTTTTAAAAATATTTTAGGCAGGAAATGGCAGGAAATTCGTTTTCGAATTTAGATTTTTTTTTTGTGGGGGGGACCCCCAGACCTCCTGGAAAAATTGGTCCCCCCCCCAATGTTGACTCCATGGCTACAGCCTTGGGTGGGGGTAAGCGTGGATACCCCCACCTCTTCCAGGATGAATGGCCAGTGCGGGGAAGAGTACAGCACAGGCGTACCTCGCATTATTGCGCTTCGCTATAATTGCGCTCTTTTTTTAAATGTCGCATCTCAAGATAAATGTCGCATCTCATGATTCTCAACTTAGCAGGAGAATAAGAGTCGATGAATAATTACTTACAATCTGATTGGCTTACCATCATCTGAAACTCCCGCTTTTTGCATGTGAACTTAGCGAGTCAGTCGGCGTAATTTTAACTTTTTTATTTAGGCATACTGTAGTTGCATTGCGCGTTGAATATAGTGTAGTTTAAACGTGTTTTAAGGCTTGTATATGCATAGCCATGTGAAAAAACAGCATGTGACTCGCTTTATTGCCATTTTCGGTATATTGCGGTGCTCTGGTCCCTAAGGAGCCATCACACCGAGGTAGGCCTGTACCTGTACCGAATGCCAAAATACCTCGAGAGGAGCTCTCTAAAGAGCTCTCTGTAGAGGAGGCCCTTCCACCAGCAGTGTCATCAGCAAAGCAAATTGCAGGGCTGCACTTTCACCACAGTGACACAACCAGCTCTTGTTGCGGCCACGACCCTTCTGTTAAAAGCCAAACTATTTTTTATTGTACCAGGTAAGGCCCACTGAGGTCTATAGCTCTTTTTCAGAAGCCACCTGGCCACAAATTTGGAGATTTATAGCAGCCAGATACTCTTAAGCGCATGTTTCTAAATGTGGAGGGAACAAAACCGGGGTGGCCCAGAGAAAGAATCCACGCGACCACAGAGAGAACATGCTCCATTACAAACATACCGCAGGGGTCAGGGTCGGGATCTCACCCACGACCTCCTGTATACCAGGCGAGGCAGTTAACATCTCCTAGCCACCGTGGCGCCAGCGGTTTTCTCACCGGGGTGAGCTTGCCAGCCGTCTTGCGCCTCTTGCCGCCGTGCTCCGTCTCCTCCACGTGGGTGGCAGGTTGCCCCGGGGGCAGCACGCGGTACAGGAGGAGGTCTCCCCGCTGGGACAGCTCGTAGAGGCGGCGTCCGAGCACGCAGCGCCAGAGACCACCCGACTCCTGCTGGCGCCACCTGCAACAAATGCCATGACTCATGGGGTCACCACCGCCACCTCTTGTACTGCTGTGGGGTAGGGGGGGCGGCTGTATTCTGCACGGGACTTCTCTCTCTCCTGGGGTATCCTTGTTAAAGGGTTTCGGGGCCGTCCATCAATGACGTCACGCACCTAGGGGGGGGTCAGATATTTGTAACGATGTGTGACGGGGGGGGGGGGGGTGAGAAATGTGACGTCACATTAAAATGCGCAACTTTAAATAAATATAAACAACACTTAATTAAATCGACTTTTTAATAAATGTTTTCTCCAACAACATCAGAGTGCAGCGCCACATTAAATACGCACTACAATGAGAATAGTTTAAAGCGAAGGGCCCTCACCCACCTGAAGGCCCTCACCCACCTGAAGGGCCTTACCCTCCTGAAGGCCCTCACCCTCCTGAAGGCCCTCACCCTCCTGAAGGCCCTCGCCCTCCTGAAGGCCCTCACCCTCCTGAAGGCCCTCGCCCTCCTGAAGGCCCTCACCCACCTGAAGGCCCTCACCCACCTGAAGCCCCTCACCCTCCTGAAGGCCCTCACCCACCTGAAGCCCCTCACCCTCCTGAAGGCCCTCACCCTCCTGAAGGCCCTCACCCACCTGAAGCCCCTCACCCTCCTGAAGGCCCTCACCCTCCTGAAGCCCCTCACCCTCCTGAAGGCCCTCACCCTCCTGAAGGCCCTCACCCTCCTGAAGGCCCTCACCCTCCTAAAGGCCCTCACCCACCTGAAGGCCCTCACCCACCTGAAGGGCCTCGCCCACCTGAAGGCCCTCACCCTCCTGAAGGCCCTCACCCACCTGAAGGCCCTCGCCCACCTGAAGGCCCTCACCCTCCTGAAGGCCCTCACCCTCCTGAAGGCCCTCACCCACCTGAAGGCCCTCACCCACCTGAAGGCCCTCACCCTCCTGAAGGCCCTCACCCTCCTGAAGGCCCTCACCCACCTGAAGGCCCTCACCCACCTGAAGGCCCTCACCCTCCTGAAGGCCCTCACCCACCTGAAGGCCCTCGCCCACCTGAAGGCCCTCACCCTCCTGAAGGCCCTCACCCACCTGAAGGCCCTCACCCTCCTGAAGGACCCTCACCCACCTGAAGGCCCTCACCCTCCTGAAGGCCCTCGCCCACCTGAAGGCCCTCGCCCACCTGAAGCCCCTAACCCTCCTGAAGGACCCTCACCCTCCTGAAGGCCCTCACCCACCTGAAGGCCCTCGCCCACCTGAAGCCCCTAACCCTCCTGAAGGACCCTCACCCTCCTGAAGGACCCTCACCCTCCTGAAGGCCCTCACCCACCTGAAGGCCCTCGCCCTCCTGAAGGCCCTCACCCTCCTGAAGGCCCTCACCCTCCTGAAGGCCCTCACCCACCTGAAGGCCCTCGCCCTCCTGAAGCCCCTAACCCTCCTGAAGGACCCTCACCCTCCTGAAGGCCCTCACCCACCTGAAGGCCCTCACCCTCCTGAAGGCCCTCACCCACCTGAAGGCCCTCGCCCTCCTGAAGGCCCTCACCCTCCTGAAGGCCCTCACCCTCCTGAAGGCCCTCACCCTCCTGAAGGACCCTCACCCTCCTGAAGGCCCTCACCCACCTGAAGGCCCTCACCCTCCTGAAGGCCCTCACCCACCTGAAGGCCCTCGGCCACCTGAAGCCCCTAACCCTCCTGAAGGACCCTCACCCTCCTGAAGGCCCTCACCCACCTGAAGGCCCTCGGCCACCTGAAGCCCCTAACCCTCCTGAAGGACCCTCACCCTCCTGAAGGCCCTCACCCACCTGAAGGCCCTCACCCTCCTGAAGGCCCTCGCCCACCTGAAGGCCCCTCACCCTCCTGAAGGCCCTCGCCCACCTGAAGGCCCTCGCCCACCTGAAGGCCCTCGCCCACCTGAAGGCCCTCACCCACCCACCTGAAGGCTTGCCCGCACGCCAGGGTAATGTCCAGCCTCAGCTCCGCCTGGCGGCACGGGAGGGAGCGCCAGGCCCGCATCCCCATCGCGACCCCCGACATGTGAGACAACCGAGACGACCCCCCGGTCACACGGACCCCACGAGACCCCCCCCGGCCACGCGGACCCCACGAGACCCCCGGCCACACGGACCCCACGAGACCCCCCCGGCCACGCGGACCCCACGAGACCCCCCCGGCCACGCGGACCCCACGAGACCCCCGGCCACACGGACCCCACGAGACCCCCCCCGGCCACGCGGACCCCACGAGACCCCCCCGGCCACGCGGACCCCACGAGACCCCCGGCCACACGGACCCCACGAGACCCCCCCGGCCACGCGGACCCCACGAGACCCCCGGCCACGCGGACCCCACGAGACCCCCGGCCACGCGGACCCCACGAGACCCCCGGCCACGCGGACCCCACGAGACCCCCGGTCACACGGAACCTCCCTCGGGATGCGGGACAAGCGAGACCCCCTCCGGCCACGCGGACCCCGAATTTGGCGCCGCTGCCGCGCTCAGCGCAGCGAGGACGGACATGTTACGTAGGGAGAGAGAAGATGAGAGTTAAATTTCGATTTAAAGCTTTCGTGACTGCAGGGATTCATCTTCTTGGTTCTTTCGGTAAAGTCACGTAGAAGTGAAATAATAAAATAATAAAAATAATACATAATAAAATAATAAAAATAATACGTAATAAAATATATTATTTTTATTATGTTTTATTTTTATTACTTTATTATTTCCCTGCTACGTGACTTTACCGAAAGAACCAAGAAGCTGTGAGTTGTTGTCCATCGACGAGATTACGCCGAGGGGGGGGGGGGTCCCTACCGAAAGTTGACCAAACCTGAACCCCCGCGGGAGTGGCGAGTTTCACGAACATTGGGCACAACGCTAAACTCCGGGCAGGTTTTCGACCATCAGTGTCTCATCACTCGGCCAAGAGGCTCGCTTGAATCAATCGATGCTCGTGAACTCCCCCGATGTTCTTACCAAGGCCGTAATTATAATATGCTCAAAATGTCTCCCCCCCAATACATTGCTATAAAATAGATGTCTGTTTATATTATTGTGGTTATGGTTGTACTTTATTAATCCCTAATCTCTGCCATTAAATACAATGAAACAAGAAAAGGTAAAAAGAGAAAAAAACAGAGCAATGTAATACAATAAACTACAGTATTAGACGTTATTGTAGAAAGATAAATAAAAACTCCATCCTATGTGTTAGTGAATTTTTTAAAATATTTTAGGCAGGAAATGTCAGGAATTTTTTTCAAATTTACATTTTTATTTTTTTCTGGGGAGGGACGCCCAGACCCCCTGGAAGATTTGGTCCCCCCAATGTTGACTCCATGGCACGGTCGCATACTTGTCGACCCCTTATCAATGCCCTACTTTATTACAGACACATTCAGACCTTATTGGTCACCCCCGTGCCCCTTATAATTTATAACGTTGAGATTTATAAGTTATAAATCTGAACGTTCATCCTACAAAGTCCCATCACAAGGGAGAAACACAAACAAATAGACACAAACGAGTTTTTGCCCGTATTGAAACGGCTGTACGCCGTATGGACCTGAAAACTCAATTTCCCTGTACAAGAATACGGGATCAAACGTATGGGGTTGACAGCTATGGTCAGTCAGTACACTTAAATATGTCCCTTTGTTTCATGCGACACGCTACACCTACTCAAGAATAATAACTCGCGTCAGGCACACGAAGCGCGATTGTTGATCCTCCATTGCTATAGGGCAGTTCTTCATTGTAAGGCCCGCGGGTCACTGGCGGCCCCTGGTGGCCTTTAGTGAGGTCCCTGATGGCCTTTAGTGCGGTCCCTGGTGGCCTTTAGTGAGGTCCCTGATGGCCTTTAGTGCGGTCCCTGGTGGCCTTTAGTGCGGTCCCTGGTGGCCTTTAGTGAGGTCCCTGGTGGCCTTTAGTGCGGTCCCTGGTGGCTTTTAGTGAGGTCCCTGGTGGCTTTTAGTGAGGTCCCTGGTGGCCTTTAGTGAGGTCCCTGGTGGCCTTTAGTGCGGTCCCTGGTGGCCTTTAGTGCGGTCCCTGATGGCCTTTAGTGCGGCCCCTGGTGTCCTTTAGTGCGGCCCCTGGTGGCCTTTAGTGCGGTCCCTGGTGGCCTTTAGTGCGGTCCCTGGTGGCCTTTAGTGCGGCCCCTGGTGTCCTTTAGTGCGGCCCCTGGTGGCCTTTAGTGCGGCCCCTGGTGACCTTTAGTGCGGCCCCTGGTGGCCTTTAGTGCGACCCCTGGTGGCCTTTAGTGCGACCCCTGGTGGCCTCTAGTGCGGCCCCTGGTGACCTTTAGTGCGACCCCTGGTGACCTTTAGTGCGACCCCTGGTGACCTTTAGTGCGACCCCTGGTGGCCTCTAGTGCGGCCTCTGGTGACCTTTAGTGCGGCCCCTGGTGGCCTTTAGTGCGACCCCTGGTGACCTTTAGTGCGGCCCCTGGTGGCCTTTAGTGCGGCCCCTGGTGGCCTTTAGTGCGGCCCCTGGTGGCCTTTAGTGCGACCCCTGGTGGCCTTTAGTGCGACCCCTGGTGGCCTCTAGTGCGGCCCCTGGTGACCTTTAGTGCGACCCCTGGTGGCCTTTAGTGCGACCCCTGGTGACCTTTAGTGCGACCCCTGGTGGCCTCTAGTGCGGCCCCTGGTGACCTTTAGTGCGGCCCCTGGTGGCCTTTAGTGCGACCCCTGGTGGCCTCTAGTGCGGCCCCTGGTGGCCTCTAGTGCGGCCCCTGGTGGCCTTTAGTGCGGCCCCTGGTGGCCTTTAGTGCGACCCCTGGTGGCCTTTAGTGCGACCCCTGGTGGCCTCTAGTGCGGCCCCTGGTGACCTTTAGTGCGACCCCTGGTGGCCTTTAGTGCGACCCCTGGTGGCCTCTAGTGCGGCCCCTGGTGACCTTTAGTGCGGCCCCTGGTGGCCTTTAGTGCGGCCCCTGGTGGCCTCTAGTGCGGCCCCTGGTGGCCTTTAGTGCGGCCCCTGGTGGCCTTTAGTGCGGCCCCTGGTGGCCTTTAGTGCGCCCCCTGGTGGCCTTTAGTGCGACCCCTGGTGGCCTTTAGTGCGACCCCTGGTGGCCTTTAGTGCGACCCCTGGTGGCCTTTAGTGCGGCCCCTGGTGGCCTCTAGTGCGGCCCCTGGTGACCTTTAGTGCGGCCCCTGGTGGCCTTTAGTGCGACCCCTGGTGGCCTTTAGTGCGACCCCTGGTGGCCTTTAGTGCGGCCCCTGGTGGCCTCTAGTGCGGCCCCTGGTGACCTTTAGTGCGACCCCTGGTGGCCTTTAGTGCGACCCCTGGAGGCCTTTAGTGCGACCCCTGGTGGCCTCTAGTGCGGCCCCTGGTGACCTTTAGTGCGACCCCTGGTGGCCTTTAGTGCGACCCCTGGTGACCTTTAGTGCGACCCCTGGTGGCCTCTAGTGCGGCCCCTGGTGACCTTTAGTGCGACCCCTGGTGGCCTTTAGTGCGGCCCCTGGTGGCCTTTAGTGCGACCCCTGGTGGCCTTTAGTGCGACCCCTGGTGGCCTTTAGTGCGGCCCCTGGTGGCCTTTAGTGCGACCCCTGGTGGCCTTTAGTGCGGCCCCTGGTGGCCTTTAGTGCGGTCCCTGGTGGCTTTTAGTGTGGCCCCTGGTGGCCTTTAGTGCGGCCCCTGGTGGTCTTTAGTGCGGCCCCTGGTGACCTTTAGTGCGGTTCCTGGTGGTCTTTAGTGCGGCCCCTGGTGGTCTTTAGTGCGGCCCCTGGTGACCTTTAGTGCGGTTCCTGGTGGTCTTTAGTGTGGCCCCTGGTGGCCTTTAGTGCGGCCCCTGGTGGCCTTTAGTGCGGCCCCTGGTGGCCTTTAGTGCGTTCCTGGTGGCCTTTAGTGCGGCCCCTGGTGGCCCCGTCGACAATCCACAACAACTGAAAACAACCCCCCATCATCGTGCTGTTGTCAAACCCCCAATGGTTTCCAATGTGCGGTGGTGAAAGTGGCCCCCCTCTCTCTCAGGATGACTGAAGAACACCGCCATGGGTAGAGACCCAGACGCATTTGTTGCAACAGGTCACACCGCTCTATCACGATGACATTTTTGTTTGTTTGATGCCAATATCAAAGTTGAAAAATAAGAATAGGTTTTACCCATTTTCTGGCAAAAACAGGTGTACGTGTGGTTAATGCAGTACTTGATTCGTTGCAAAAGGTTTCTATTTTGTGTTTGAACAGCTTAACACAACTTCTTGTTTGATTACTGCCACAAAGGGTAACAACCGATTATTGTTATGTTACACCGCTAATTCACTGTCATGTCGAAAACTGCTGCTTTTAAACAAATCCCGCCAGAAAACACTGGCCCAAAAGGCCGGGTAAGCTATTTTTTACAGGACTACAATGTTATTTATATTCTTATAATAACTCTAGTTTAAAAACGGGGGGGGGGGGTAATTTTATTTATTATAAATCTATAACTCATAAATACATTCATAATCAACGTTTTTGGGTTAATTTTACATGTTAATTTATTCTTTTATCACCAATTAATTGTTAAATTAGTATTAATCCACTAATAATGTATTTATTAACTTATAACAAAATAAGCAATTAATTAATAACAAATCAATTGCCAATTGATTACACAAAATTCACAGCATTAATAATTTATTTAACTTTGGCTTTGCTATTCATTTATTTCCCCACGCAAGATGGCCGTACCTGGCCTCCCTCACTGGCTACGTCACCACGACGCATCACGTGCCCGGCTCAGGGGCCAATCACGAGTCGGCGTGGCACGGCCGGGTTCCACGAGGCTTCTGCTGCTGCCGCTGCTGCTGCCGCTGCTGCTGCCGGGTGAGAGGGGGTCCCCTCGATCCCGGGTCCCCCAGGGTCTCCCCCAGGGACTCACGACTCTTCCACTCCAACGGGACTCTCCCCGGGGCCGTGTGGGCTCCACGCGCAGGGATCCACGGGGGTGATAACAGTGCCGGCTCGGCTGCTGCTGCTGCTGTGTGATGGTGGTGGTGGTGCAGTCAATGGTGTTGAGTGGAGTGTGCTTTGCGCGGTCTTTGGCTGGTCTGTAGGGATACTCTTAGTTCTTTCGGTAAAGTCACGTAGGTAAAAAAATTAAATAAAAATTAATAGAAATGAAACAATAATTATTAATTTTAATTTTTTTACCGACGTGACTTGACCGGAATAACTAAGAGTATGAATCCTTGCAGTCACGAAATCTTCAAATCTAGAATGCTCTGTAGGGACCCTGGCTGGTCTGTAGGGACCCTGGTTGGTGTGGTGGGACCCTGGTTGGTGTGGTGGGACCCTGGTTGGTGTGGTGGGACCCTGGTTGGTGTGGTGGGACCCTGGTTGGTGTGGTGGGACCCTGGTTGGTGTGGTGGGACCCTGGTTGGTGTGGTGGGACCCTGGTTGGTGTGGTGGGACCCTGGTTGGTGTGGTGGGACCCTGGTTGGTGTGGTGGGACCCTGGTTGGTGTGGTGGGACCCTGGTTGGTGTGGTGGGACCCTGGTTGGTGTGGTGGGACCCTGGTTGGTGTGGTGGGACCCTGGTTAGTGTGGTGGGACCCTGGTTAGTGTGGTGGGACCCTGGTTAGTGTGGTGGGACCCTGGTTGGTGTGGTGGGACCCTGGTTGGTGTGGTGGGACCCTGGTTGGTGTGGTGGGACCCTGGTTGGTGTGGTGGGACCCTGGTTAGTGTGGTGGGACCCTGGTTGGTGTGGTGGGACCCTGGTTAGTGTGGTGGGACCCTGGTTGGTGTGGTGGGACCCTGGTTAGTGTGGTGGGACCCGGTTGGTGTGGTGGGACCCTGGTTAGTGTGGTGGGACCCTGGTTGGTGTGGTGGGACCCTGGTTGGTGTGGTGGGACCCTGGTTAGTGTGGGGGACCCTGGTTGGTGTGGTGGGACCCTGGTTAGTGTGGTGGGACCCCTGGTTGGTGTGGTGGGACCCTGGTTAGTGTGGTGGGACCCTGGTTGGTGTGGTGGACCCTGGTTGGTGTGGTGGGACCCTGGTTAGTGTGGTGGGGACCCTGGTTAGTGTGGTGGGACCCTGGTTGGTGTGGTGGGACCCTGGTTGGTGTGGTGGGACCCTGACTGGTCTGTAGGGACACTGGTTGGTGTGGTGGGACCCTGGTTGGTGTGGTGGGACCCTGGTTGGTTGTGGTGGGACCCTGGTTGGTGTGGTGGGACCCTGGTTGGTGTGGTGGGACCCTGGTTGGTGTGGTGGGACCCTGGTTAGTGTGGTGGGACCCTGGTTGGTGTGGTGGGGACCCTGGTTGGTGTGGTGGGACCCTGGTTGGTGTGGTGGGACCCTGGTTGGTGTGGTGGGACCCTGGTTGGTGTGGTGGGACCCTGGTTAGTGTGGTGGGACCCTGGTTGGTGTGGTGGGACCCTGGTTGGTGTGGTGGGACCCTGGTTAGTGTGGTGGGACCCTGGTTGGTGTGGTGGGACCCTGGTTAGTGTGGTGGGACCCTGGTTGGTGTGGTGGGACCCTGGTTGGTGTGGTGGGACCCTGGTTGGTGTGGTGGGACCCTGGTTAGTGTGGTGGGACCCTGGTTGGTGTGGTGGGACCCTGGTTAGTGTGGTGGGACCCTGGTTGGTGTGGTGGGACCCTGGTTAGTGTGGTGGGACCCTGGTTGGTGTGGTGGGACCCTGGTTGGTGTGGTGGGACCCTGGTTGGTGTGGTGGGACCCTGGTTGGTGTGGTGGGACCCTGGTTGGTGTGGTGGGACCCTGGTTGGTGTGGTGGGACCCTGGTTAGTGTGGTGGGACCCTGGTTGGTGTGGTGGGACCCTGGCTGGGGTGTGGTGGGACCTTGGTTAGTGTGGTGGGACCTTGGTTAGTGTGGTGGGACCCTGGTTGGTGTGGTGGGACCCTGGTTGGTGTGGTGGGACCCTGGTTGGTGTGGTGGGACCTTGGTTAGTGTGGTGGGACCTTGGTTAGTGTGGTGGGACCCTGGTTGGTGTGGGGGGACCCTGGTTAGTGTGGTGGGACCCTGGTTAGTGTGGTGGGACCTTGGTTAGTGTGGTGGGACCTTGGTTAGTGTGGTGGGACCCTGGTTGGTGTGGTGGGACCCTGGTTGGTGTGGTGGGACCCTGGTTAGTGTGGTGGGACCTTGGTTAGTGTGGTGGGACCCTGGTTGGTGTGGTGGGACCCTGGTTGGTGTGGTGGGACCTTGGTTAGTGTGGTGGGACCTTGGTTAGTGTGGTGGGACCCTGGTTGGTGTGGTGGGACCTTGGTTAGTGTGGTGGGACCTTGGTTAGTGTGGTGGGACCCTGGTTAGTGTGGTGGGACCCTGGTTGGTGTGGTGGGACCCTGGTTGGTGTGGTGGGACCCTGGTTGGTGTGGTGGGACCCTGGTTGGTGTGGTGGGACCCTGACTGGTGTGTGGTGGCTGATGTGTTGGGACCCTGGCTGGGGTGTGTTGGCTGGTGTATAGGAGTTGTGGGGAGTGTGTAATGTGGCACATGATGAACAGTATATGCGTCCTGGCTGGTATGTGTCTGTGTGTGTGATCCCACTAATGTCTGGCTCACGGCCTGGCCCTTGTGCTGCAGGAGTTCCAGCCGAGTCAGCATGTCGGGCCTGCCCTCCGAGACGTGGCAGCCTTCCACCATCACGCTGGAAACAACGTGAGGCCCTCCTGCCTGCAGACACCACCGCCATAGAAGTTGGTGGTGGTGGTGGTGATGGTGGTGTGAGCAGTTTTTGTAGTGGGAGTGTGTGCTGGTAGGGGTGTGATCAGCAGTGTAGCTGTGAGCGAACCTATGCACCTGGTGACCCGAGTTCGATTCCCGCTCACGGCCAACACCAGTGGCGATTATCTGAATCGGTCCTGGGCTTCCTCTAGGTCGACTCAGCCTCAAATTAGTACTTAGAACGGTTTGTAAACATCGCCACTAGGGAGACAAAGGCGGCTGGGCGTGGTGCTGGCCACCCACCCACCTCGTGTGCCGTTCTGTCCTTTATAGTTGCTCGCTAACAGCACTTGCCCCAACAGTCTGTTGGAGGCTATACGGGGGATTTGTATCTTTGTTGGCAGTGGAGATGTCAGTAATGGTAGTTAGTAAAGGAGTTAATTGATGGCTGATGTTAGTAGAAAAAGTGGCTATGTCATTTGAGATGCCAGTCCTCTCGAAGGTGTCGATGGCTGTGTCACTAGTCGCTCTCATCCGTGGCGGTGTTGCGCGTGTGTCGTATGTACGTTACCTGTATGTCACATGTTTGTCGTGTGTACATTACCTGTATATCGCATGTGTATGTACGTCACCTATACAGTTGTACCCCAGAGATCGAACTTAATTGGTTCCAGAAGACCATTCGAATACCGATTTCTTCGAACACCGAATTAATTTTCCCCATAAGAATTAATGTAAAGGACATTAATTGGTTCCAGACACAAGAAATCTCTCGTTATAAAGCATTTTTACACGAAGTTTACAGTAATTACATGCATAAAATCATACAAAAAACAAGAAACACAATAAATTAATGGAATAAATATATGGAATAAATGAAATAAATGAAGATTAAACTTCACTTTACCTGCAGTAAGGAGAGTTGATGGCTTGAGTGGTAGGTGGTGAGGAGGAGGTGGTAAAACCTGTGTCTGGACAAGCATCATGCATGCTGGCCATACGCGTCTCAGCCATACACGTTCTTTCAAGTCGCGATTGCCCGTTCGACCTCCGAATTTCGTTCGGTTTCCGGAGCAATTTTTTTTGGAAATATCGTTCGAACACCGATTTGTTCGAGTTCTGGTGCGTTCGATCTCCGAGGTTCTACTGTATATCCAATTTGTGTCGTGTGTACGTCACTTGTATATCGCATGTGCGTCGTGTGTACATTGCATGTGTGTTGTATGTACGTCGCCTGTATATTGCATGTCCGTCGTGTGGTGCAGGATGGGCACCGTAGTGTTGGAGCTCTACTGGATGCACGCTCCCCGCACGTGCCGCAACTTTGCTGAGCTGGCGCGGCGCGGCTACTACAATGGCACTCGCTTTCACCGAATCATCCGCGGATTCATGATCCAGGGCGGAGACCCTACGGGGACAGGTACCATCTCTCCTACGCCTTCTCTCACATCGCTCTACTCCTCTCTACGAACTCTCCTTCTCCCCTCTCATCGCTCTACCTCCCTCTATGCACTTTCCCCGCACTATTCCTCTTCATGCACTTGCATAACTCTCCCCGCTCATCTCACTCTACTCCACATACTCTCCTACCTTTCCCCTCACTCTACTCCCCTCCGCACAAGCTCCTACCTTCCCTTCTCGTGTCTCTCTACTCCCCTCCAGTTTCTGCCTCGATCTTCTTGCAGCTGTCATTATTGGTCGTGTGTGTTGTGTCGGCAATGCAGAGGAGGCTCCTAAAGCAACCATCACTTCAAGAGCTTGAATCGTCCTTTCCATTTCATTGAACATTGGCTCTTTCATAAAGCAAAGGGCACGTTAGATTACACATTTCATGTGTAGAGGCCCCTACGCTTCTTTACAAACTGTCGTAATGCTCATGGATAGGTGTGCATGTGGTGAAGTGTGTATTGGAAGCAGTGGTGAAGCAGTTGGTATGCTAGGCCTCGGCAAGGTAAGGTAATTTACCCTTTTTACCGGGTGTCGACATGCCAAGGGGTAAGGTAAAGGGTAGGGTAAAGGTAGCTTGGAAGAATTACCCGGTAGGGTAAAGATAGCGTGAAGAATTACCCGGTAAAAACCTTGTTTACCGCTCGCTAAAAGCTCCGTGGCGCAGTCCGTGGCCTCCATTTAAGATTGGTATCATCGAGAGTATTCTGTGTGAATAAAGCGCTCGACCTAGCATTTACCTGTTATAAACCTTGTTCATGTGAAGTAGTACCCCAGTAATTACCCTGTAATCGGGCAATTTGTATGGGGTAAGGGTAAAAGGTAGGGTAAAGGTAGGCTCGTTGTTTTTACCTTTTACCTTTCCTTGCCGAGGCCTATAGTATGCTGCGCTACGAACCCGGCGACCTGAGTTAGATTCCCGCTCCCGGCCAACACCGGTGGCTGTGTAACAAAATAAACATTTATCCTGGGTAGTAAGTGTTATTTTCCAATTGCCTATGCCTCAAAAGTACAGGAAATGGCTATTATTCGCCACAAACTTTGCTTTTGTGACCAGGACAGTCATATTTTGAAATTTACCTATTTTCAATGAGAAAACGTGGTGTGCATTTGTGTAATTTCTTCACGTAAAGTCCTGGTCACAAAAGCAAAGTTTGTGGGGAATAATAGCCATCTTCTATACTTTTGAGGCATAAACAATTAGAAAATAACACTTACTACTGAGGGACAAAAGTCGTGTTACATAATTATCTGAACCTGTCCTGGGCCTTCCGGAGGGCGACTCAGCTTCAAATGAGTACCTGGTGCGGTGTGTAAACATCGCCACTGGGGAGACAAAGGTGGCCGGGCGTGGTGTTGGCTACCCAGCCCCTCGTGTGCTATACCAGGGTTCATAGGTGTTCGTTAACAGCACCTGCCACAACAGTCTATTGAGGCTATATGGAGGATCTTTGTCTTTGCTTTTGTTGTGGGGGTGCCAGCTAACAGCATTTTCCCCAACAGTCGGTTAAGGCTATACGGGGGTTCTTTGTATACTGGGTGTCTCTGCGTGCGATTGCTTAGTGTAATCTCTAGATTTGAAGTTTTCGTGACTGCAGGGATCCATACTCTTTGGTTCTTTTGGTAAAGTCACGTGGGTATAAAATAAATTAAATCACGACGTTTCGGGCGCTTTGAATCTGGCTCCTGAATTGGATTCCCAGCCACAAAATTAGTGGTGTGCGGTGAACCTGTTCTGGGCCTCTACGAGGTCACCACAAGCGCAATGTGTTAACAACAGAAATGGGAAGAAGACAGGGGCATGTTGCTGGCCGCCTCCTCATGTGCCATGCCAATCTTCACTAGGTGCTCGCGAACAGTTCTTTCCACAACGCTCTGTGTAGTTACATGGCTGGGTCTGTGTGTCTGTTCAACAGGCCGGGGAGGAGCTTCCGTCTATGGAAAACACTTCGAAGATGAGATCCACCCAGACCTGAAGCACACAGGTGAGTTGACCCAAAACAATTAATACATTCAAATAAAAGATACTTGCGCTCGCGACACGTGTGTCCGATCAGGGGTGTTGGCTAAGAGGTCAGAGCGCTGAGCCGGTACCACTGACATCCTGAGTTCGAAACCAGGCAGGTGTCTGATTAAACCGGGCTCTCAACTGTTGTCTAACAAGGTGATGGTTTTATCACTTTAAGTTTGGTTCTGCACTTAGGTTGGATGAACTCAAGTTCTTGAGGATTTACATTTTGAATGGCATGTGACGAACCTCACTTTCCTATGCAGAGCAGGTGGGCTGCCCCCTACTCTGTGTTATATCAGATGACACTTGAATGGTTCTCAGAGGTTGCTCTGCGATATCCGCTTCAGTGGGCCATTCTCCAACACGTAGCGTTGCACTGCTCTGAGAGATGCAAGAGGATACATCTCGTGCCACGACTCCCGATAGCACAATTTGCATAAAATTGGGTTCAAAATTACAGGAGGCAAAAAAATCGGTTCTTCGCTTAACTTTGTCACGCATCACCACACAGGTGCAGGCATCATCTCGATGGCGAACTCGGGGCCCAACACCAACGGCAGCCAGTTCTTCATCACGCTGGGGCCCACGCAGTGGCTCGACGGCAAGCACTCCATCTTCGCCCGCGTGGCGCGCGGCATGAGCACGGTCAACCGCATTGGGCTCGTTGAGACGGTGGCTCAGGACCGGCCCGTCGAAGAGATCAGCATCATACGCGCCATCTGCTCGGACTGACGCGTCGCACACACACACACGCACTCTCGCACCTCGGACATACGCGGAGGCGAACACGGTCCCTCACAGGCGAACACAGTTGCGCGCAGACATGCGCACGGTCACATGGGGATATGCAACAATAATGGCCGCCGTTCACCACGGAGTGGCAGTGACATCACCACGGCACTTGTGCCAGGATAGATGCGATTGGAGGCCGCGTCACGCGTCGTAGTGGCAGGTTGTCACGAGACAGACCCGGGTGGTATTACGGGTAAACCGCGTTGACTGGCAGACGCAGCACCCGTGCTCTCAATTTGGATAAAGCTGCATTTCCTCCCATCATCCATGTGTAACGTAACTTGGGGTTTTGAACCCTTGTCAATGCATGTTAAACGAAGCCACCTCTTGTCCGATGTCGTTGGCTACACCACCTCCACACAGTTAAACCAAAACCGCCTTGTGTTCGTCTTTCCTCGGTGACAGCTCCTCCGTGCAGTAGACATTGCTCGTCTTCTACTCAACGTCTGTGGCGCTGCCATCCGGGCTCCGCTCCCCTGCCCCCCTCATGCCCCCAACACCAGGATGTCATTTAGCCCCCCTACTTGTGGAGTTATCACAGACGCACCATTCGACATGGATGTACATGCGTGGCTGGCTGGAGGTGTGCACCTGTTGTCTCTTCGAGGCCCTGTGCGTGCTGTAAGGCGTTAATTATTTTCTTACCATAAAACATTTTTTTAAAACTTGTCATCCCAGAGATCAGTTTTCTTGCACAAACGTTTAATTTATTTATTTGCTCGAGATGATGCAACTTTCGTGTTGGTGTCTCGGGAAACATTGATGTCCACACAACAGCTGGTAAGACCAATGAAAAAACTCTTGATATACACTTTGTACAGGAGTACCGCGTTGTCCCTACCTTAACAAAAACCTAATTGCTTGTCTAGAAACTCAGATCATACCCATAATTTTATACTGGTGAAATCTGTCTCTTGGACAGCCGATTCAAGTCGCCGCCATCGCTTACGATCCTGGAATCAACTTTGGAGAGATGTAATTGAAAATATCAATAGATTGTGTATCGGTACAAATTTATCGATTGCATCGTCAATGATTTGTTATAGATTTTCCGAACCTTGGCCTCGTGCTTCCGTGGAGCAGGCAGCCAACGCAAGGAACGCTTCCCATAGCATATTCAATGTGGAGATGGAGCAATGCAATGAGCCCATGTGCAGGAGCGAGATGGATCATTATGAAGCACCGTGGGATATGGTTTAGGGGAAGTCCATCATCATGGCCTCCGTTAAATATACCACCCCTCTGGCTGTGGCCAATCACAAAAGACCACTAATTCCTAAAGCATTGCACAGCCCCCCCTCTCCCCCGCCACTTCGGACGGAAACCTCTCAATTCATAGTCCATAGGCCAGATCAAAATTTGGTAGCGCATCTTTAGAAGAACCGTTGCGCTGATATGGCTGAGAGTGAATTGTTGATAACCTCACTCAATTCAAATGGTTAGTACATGACTCACGATGATTGGACACCCCAATGCATTGGAACCAATAATCTGTCACCTCCAGGTGGTATCGGCGAGTGAAATATCTGGTTTGGGTTCGTAGACGATCATCTCCGGAGAGCACGCATCTCAAACAGTGGGAAGCGGGCCGCTGATTTAGATAAAAAAAAAATTCCACCAAAGGCTGGATTTGAACCCATGTTCCTACCCCCACGAGAGTCGAGACCAGAGGTCGACAACCAAAGTAACAAGAAACATTTTGGTTTTATTCGGTAAAACAAACTCAATATTTCAAGAGCCGTAATGCACATGTGGTGAACACGAGACGATGGGTCCTTAATAAATAAGGTCACCAAGCAGCGGTCCTTGAGGTGCTTCTAGGGGCTGCGGAGCTGCAGGTTTCAGATTTTTTGTTCGAGACCATCCACTTCTGCACGCCATGGATTGCGCACGCTGTACATCCTCACTTCACAGCGTGACACTGGCTCTCACCCCGTAGGCAGCATGCTGCGGCATGGATACCGTGCAGGATTATTTTTTTTAATGTGCGTGGGGAACGTCAGCAACATGTTGTGGTAACAAAACACACACCATGATACAAATGCCTAACAATCACATTAGTTTCAAGTATTTTTCTTTTACGTGCGTGGAACTGAAACTCATGTCTAACACCTGCCAGAGAATGGCTTGACGGCATGAGAGATTGGTACCAGGAAGCTGTGCATTACTTGAGCATATTGACACAAGACAGAGGAAAGTGGAAAGAAATTACGAAATGTGCAGTGGACACCTACGGTTAGCATGGCTGGCTATGTTACGGTGCGAAAGAAGTTAAACGTACGTCACCATCACGACCCATGGGGCAGATAACCCGTAGGTGTCATGCATACATCAGGGCTCTCTGCCAATGGATCGTGATGACAATGAGCACAAAACGCACTCATACACAACGTGAAACACCGCGTTAACGAGAGGCGTGGACGTGTGATCAATCGATGTATTGTGGCCTTAGTAACCTGGGGCGGGATGGGGGCGCAGTGGATTATCCTTTCGGGGGCTCCATACCAACACGGCTGGGAACGGCTGTCATCGTCATGCTCCGTTGACGTTTGCATTGCCCCACACGACCACGAGAGGGCGGCAACGAGCCGACGCTGGGAAGCAGATTTCCAAACCACGGTTGAACCCCCCCCCCTCCCCCAATTCACCTTTGGATCAGGTCAGGTCCCCTTGAGAGCCCTCCTTGTAATGGCTGGAGTCTGGGGAACTGCGGTTACACGAGGTTTTAATTGCGGGATTTCTCTGTGACAAGGGCGCAGGGATTGTTAATGTCACCGGGCCTTAATGTGTCCTCTGTGAGACAGGAGACATGGAAATCGGGCCAAAACTGAAAATAGCACGGAACTCGATGGGGTGGAGGGGTGATCCTATTGAAGGTGGAGCAACCTATCCAACCAAGTGCAAGCTTTGCCACTAGATATTATTGAACTTCTTTCGCACCGTACATAGCCAAACGTGCTAATCGGAGGTGCAGGGATAATATTTGGAGTTTGCACGTTCTCCCCGTCGGCATGTGGATTTTTCTCCGGGTCCTCCGGTTTTTCCCTCCACATTTAGAAACACGCGTTGAGAGTATTTCGCTGCAATACATTTGCACGTGATAAGCCACTTTGTTGAGCTATCATTTGTGACCAGGTCGCTTCTGAAAAAAAGATCTATATGGCTCGGTGGGACTTGGTAAAATAAAAAAAGTAAGCATTGTAGTAATGATGATTCCAGAGAACAACTGTCCTGGTGCGTCATGTAGATCTAACCACCGCGGTTTGTGACCTCGTTTAATTGTGCCTTGGTCGTTGTGTTTGGGGTCGATGTGCGATCCAGTGAGTCCTGGGGTAAATGGTCGTCGCTCAAATACAGTCCACCGATTCCGTGTCGCCAAGAGAGTTGTTGCCCATTAAAAATGAAGGTGGGAGCCAGTGGCGGCTCGTGACATCTCCACGAGGCGGGGCTGTTGTGAGTGACCTCTGAACTGACGGTGTTCTAATTTAGAAAAAGCTCGTCGTGTTATTGGCCTTCCCGTGAAAGTGATTTTACTTTCTTATCTACCAACGGTAGTCATTTATAAAAAAATACGAAACTGAACAACAAAGCACTCAGATGCTATCCACATGACCCTAAATTCCACACTACACAACCCCTTTGACACTGAGAAAAGCCTGAAGAACAATTAAAGATCTGTCATCCCTTGAAATGGAATATTTAGGAGTGACTCGTGTTCGTTGCTAATTCTTCGTTTGCTGCACCTGTTGCCATCGCCACTGCTGTTGTTTCCTCCTAGAGCGTGTAGGCCGTGACCTGCTATATTTGCACGGTGCAACCTCGCGTTGTGACATCGTCTCATTACAGCCACGGGCGCATTTCCTTTTCACCGCCCTCAATGGGTCTCACACGGCGTGGCTAAAATGCGAAGCTAATCGCAATGAATGAAGGGGGACATCTCTCACTCGGGCGCCTTCACAGCCGCCCCGAGACCTCCCCGAGGCACAACTCAGACTGTAGTGTTGCAGCGGTTTCAAATATGAACTAAATTTTTTATCTTCATTTGGAAATTAACGTTGAAAGAATCATATATTTTTAAACACAAGCAAAATTTGATATAAAAGTATTTTTTATTAGAAACATAATTTCTCATCTCCAGCTAATAAACGGGCAAACAGACACAGGGTAACAGATTGGCACAAAGAGAGGCACACAGATGCACAGAGACAAAGAGAGAGAGACACACACACAGGGGAACAGAGAAGACATCGAGACAGACAGAGAGAATCAGAGAGACGACATACAGGGACAGGCACAGAACACCGGCGGCTCCACAGCCCTCCAGCCCGCTGCCCCGGCAGGGAGGCAGCTCGTGGCGTCGCTTCGCCTTCATCGGTGCTTCACGCCGGACCGCACTCGCGGTTGAGGCGAGAAGTTCATTAAACAAACATCGCGGACCTCCCACGGGTCCTCTGTCGACGTCCATCCATCCCGGGCTGATGCGGCATCCGCCTAATTAACACGATTTGTTTTCTCTCACTGCGGAAACCCTCGGAGAGAGAGAGAGAGAGTGTGGGAGCGGAGCAGGAATGGCCCCAGTTCTGACCCCCGAGGCTCCATCCCAGTTCCCACCTCAGGAAGGGCACCCGAACCACGGGGGGTGGAGGGGGGGTCATTGAGAGGGTTCGAGTCTAAACGCCACCTGCCACCGCTCACAGCCACCTCGCAGACCTCGCTCCGCCGCCGTGTCGCGCACGAGGCCATTAGCGCCCTCGTTAGCTATTGATGGATTCCCTTTGCCCGGGACGGTGTCGATGAGGCTGCACGCTGCTCGATCGCAGCGGGAAGGGGGCCCCTTACCTGCTTTTAGTTCAAACGAGAAGCAAATTAGGACCGCTAACCTGCAAGCAATTACGTAATGGACCAGATTGCATGCATACATCGTAGCGACCCCGTTTTATTCGGCCAACGAGATACCCGCGTTGCGTTACTCGATTTGGCACCGCAAAAATAATATTTTATTTATTTAGCAACTATATTTATTATAATAATTGTAATAATATAATAACTATTTATAATATTGAATCTCCTGTACAGTAATTATAATTTATAATATTTAGAATTATAATATTGTATAATGATATTTTCCGACGAAAGTGTATGCGATTTGATTGATTTTTTTTAGATGGATATATATTTACAGGTTTCTCTCCGTGGTGTGTATTTTTTGTATTCCGCTGTGTGGTGCAACACAGCGTGAGCAACTGCAACGCGTGACCTCGAGTGCTGCCGCTGTGCCGTGCGGGATAAACGCCACTGCACCGCCTCGCGACTCTCTACGTTCAGGACCTATCTGCGATTAGGAGAGTTGTTGGTGTTTGTCAGCGATGTCGCCATGCATCGATTCACCCATGAATAGTATTGATGTTTAAGGTCACGTGCGGGATTACTGCTTGGCAGGGTCGACCTGTGGATGCCTTCATCCAGCAGTGGATTGATCAGGGCCGCTGCAGCTGATGATGGTGTGGATGATGAATCCGGCTGTACGTGGATTGACCCCCGCGTGTAGGAATCGATGTTTGGGGATTCGCGTACGCCTCGAGCAATGGGTCCCCGTGACCCCTGCAACCACGAGAGACCAAATCTCAGTGGGTTCTTGAATCGAATCGTGGACTCAGAATTAAGA